TCTTTTAAAAAAACAAACAAACGCATATTCTTCTCCAAACAGGCTATAGAACAATTTTTTTAAAAGCAGTAATTTATTAAAACGTGGTACACCATAATTTTGCCATTTTTCTGCAATAAGAGTGGCAAATGATTCATGGGGGGGAAATGAAATATATTTCCCTGTCAGTTCAATAGATCAGAGATTTACAGCTTCTTGACTCGGACAGGAAAAAACTCAGCATGCATAAAAATGAATTGCAAATCAGTTAATTGTAGAGATGCAAAACTAAAAGCATCTCAGCGGTTCAGTAAAATAAATTCGGCTGAACAGATTAGGAGGGAGCAATTCTCCATTTATGTCCAGAGGTTACTAGTTAGGAGAAACCAAGAGAGAACCTGATATATTTTAAAAAGTGCTTCAAATCAGTTCACACTGATTCAGTTCACTTCAGTTGCCTCAGTTTTAATGCTCAAGTTAATTACATCTACACTACTTAGACAAACAGATTAGGGTGCCTTGGTAAGATAGGACAAATGTCTTGTTCGGATGACAGGAGAGAGCATGTCAAAGTTGGATATTCCTTCTCACTGAACGAAGGAAGACACAATGCGTTTGTGGGTATATTTTTTAACCAGATTGCAGCTAGTGATTTTATCATTACAGAGACTGTGCTTAAACCAAGAAAGTACACCACAGAAAGCATGTAGCTCTGCATCATGTGAAGAACAGATGTTCTTCAGACGGTGCAGCTGTTGAATAACAGATAATTCAAGATATTGCACCCGCTTAAAAAGAAAAAAAAACTTTTAAGGAATTAACGAGTTTGAATTAACACCCAATGAGGGCCAAATTAAAGCTTCAGTTACACATACCAAAATGTAACAGCTTAACAGTATTTCGGGGGGGGGGGGGTGTGTGCAGATTTAATAGCAAATCTCTCTGCACTTCAGTACAAATCCAGCTCAATAACCTAATGTATGCTTATGCCTTCAGAAAAAGAAAAACTCCAGGTGAATTAAGAATAGGCACAGCACCATTTAGCAAGGAATTAGCCACTGACAGTTTATGGAAAGCAGAGATACTCGCAGGGAGAGACCAGGAATTCTCCTAAATTAGTTGTGTCTCACACAGATTGAGTGAAGTATTGATTCTGGACTGAAGCCCGCAGCAGCCTCCTGATCACAACACCTGTGCAAATATTGTACAGCATGAATGCTCTTGCGCCTCTGTATACGTTTCATACCTCCAGTGGATAATTGGGAGGTGGGAAGGAATGAGACTAAAAAGGCAGGAGGAGATGGGCAAACTTGAGAGGCCCTTCATTTTCAGCGGGTGAGAAACAGAACTCATTTAAGCGGCAAAACGCACATCACTGAAGATGTTGCTCTCTTTTATAATCTCCCCCAATCAAATGCAATCAGTTCAAATTTGATGTGGGAATTCACTCTAAGCACTTGGTATTTTCCAGGCTCGCTGCTGAAATGCGCGTCCTCCTTTTCCTATATGTTTGGAGCCTGAAACCTTGGCCACGGCACATCCTTTTCACTAGGTTTATTATGAATTCATTTATCTATCTCTGTGGAGAGGGCAACTATCCCTCTAAAAGCGCATGCAAGGATGTGGTGTGGAGGTGCATTAATGCTTTTGAGCATAAGGAAGGTAGCAGGCTCTGAGGTTTTTGGTGGAATAATGTGTCTCCAAAAACATCACCTACACAACCATATTTTTTTGGGGGGGGGTGCAGTTATGTGCTCAAGATGCATTGATTCTAAACATTTCATAATGTTCCAGCCGCCAACCACACAGCATTCACATGACGAAGCAAAACAAATGCATTCTGACAGCAAACGTTAAGAAACAAAAACCATAATCTGAAAAAGCCCATGCGCCAAACGTAAATTTGGGACTATAAAAGAATATGAGAATGATTCTTATTTTTAATGCGTTAAAAACTTATAAACAGCTTAGCTGATTTGCTGTCAATGAAAATATATAGCTTCCCCCCTCCCTCTCTTTTCAGAACATTTATCAGCACTTGGCAACTCTGGACTAACCTGACATGCAAGATGATCAAAATGGATTATGTAATCTTTTCCATTTATTCCTATTGATTTTAGTCATGATAAAATTCATCAGTGTGGGCTGGGGACATGGTGCCTGAAGAGCTTTGGGTTGAATGAAACAAAATAAATAAATAAGTCCGTCCTGGTAACAATTTGTGGGCTGTTGCCATTTTCTGATCTCACAGTGTGGGGAGGAGAGAGAAAAAAAGAGGAAAAAAGCCCTCCATGGTAGCAATGAAAATATATTCTACTGTATTCCAAAATGGACATCTACTATTAATACCTCATGACAAGCTTCTTTGGATGTTAACTCCTAATTTGCCCAACCAGATACACAGAGTTAAGGCCAGTAATTTATATTATCCCTTAAAACTGGAGGTTTAAGAAGAATCTGTTTTAAACTTTTAACCACCGGTGGGGTGGGGAGGAGGCGCAAGAGAAGGGAGGGTATAGTTCAAGACTAATCAACTTTATTTCCGTAACTGCCGGTAACATCAAAATGCCAGCGAGTGGACCATTTTAATCAGTTTTATTGATTCATGTGTTCAGTTCTTATTCAGTTAAAAACAAGGCACATTAAATACATCCTCTTATTGCTCTATAAATGCATGCAGCTCATTCTGTATATCAAAAGTAATAAATAATGACAATAAAACACAGAGACAGTTATAAAAATGACAACCCAGCCTCAAACACAGTATTTAACAGTCCAATCCTGAACAATAACCCGTCACAATACATAAAAGTGCCAGATGGAAAAACATGCGGCAAAGTATATATGTATGCATATAGGTACGTGTGCATACACACACACACACCAAACCACAGGGCTGCTTTGCTGTTCATTGTTTTGGCTTTCTTTTTGGAACACTGTGGCATTATACAGAATTATTATCTGGGAAAAGTAAAAACCCTGCACGTGCTTTCTATTTCCCGCATGTGACCATCTTCCAAACTTACAACAACAAAAATCCAGAACATCGTGCCAATCAAGTAATTCTCCACCTATCATTTGACTGAATCAGTCAAGTATGATGCGCATAACTTTTCGCTTCCTGTACAAAGCAGTGGCACACATGTGACTCTCGCGTCACAAAGCGAAAGACATTCAGAGAGATCCAACCCAAAATGGGGGGACGTGCATACTATAAAACTACGGAAGAAAGGAAAAGAACCTCCACTACAAGTGCATGCTCATGGTGTGGACGTGTTGGTAGCAAATGGTGAGGAGAGTAATGCCTAGGCTAAAGAGCTACGGGAGAAAGGAATGGAACCACACCAAGGAGTCCCACCGATGTCTCTAGGGAAGGGCCATTCATGAACATAGTGGTGCGCATGAAGGTCACCCCATCATAATCAAGGTTCTGGGGAAGTTTTCACAAGTGTTGTGCTGTATGTACAGACCTTGGGGGGAAGCACATGACATCAGATGCAAATCTACATGGTGCTGCCTGCTCCATGCTCTTGTGTTGTTGAAAACAGGAGCTCATGATGCCCCGATAGGGCTAAAGTTATTGGCATAACTAGACATTGCTGGCAATCCTGTGTTGCCTTCTGTTAATGTGCATATAAAGGTTTATATGCATTTTGAAAACACTTTGTGCTGAGGTTTTCATTCTGACAGGTCTAAAGTAACATGGCTTGGATACCCATTGCTCTTCAGTGCTAAAAGACCTACTGCTAAGCTAATGGTGAGAGAAAGAGAGAGAGAGAACATGATAGCAGATGTTCTTTTGTCTGAAGGTATGAAATTTTAAAATGCTACTTTGATTATATACAAATATTGGCACACACACCCTTTTAGGGGTGCAAATAGAGGAAATACAGTATTTTTCCATGTAGAAGACTATATTTTTTCCTAAATTTCTGAAGTTTAAAATAAGGCGTCATCTTGTACACGGAGAGTGTATAGTGCATTTTCTTAATTTTGAATCCCAAAAAATAAGGGGCGTCTTATACACGGGGGCGTCTTATACACGGAAAAATACGGTAGTCATTTCCCCACATTCTGCAATATGTGGGAAAGCAAGTTTCCAATTAATGGTTGGTGCTGATTTTTCATGTCCCCCAAACTAGATGCACATACACATATATAAGGGGATGAAAACAGATATGAAAAAACCAGCCCAATGTGTGTTGGTGATGTGGAGGGGAAGCAGCCGAGAGTACAAAATAACCCTTTGTGCTCAGAGACAGACGTCTCAAATGTCCAAATATACAAAAGGATTTAGTCACATGTTTCAAGTCTATCTGAAATGCTCAGGGTCTAAAAGCAAGACAAATCTGTTTCTTCTCCATTTCCTTCCTGCTACTGCCAACATAGAAAACAGTAAGTCTGAGGGACCTTGATCATAGCAAAAAGAAATGTCTGAATGGAATTTCACAGCAGGCCTCTGAGAACATTGCCCTCAAATATCTTTTACTAGATTGTGGCTCTTCGCCTTCATCTTGAGAATGAAAAAAATATATATACATGCAAAAATGTGAATGGATCCTTCTAAAAGTTAGTTGCTGGGTTACTTTTAATACACTTGCAGCTATTCCTAGCAGTAAACGCCCTCTACACCTTCAAAAAGTGTTTTTGCCAGGGGAGAGGTTTGGGGATGGCATTGCAGGAATATTAAGATAGTTCTATGGTCCATTAGAAGGATCCTGCGGTATATGCCAGTACTGAAAAGCCCTGTGCACAGAAACCCTTCTTACATCTACATGCTATTAAGGGCCAATTCCTACGTTTTGTTCCCTGGGATGCCCTCTTTGCATCACTCAGGGGGTGAAACTAACAATAATAAATAATGATAATAAGAGTAATAATGATGATGAAAACGATCTCGACATGCCGTTAAAATAGTGCAGAACTTTCCCATGTCAATTCTTACAGGAGTATCCCTTAAATAAAAAAAACTGGCATGAGGTTAAAAGCCCTTAGAGATATCAAAATAAAGGCCCACCTGATGTCAACTTTTCTCTTTGCTGCATACTATTCCTTTATTTTGCAGACAGCAAAAAGAAAGCTTCCAAGTGACCTGAGTGACATTATCCCACTTAATTGGAAGGCAAAAGATAAATGAAAACCCATGCTTCAAAAGCGTGCCCAAAATCAAACAGGCTACCTTAATAATAATTAAATGAAATCCAGCTCCATGTTTCTCTAGCAAAACATGCTGAGATGCTAGAATAGTTTCGGCTTGTGCTTTGTTTTGTGTATTCTCCATAAACGAACAATAAATTGAGATACTGGCATTAAAAACACGATAGAAACCTCACAAGAAACCCAACTACTGTATATGCACCACAAACTTTACCACTTGCTATAGAAGAAATAACAGGGATGAAACTTCCATCCATAATGTTGCGTTTTCCCATGGTGGCATAATAGGCACCATTTAAATAATGATCATAATAATCTTGTGTTGTGCTTCTAAACTTATGCTTGTCTTAAAGTGATTTCAGAAATTCACCTGTAAATCACAGGTGAAGGACATAATTGAGTACGCCCCACTAGTTTCAATGAGACTTAAATATGTTGAACTCAATATGTCCTACAACCCGGACACAATTACCATGGCAATTTTCAGGACATACATTTATATTTTGTGCAATATTCAATGGAAAATCCAGATGTGAGAACTCTTATTCTCCCCAACAACAAATCACTCCATTTTTTTAAAACGACATGCATGCTTTAATAGCTTTGCAATACCAGTAATAATAATAATAATAATAATAATACAATCATCCCCAAAGTTCTAGGCAACAAGATGAATATTTAGCACAACACACTTCTCCTAAAAGAAAAAGAAAAAAGCAATCCAGAAGTTTAATAAACAAGCCGACGTATAAGACACTAAAGGCATGCTGGCACCTTCCACTTCTGCCAAATCAAAGCAGCAAGATAGGAGAAGAGAGCCAGGGGCCACCTTACTAAGGTAGAAAAGGATTTTTTCTTGTTCCAGTTCAGGTGGCAGAATGAAACTGCACCTGGATCTCCTGCCATGGGCCCCAAGGGCAGCCAAGGTGTAGTGCAGATCCCCCAGGAGTTGCCCAGAAAAAGGCACTGGGGGCAGAGTTCCCTCACTCCAAATGCATGTCCACCACTGATTCTGCAGAAAGCAGAAACATATACCCAGTTAAGGACGCCAAAAGTCAAAATGGTAGTAGAACTTTAAGGACTGCAACAGTAGACTGTTAAGTAAGCAGACTGCAACAGTGTTTTTTCCGTACGGTTGCTCAATGCCAGACAGATCAAGCAGAGGAAGCGGGACACATCTGAAAGCACTGGAATGTTTTTCAGCAGCAACAGGAGATCCACCATTTTGCAGCCGAGGGTTCCCAAAACTCACAGACCGCCACCACTCCGATCTACTGAAATCCTATCGCGCTGGTGGATGTTCTCTTCTGCAGCTTTCATAAGTACAGCTAGACGGCTTCCAGAGACAAATCCTTTCTGGATAGCAGTCATGAGCTAAAACACAAACAAACACCAGGATTGAGAAGACTCATTCATTTAGAAATATATGTGTGTGTGTGTGTGTGTGTGTGTGTGTGTGTGTATTATAATGTCTTAACACACGAGCAAACGTTAACACATTACAAAACTCTGTGGTGAAGTAGAGCCAGGCTTCACTCTCAAAATCCAGAGTGGAAGACCACTGAGAAGCATCGCTCTTGTGTCACCACCCTCCACACCTCAGAAGATGAGCACAGCATCTTCAATATTACCACTGGTGGGCATGCTCTCTTAATAGTATTCTGATTCCATGTTGTTGCTACTCCAATGAGAAAGCCAACAGAACAATTGGAAAAGTGCTCTTCCAGCCCTATTTGGTATGCTGGGCTTGCATCGCACAATTATCAACCTGACAGCAAATGCTACAAGCCACACTCTCGTTTTACTTCTCTGACTTTTTTTCCTTTAGGGCCAAAGCAGAGATGAATGAACAATGTGCAAGGCATTATTTGGCCAATTTTCCTTTTTCTGAGCAATCAGAAATTCCTCCAGGATATTCATCTCTTTCTCTCTGTATGTATATGTGTGTATGTGCACACAGATATCTATATACAGCTATATATATATATATCTACATATAGATATAGGTATATATAGATATGAATATTTCTGACTTTTATGTTAACTCATTGGACTGCCTAAGCAAGCGCAGTCAAGTATTCATTGGAGCTCTTCTGGCTACTTGAGAAAAGCCTTGGTGTTTAAGCAGGTTGAAGCATCTGAAAGACTAGACTAACACAAATGGATAACAGTAACATCACCCATGAGCATGGTACTTTCAAAGAACAGAAGGATATGTCCCTGCCCTGGAGATTTAAAAATCTAGGAAACAGGTATCGAAGAAGAAAACAGAAGTAGGCCACTCATCATCCTATTTATTCAAAGAATCATCATGTGTGTCTAATAAATGAAAAGACCTACTCCTTCTGAGGAGCAGAAGTTCTCCTTTTTACCCGCCTGCTTGTGATGACAATACATTATATCCACGTGGGTCAATGCCAACTGAGGAATACATGCAGTGTGAAATCACCTGTCCCAAAGTGTTTGTGTATGAAAAGCACCCCTTACCTACAAATATAGCACACCAGGGAGGTGGCTAGACAAAAAGCCTTCTGCCTGACATAGAGGCAATGTCAAACAAGAGATCCCCTACTCTGTATTCTAAACTGGTATAGTCCTGAATTATGAATATTTTCCAAAAATGCAACCAGATCTTGTTTTTTACAGGCTCTGGATGGCAGGAGAGAAACTGGTATAGAACAAGATTGCATTTTATATTTTAAATAGGCTTTATTAGTTTTATTGGCTTGTTTGGTATTATTGCCTGGCCCAAGTACTTGGGATAAGATAGGCTGGAAATTTAAATGAAAAATGCAAATCTGTGTTAAATGGTTTTAAGTACGCACCCGTAAATATCTGAAGTGTGCAAAGCACAATAAAGCTGGTCCCTTAAAAAAAAAATCACAAATAACATACGGCAGGATAAACTATTTCATCTTAACATGATGGCACTGACAAAACAAGCCAAATTTTAAACAAATGCAATCATGAAATCAAAGTGCTACCAATACATAATAAGACTTTCAAAATCTAAAATTAAATCCTGTTAATTTTGGAGCCTTAGAATAAATGAGAAAGGGGAAACTGCAATGTTAGCTGGGAGTGGGGAGTAGATTTATTTTTTTTAAAAAACGCCTTAACGTGATTTACATTACAGGCAAATTTTCTATTTTAAACCTCTGTATAAATAAATGTACTCGCATAACTTAGTCTACTAAGTGTGGAAGGGGGGAGAATATACATATAAACACAAAAATATATATATAATACGCTAGACTCAACCTGTGAAAATTTCCACATTTAGATTCAACAGTGCTCTTATCTGCAACCCATCTTGAGAGAGACAATTACCATTTTCCTTTGCCTTGATCTTGTTTGTTTAACTTGACACAGTGAAGAAAGGGCTGACATTGACCAAAATCCCCAGCATTAATTTATCTCATGTTCTGCATTCATCATTGCCACTGCGCAGGAAGGACCTGGCAGTCATTTGAAAAACCTAACCAAGGAAGGCTCTACAAAAACAAACCTGGCTGGCAATGGAAAGCAAATAAGCCGCTGCTTGTATGAAAGGAGTCAAATGGATGCCTAGACGCATTTCAGAAGCCTCTTTAGAGCTTGTGTATTTTGCAGCATTGGAATTAAAGACACGTGTGTTCCTATGTTCCACCTTCTGCACCCACAAAACCACAGACCAATTTTCTCCCCTCTGGTTTTATAGGATAAGGGAGCAATTCACAGGCCAATTGATATGCAAGTGGCAGAGTTCAAACATCAAGGCAAACACACAACTTGAGGCTCGTGTTAGCCAATTTCTCCTCCGCCTCCTGTGTGCTGATACTCTCCTCCACTTCCTGATTCGTGGCAATGACGTCTAGAACTCAGTAAAACTCCGGTTACCGCTAGCTATGCTTGCTAGCAAGGTTGAGAAGAGACTTCAAAAACTGGGGTTCCAATTCTGCTTGCAGGCAAGCTATGGATACTCCTAACTACAACAGGGGAGGGAATTGCCCGTGCGAAGTAAGGAGGGTGCCACGCACGCAAGCTTCTCCCTTCACACATCAAACCCCAAGGGCGGATCTGGCTAAGGGAAAGGCTATACCGTGTGCTAAAGGATTCATCAAGCAAAGAAACATGCAGCAAGATCAACGCTGGTTGAGAGATCGCAGTGATTTACTTGCTGTTGTCTGGAGCAATACCCTACCCCCACCCCATCTCAAGCTGCCTCTCATACCTCGCTGGGTGCCCCCCTTAAAAGAAATACATGGGGGGGGGAGAGAATTGAAAGATAGAATGCACAAATTTTAACAATGCAGGTGTGCTTGGAAACTGAATGTGGCATGTATGTGATCCTGGAGTAATCCATGTGTCAAGCAGATGTTGAATTAATTACAGCCCAATAGCAGAAAATTTAGTATTTTTATCATAGGAAGGTATATTGTTTTGCTTCTCCCCTCTTTTTGAATTTCAGTTTTTAAATAGGTGTAATAATGAGATGGGAAGAGATTATGCAAGATATTCCATCCCTATCATATAGCTGGAACTATAAAACTTTAAAAAGGAAAATCCGTCTGTCCAACCATTGGCTACTATGTAGCAAACATCCTTCCAACCTGCATTTAAATGGTTTACAAAATCACAGATACAGCTAGCCTCTGAAAAGAGCAAAAAAATCCTGAATTTATATTCAGCATTGGACCACTAAGAAGGAATCATGTCCTGGGCCGCTGGCCCTTATGTTGGACAATGTGAACAACACTGTGCTGATTCACCACTAGACTAAGTGGCATCTAACATGTTGCCCATGCGCAAAATAAATAAACATCCTGTAAATTCATTAATTTAAATAATCAGGAGAAATATTAAATCAATATTTAATCAGTCTCCATACAAGTCAGTGTTATCAGCATGGAAAGGACAAACTCTGAGCATGAAAATTTGCCTGCTTAAATTTAAGCCAAGTCTACTAGAATTGGTTAAGTGGGAACGTAGGCTGGAGATCAATTTTTTAAAAGGGAGAAACTGCAGGGGTGAGTAGGAAGAAACCTAAGGAGTCAACACAACTAAGTTTGAAACAAAGGATTTAATGTTTTGCCCAACCGAGGAACAGCATTCCCATTACCAATTTGCTGACAAAAATCTAAGATGAAAAGGTAAATATTAAACGATTTTCAGAGACCTTGATTTCAAGGCCTACTTGCCTGCACTATGTGACAGCCAGATCATAGGCTAAAATTGCATTCTGAGTGTCTTCCACCTCCCTGCACTGCTTCGCTGTCACTCTCCATGGTAATCAAGCAGTGGCAGCAGTGGATTACAAGGCCAGCCTCAGAGGATGAGAGCAGCTAGTACAGTCGTACCTTGGATCCCGAACGCCTTGGTACTTTCCGTTTTGGCTCCCGAATGCCACAACCCCGGAAGTGAGTGTTCCAGTTTGTGAATGTTCTTTGGAACCTGAATGTCCAATGGGGCTTCCGCAGCTTCTGATTGGCTGCAGGAGCTTCCTGCAGCCAATCGGAAGCCACACCTTGGTTTCCAAACGTTTTGGAAGCCGAACGGACTTCTGGAAGGGATTCCGTTTGAATTCCAAGATGCCACTGTGGTGGTGTCAAGTGGCCTGGGGAGCTGGATCTCAGGGGCAGGGCCCACAAGGATGGCAGACAAAGAAGCCAGCAGAGCTGAGGGGCCGCTACAGCCTGTTTTGGCTACCCCCTCCCTCTAGCTTGCTTGGGCTGCCTGCCCACCCCTTCTTGTCATGCTATACTTTGCATATAAAATATATGCATAATAACAATCACACATATTTAAAAGGAACCAACTTACCTGCAAAAACTCATTGAGTTCAACCTGCCCATTCTTGTTCAGATCTACTTCATTCAAAATCTCGTGGAGTGCTCTTTCATTAATTTGAAGGTTGATGCTCTATAAAAGTTTATGAAAGAAAAAAAACCCACAATCCTGGATTAACAAAACACTATTAATAGCACATCGGGCAATTTTGATAGTATTTTTTAAGGTAAGTAAAATGTTACCTCCAACACACGCTGCACATCCACTATGGTAATAAAGCCTTTGCCATCTTTATCAAACATGTGGAATCTCTTTTTATATCTGCAAAATTGGATAATTCAGGAAACAGCTATATAATGCCAAACAGCAAAAGCAGTTTTATAAAGAAGCCCAACCTAAATCTATGGGATGTTCTCCTCCTTCCTTGCAAAATCTCCACCATCAGACAGTGCCACGGTTATTGTCACCAACACTATTCATCTTTCCTCATTTTAATGCCATAACATACCACCTTCTACCATACCAAGTACTGCCAGGATTCAGTCAGCTTGGGGAAGGAGGTGCAGCTCAATAGCAGAGCACATACTTTTGCACACAAACACACAGATTTGGTCCCTGGCATCTCCAGTTGAATAAACCTGGTAGCAGAAGTGGGGAAAATGTCTGCCTAAAGCAGGGATCAGAAACATATGTGGCTCGCCAGATGTCAATAGACTACAAGTCCTATCATCTGTGACTGCTGGCTGGGGCTGGTGGGAAGTGGGAACCCAACAATATCTGGAGGGCCATAGAGGTTCCTCATCCCTGGCCTAAAAGCGCGGGAGAGCCACTACAAGGCAGCGTAGAGAGAGAGTGTTAATGGACCAGATGGATTAATCATCTGAATACACAAGGCAGTGTCATACACAGACCCAACAGGTGTTGAGCCAAGACAGAGATATAATTATGCCCGATGCTCTTAGCCAATCAGGGAATGTCAAACAGTCAGTCAAGGCAACCTAATGGCATCTGTCTGTCTCGAGAGATAACGGAGTACTCTGGGGGTGAGATCAAGCTGAAGTGACCTCCCCTAGGCGCAAGTCTAGGCAGTGTATATGGAGGTCCTGGGCTGCCCAGATGACAAGACCTCCCTCTCAGCCTCGCTGATGTGATCCAGGAGTTGCCAGAAGGAGGTGCATATGATGCCATCCAACCATCCTAGGGACTCCACTCCTGATTTCTGTAGGGCTCTTTAATCTTCCTTCTCCCAAAGATATCCCACTAAGCAGTGGTGGTTTAGGATCAGTTTTCCTTCTCCTAGATGGGAAACCTTCCCAGGTTGCCAAGCCCCATCTGCCCACCATTTCCCTCTACAGCTCATGCAGAAACTGCCTTCTTGACCGTTGGACCCACTATTGGTCTCATCCACTTAATCTGCCGGAGTCCGTTTTCGCATGGAGAAGGAAAGGCCAGTCAAAGCCATTTCCAAGAGTGTGGGCACTGGCACACGCTTACAGCTTCTAGGAGCCACAGGTGAGAGCTGAGTGCAGGGTAGGGACCAAAGGTGGACAAAGTACCCCAGAAGGAGCACAATGTACAGTGGTGCCTCGCAAGACGAAATTAATCCGTTCCGCGAGAGTCTTCGTCTAGCGGTTTTTTCGTCTTGCGAAGCAAGCCCATTGACGGATTAGCGCTATTAGCGGTTTAGCGGCTATTAAAGGCTTAAAGGCTTAGGGATTAGCTGCTAAAAGGCTATTAAAAGGCTATTAAAGGCTTAGCAGATTAGATAAAGGGGAAAAGCGAAAAAAACCTCAAGACTCATAAGGTATTTTCGTCTTGCGAAGCAAGCCCATAGGGGAATTCGTCCTGCGAAGCAACTTCAAAACGGAAAACCCTTTCGTCTAGCGGTTTTTCCGTCTTGCGAGGCATTCGTCTTGCGGGGCACCACTGTATCCCCCACCAGAGGTCCTACCCGTCCCCCAACACCCCATACACCCTTCAAGCCAGCCTCAAACGTGGCAAATAAACACAAAGAAAGATCATGTACAATGGCAGCAAAATTAAATAAAAGGATCTGCCATCTCAGCCCAGCTTGCGCAGCTGGGGGTTTGGTTCTTAACACTTGCCACCTACCCACTGCAGTTCTGTCTAGACCCCAGAGAACAGCAACTACTACCTTGCACAATGTATTTACCTCTCAATATCTCCTGGGGACAAAGTGATTTCGCTGCGATCCGTCAGTTGCTCTGATCGTGCCTTGTAGCCCATTTCGTAGTACAAAAACTTCTTCGCCTCTGCAAGCTGCTCCTATACAGAGAGAGAGCAGCACACAGTGTCTCAACTCTAGGGTAACAGCAAATATTTACATTCCGAATTCCTTCTTTGCTGTAATGTTTTACTGGCTCCTTTCACTTAATTATAATTGCTGGTCCTTAGAGGAATATCAGCAGTTGATGACCAAAAAGTGCTTAAAGGTGAACAAGGTAATTAAGATTAGGCAGCATTTCATGCTTCAGCTAGATCACTGGTTTGGTTGTACAAGTGTTGATTATCAAGCGATAATTACTCCGGGAGACGTGCAATGTAAAGATTTTAAAGGCTCTAACGTGCCCTCAATCCACACATGCAACTAGCAGCGATGTCAGCAAGACTTGTGCTTGCAGACAGAAAGGGACAAGAGATGGCCTTTAAATTTAATGCTGGTATCTTATAGCTACAATAAATACACTAAATGGCGAGACACAGGCTTTAATGCATCCAATTTTTGAGGGCTTCTGGCATTTGCTGTGATTACTCTCTTCAGGCAGCAGGACAGCGAGGCAGCCCCTAGTTGGGAATCTTCAAATCCCCTCTTCCTTTGCTGTTCTGCTCCTGTATTCAATGTGCCTGACCACGTTCAGTGTTTTCCAGGCTCTGCTCCTTTGAGGAAGTAGGGACTTACAGATGAAACCAGCTATCCTGCTTTGACAAAATATTGTTTTCCATAGCAAGTAAGTTAGCTTCAAAAGGCCTGAAAACAAGATACTGGAACTCCTTGATCACATGAAGTACAGCTTCTGGGGGCGGCAGGGAGGGGGGAAGCACGTTTATGAAAGACATTCTTTTTTCCAGTGCAAACTACATGCACCACAGGAAGGCCATGGTGGCAGGAATCGACCTGCCCTCAGTAACAGGTCTAAGTTGTTACGGCAAGAGTTGCAGTACTCACCATGTGGACTGGGTCATGTTGTTTATCTCTTCTCTCTTCACCATGGCTTTTGGGGGAAAGGAAACTCTGGGAAGAAGGTGAGCACCTCCAAATGTTACAGCAGGGAGGGTGATCAGTCCCCAAAGGGAGGCTATTTTAGCAGCATCGCTTGAGTAAACATAGCATGTGGTTTGGGCCCAACCAGAATAGGGTGTGTGTGCCCATGCGTGTCTGTGCATATGTGTATGCGCGTGCACACATACACACACCCCTCCAAGGAGTTAAAGTAAAAGACGCCTGCTCCTTGGGAGAAAGGTGATGGCAAACCTAGACAGCGTCTTAAAAAGCAGAGACATCACCTTGCCAACAAAGGTCCGTATAGTTAAAGCCATGGTTTTCTCAGTAGTGATGTATGGAAGTGAGAGCTGGACCATAAAGAAGGCTGATCGCTGAAGAATTGATGCTTTTGAATTACGGTGCTGGAGGAGACTCTTGAGAGTCCCATAGACTGCAAGAAGATCAAATGTATCCATTCTTAAGGAAATCAGCCCTGCGTGCTCACTGGAAGGACAGATCCTGAAGCTGAGGCTCCAATACTTTGGCCACCTCATGAGAAGAGAAGACTCCCTGGAAAAGACCCTGATGTTGGGAAAGATGGAGGGCACAAGGAGAAGGGGACGACAGAGGACGAGATGGTTGGATAGTGTTCTCGAAGCTACGAACATGAGTTTGACCAAGCTGCGGGAGGCAGTGGAAGACAGGAGTGCCTGGCGTGCTCTGGTCCATGGGGTCACGAAGAGTCGGACACGACTAAACGACTAAACAACAACAACAACAGTGGTGCTTCGGGTTAAATACTTAATTCGTTCCAGAGGTCCGTACTTAACCTGAAACTGTTCTTAACCTGAAGCACCACTTTAGCTAATGGGGCCTCCTGCTGCCGCTACCGCGCCATTTCTGTTCTCATCCTGATGCAAAGTTCTTAACCCGAGGTAATATTTATGGGTTAGCAGAGTCTGTAACCTGAAGCGTACGTAACCCGAGGTACCACTGTACACATGTCTGTTCCACCATTTATCTCACAACAACCCCGCAAGGAGGGGCTGGCTGAGGGAAAGCGACAGGCGTGAAGTCACCCAGCAGGCATCTTGGCTTAGTGGGGATTTGAACCTCCGCAGGCCCACAACTCTGACAACCCTGACAAAAACAACATCTGAAGCAACTATGGCTCATTTGCCGATGCCCAGGAGTTTCTTGGGGAAGGATCTTGCAATCCTTTTGCTGCGAACCTAGAGGCCCGCCCTTGTACCTTTTTCTTCTGTTCGCTCCATTTGAGCTTCTTCCCCATTATCTCAATTATCCTTGGCAAGGCTTCGTCCGCAGCCTGCACGTTCAGGAAGGCCAGGCGTGTGCGGCGAGCAATCACATCCACCGCAGTGCAGGCATACTCTTGGATTGCATACTCAATCTACAATATTTGAGACACGCAGAGAGAGAGAGAGAGAGCGCTCAAAGATCTGTTTCAGTTCGATAGCCTGGCTCTGGACAGAGAGATTACAATACTAAAAAGAAAAGGGAAAGAGGGTAATGTAATGTAATGTAATGTAATGTAATGTATACAGACTGTGATTCAAGATGGAGTTACCCACCATCACCCTGATTCGAAAGCATACATTCTAGGCTACTGAGATGAACTTTTGTTACACTACAATGGTCCTCTGTCCTTTTGTTTTCTCAGATTCAAAAGAGGTGCATTTGGTATTGCATTTGATCAAAACACATTTCACCCAGAAATTCAGAGGTTATACTTCACGTTCTCTTGGGCAGGGAAGGAGAGATTCATCCATAGGTATAAATATTCTTTAGAGAACTGCAATCCAATTCCTTCCTAACCTTAGTAGATCTTCCACATCAGCACTTTACAAGGTACTCTTTGCACACTGCTACATGCCCTGAGCCTGTTCCTCCTAATATTCCCAGGATCCTTATATGATTGCCAGCGTTTTGACTGGCCACTGCAGCCGTGCCTTTGACAGCAGCTTGATGTGCAGACACACGAGCAGGTAACGCATGCTTATCTCACTGCAGTGTAAAACCTGTCCTGCTTTACATCCTTTCTAGCTCATATGCGTACACAGAATTCCACCTGCTGTTTGCTTCTCCCTAAGCATACCACCCTCTTCAGTTCCTACCAGCAGCCCTGTTCTGTTTTCCCCCCATGGGGAATGGGAAGGACAATTTGAGTTACCTGGATAACAGCAAGCATTTATAACACCTTAGAATGTTAAAAGCACTTTTCCTATAAGAATGACTTCCATCTCACTGTAAGGTAGATCAGCATTTATCACGCTAGTGTCGCAGATGGAGACTGAGAGATATTGGCTTACCTAATGGCAGAGCCAAGATTTAAACTGGGGGAGTGTGGGGAGGATAGGATGAGGCAGGGGAAACTTGTGTATAGCAGGGGAAAGCTGTGTATAGCACTACCTCTGTTAGTTGATGTCACCAGGCAGTAGGCAGAATAAGCTAAGCTACGGCATCTTCAAGAGAGCAGAGCATTTAAACACAACCGGGGTGGGGAGGAGAAGGAAAGAAGCAATATGACAACAAAGGGTCTCACTGTCATACCTCAGACTCAATGTAAGGAAACTCGGAAACCAGGCGATTTCCAACAATAGGCCACCTCTTCCCGGTCACCTGGGCCAACTTTGCCACTTCAAAGGCTTTGTCCCCAAATGTATTTGAGAGATGTTGAGCCACCTACAGGATCAAGAGCGGGTTAAAAAAAGAACTGTTTCATCAGTCGGCACTTCCTAGAATACTGCTCCATCTAGACAGAGCTGCCCTTGACAGTTTTCCTGTGGCCTGTTAACTAATAGGCCAAAGGCGGCATCCGATGAGGGCTGGGTGGGAGGAAACAGCTCGTGCTGGGAACGCTTAGGCTAGCACTAACACAGCTATGCATGTATCAATGGAACAGTGACTAATGACGCTTCAAGGTTTCTGCTACTGTCGTCACATTTGAAGAATAACTTCACTTGGGACCAAGAAGCCAAGAGGCTTCTTCGACTGTCACAGTTAGGAGACAGGATGCGTGTGCGTGCGCACACTGATCAAAATTGGGATTGTGTAAATTGGGTTTACAGAGCATAGAATAATAACAACAACAGACATGATAGTATTAATAATAATGGGTTAGGGCTCAATTTAGCCCAGTTAAACAACATTTATAGTTGGCTTTTAATCATGTGATGCATATGCTTTTTAAAAAAATCCTTAATCTAAACATAGAACTTTGAATTAGGTAAGGGCCAAAATAAGAGGCATTTTGAGCGAGAGAAGCCCCTTTCCCTTTCTTCCACTACCCCTAGCCCAACAATTCCCAACCTTTTGCCTCATTCTAGCTTCTCCCGCTGCACCCTCTCCTCCTCTTCTCCATCAGTCCCGGCCTTCATTCCAGTCTCTTCCATCCTTCTTTGCTTCCTGTGTGGCCCCTCTGAACATTCGTAGGCTGGTTGTAGTGGCAACACTTGGATCAGTTAGAAGGGCACGGCAATGGTCCCTACCAACATCGGTATCCAGAGGACGAGTGAGATGGAAGTCACACACTTCTCTGCTCACAGAAGATGCTTCCACCAGATATGGGGTAATTTCCTCCAACAGCCCCTCCACAGTTAACCCAGCCCACACTGGGTCCTTGAGAAACCCTCGAGAAAGATTGGGGGCTGGCAGCAGGAAGCTACAGAGGGCTAGGAAAGATCCTTTTTTCTAAACTGCTTTGAGGTTTTAGTACAATCAAGCTGCAAGTATTGTGAAATAAAAATAACGTTCCCCTCTGCTCACAGTTCTCCGGATCCAAGGTGTTGTATTCTTTATGGCAAAGTTTTAAGATTTAAAAAGAAATCACACCACAAGCCTCACCTCACTCTCAAGTCCATAATCTTGAACCAGTCGAATATAAAGAGTCGGGCTCCAACCCTCTCCACCCTGTAAGAAGAGACCAACTGTCTTACAGGGACCCGCACGCAGGCCGTGAGCGCGTACTGCAGCATCAATTGTATCCTCTGCCATCGAGCGATAGGTTGTCCATTTCCCACCTGGAAACATTAATGTAAAAGGATACTGAAAGCACCCTGCATCCGCCCCTTCCTATCTACCTCAACAATTTGTGGTTTGGGGTTTCTAAATTACAAAGTCAGGCTACAATCCAATACAAATCCCATGAAACAACCCTTAAAACTATTCTCCCTCGAAAAATCCCATTGTTTCAGAACTGAGAACTGCAGTCTACGCATCTGACTAACTTCAATCGGTACCAAGTGCTAGACCGTTAAAGTTAATGATCGATTAACTAATAAAGAATTCAATGACTAAAAAAGCCTGTCAGTTTATTAAGGTCAGAGCAAAGGCTCTTTCATGTTGGCTTGGTGTTGCATTCAACTTAGTGCTAAGGAGATCATTCCATCGGTGCAAACTTTTCCACTTGCACAACAGAACAATCTCCCCTCTCCTCTCCCCATGTTCTGGGGGTTTTCCTGAGCAGATCTGGGGGGGAGGGGAGTGTTGGGTGCATGCAGAAGGAAAGCCCCACTGCATAAGTCGGAATCTTTGCATTGGCTGCAGCTAGTGCAACCGCTGAGTTGAAAAGGCTCTATAATGGGGAGAACTGAGTGCCTGGGACCAGCGAATACGCCACACAGCTGTTTTGATTGCCTATTGCTTTATGAAGCACCTCTTGACCCAGACCTGATTGTTGCTCACATCAGTAGCTGGCAAGGAGAGATGAGGGTAGGTCTCTGATACACCAGGGGCACAACTGATACTGCTACTAATGACTTGAAGTGTGCAGTGTGCATAGTCCTTTATATTTAAGTCACTTGTAGGCCAGTGCCTGTTCCCCTCTAAAAATGCACTCATGGGGTCTTCCATCAAGCTAAGACAACTGAGCTAACAAACCTTAGCCTACAAATGTTTTCTGTTACCAAGAGGTAATGGGAGGGTGCCATTTGAAACAAAACAAGAATTGTGCTGGAAGAGGGTGGCTTAGCCTTTCCACTTATTGCTTCTTTCAAATGCAGAACCCAGCCACCTCACCCATTTCATCCCCCTCCCCCCACCCAAGCATCTCAGGTTGAAAGTGAAGGTCTGGTACCTGCTATAGTCACAAGGCCGCTGTCACTAACATGCACCACATGATTCCGAGATATGGATTGGGTGTCTTTAGAATTAGGGTCTGTTACTAGGGGACGAATCCCACTCCATGCTGCCAAGACATCGCCTCTCCTCACTGTGGTTGAAAAGAAAAAAAGAAATCCCATCAGAACAACAATTTTAAAAATAACAATAACAACAACAACAATAATTTTAAAAATATGCCATCAATGTAATCTTGGAGAAATAATATTGCCAGCTCTGCAAATGTTAATGACAGAAAGGTAAAGAAAGAAGAGGTACAACTGCATCTTTTGATTCAATAATGACTAATGTTCAAGCAGTATATACTTATTTTTGAAAAGGGGGGTGTCAAGAAAACATAGTCTAATTTACCCAAAATGAAAGTTTGCATCAATGGAAATCACGTAGAACTATTTCCTGGATGTCAAAATTTAACAACCACCAAGGTCTTAACATCATGAAACCTTTTGATCACATAGGCATTATAAAAACCTGTTCCCACAGCTGTTCAAAAGCATGCGTTTTCTGCCATACAATGCTACAGTAGACAAGCAGCTAAGTACACATGCAATTTATATTGACACACACCAAAGGGCATTAGAAAGTTAACTTTAGATCTTGGCACGACAACATGTAGCACAATACATGTGTTTTATTACCTTCAAGCTCAATAGAATATTGAGAACATCCATGATCATTTTTAAGATTCTGGTCCTCCCAGAAACATATATGCAATGGCCATACTTGGATAGCATGGTAAGCCATGTTGCTGGTATTATCACTATTCACATCGTTGGATAGAGGGTGAATATCTGGAACCACAACTTGCTTATCTTCTTAGGAGCAGAATGATAACAAGCCTGCCTCTAACTTGCTTTCTGACATAGCAAGCAAAAAATACAGCAGTTAACACACCTACTCCAAGTATTCCAATTGCTCATTTTTTCACTCCAAATTGCACTATGCTAATGAAGAACAGATAATCTATATGCTTGTGCAAACCTCAAAGTTACTGTGTTTTTAGTACTGTGGCTTAAGTAGCCAAGTGCAAAAACACAATATGCCTGGAACTATTCAGATAAACCACTTGCCACACGCCTCATACAAACCGAGCTTGGCCAGCCACGCACAAAATGACTGTGCTGAGTGGCTTCAAAAGTTTCACCATATTTTTATCTGGTCAAACCTTGGGAAAGAACACTGTAGTCATTCACCGAATGCATTTTGTGGAAGGCAGATTTTCTGAGTGGCTCTGCATAGGTGAAGGAGGTCAAGGAAATTTAAAATTCATCCGTTTTCACACTTACGGCCCTCTGTTTGGATTTATTATTTCTTTTAGTACTCAGGTTACGCTGCTTCCTTTTGGACAACCTTAAAAGGGTCAGGAAAATGTCACTGTGGCCAAGCACCAAAACACTTTACTTATCCTCTTGTCATCAAGATAGAATAGAGCCAAGGACCCCCCTCCATCAGTGGGTCTTATCAGATACTTCTCTTGAAAGCAACATGACACCTTACCTTCCCGATCCAACTCAGCAATGAGCTACTTTCTCCTTGAATTTTGCATTGTGCACATCATTTCCTTTAGACAGCTTCATTGCATTGTTAAAATTATGTGTTGATACTTTTTTTTTTTAGCCAGAGGAAGTCTGCAAGCCTGCAGCATGATCCCAACCCTTGAAACCATGTTTTGGAGGATGGGGAAATGCTATGTATCAACTGACCCAGTGCGACTACAATACCACTCATCAGTTTCTTAAAGGGGAATTAATGTAACAAATAAAATGAAAATAAACACTCCGGCTGCTTCTACATTTACTACCTATAATTCCACTATCTTCCTAACAAGCATTTGACCAATTATGCAGTTCAGGACCCAGATCCTCAAAGACCGCCTCTCCCTTAAATGAACCACCCCAGACTCTGTGATAATTCATGTGCCCCCTTCCATGGAAGGTTCAGAGGCTAGAGACACAAGACTGGGCCTTTTCACTGGGGACTCCCCTCTTGTGTAAATATTACATGCCTGGTGCCATCTTTATCTATTTTTAGGTACCTAGAAAAGACTTTTCTCTTTACCCAGGCTTTTGGACCTTAATTTGAAAGGTGGCATTATGGCCTCGTTTTAGTGAGATGGGCTCTGTAAGCCATGCCTTTTATTTGTATGGATGTGTTTTTAGGTTTTTTTATTGGTTCTTTTTAACTGGTTTTAATGTAAGTCGCTTTGAGTCACTCTGGGGAAAAAGAGACGAATAAATAAAAATTCTTTGTCTGTTTATCAATACAGCTATAACCTCCACAGGATCATTAGATTGTGACCACTGGTGGCACTAGAACAGAAAGTATTTTATGTGCACCATAGTTTACTACCATTGCATCTATTCTCTTTTTAGAGCACACTTCCCTTCTTTTGTTTTATTTCCTGGAAAACGTTTAATCTAACTCAACATTCACTGCTAGGGCCTCTAATTACAAAAGTATTTTTCTTAGCCCGTCTATTGAAAACAGGTTTGCAAGCCTACAGTAGACTGTAAGGTGGGACAGGAATCTTCTGAACAGGAAGTATGTTCTATAAGACTACATAACCTGACATCACTGGTCCAAAACGAAAAACACAAAATGAAGCAGCACACAGCAAGTGTTGTTGTTGTTGTTGTTGTTGTTGTTGTTGTTGTTGTTGTTGTTGTTGTTTTTACTCTCAATATGCTTCAGGAAGGACTAAGGCATAACAACCCATCAACAGATTTGCTTCAGTGTTTTCCAGCCTAGGATGGCAGTCAGGCGAGTGAGCGCACAGTCTTTCCTTCTGCCAGATTTAAAAGGGAAATCTCCCAATGGAAGCTGAGAAACGCAGATTTAATGAACAACCGTAGAGCCTCATACTTAATATCACAGAAGGTGTCATTTATTTTGACAATATAATTGAGGTAGTTTCAATATATAGTTTCTACACTATGGCCCAATGTCCCCCCACATAAGGTCTTTTTACAGCAGAGAGGAAGGCTGTAAAACGCTGTAGGACTTTTCATAAAATAATAAATCATATCAAAGCACAACCATCCAAGGGCCAGTTCACAGAATGACTGCTATGGCAATATAATATACAAGGTGAGTGGGGTGAGGGAACAGCTTTGCCACTGTAAGCATTCAACACTATATGTAGTTAATACAAAACTCTGCCCCATTCAACATACAAATATGTACAGAGTTCACCTAACTGAGAAGAGCCTTTCCCTTCCAAAAAGGGAAGGAAGAAATGCAGAATTTTGGCAAATTTTATGAAGGCTGCTTTTGCATATTGCTTCTTCCTATGTGTTATTCCTTCATCGGCCCATGTCCCTTAATCTGAAGGATACTGATGCAATGGTTTGGAGGTCTGAACAAACCCAACGAACGCACAACAGAAATGTCACTAGAGCCAGGGGAGCAAAGTAAAAATGGGTGTTAGACATAAGACAACTCAAATCCCTGCTCTATCATGAAACTGTGTGTCCTTGAGTCGGTCACTTTCCCAGTCTCAAGCTTAACATATGCCACAGGGCTGTTGTACAGATAAAATGGGTGTGAAATCTTAAACTGCCCTAATCTCCTTGGAAGAAAGTCAGGATAAAATCTATGTGCTTTACAATGAAAAAAAAATGAAGTATGTGCAATTAACCCAATATTGAAAGACCATGATTGTGAAAAAAAGGAACACTGTTTGATCTTGAAAGAGGAAGAAAATATTTTAGGCAACTAATCATGACGGTCTGCTGATCAGCAGTTATATTGCACTTGCCTCCGCTCATATTGGCTATAAAACTGTTACTAGCACTTATTAGTCAAATTTATATTCCGCCTTTCCATGAACAACACCCAAGGCAGCTAGTTGCTATCTCCATGTGGACATTAGCAAATCTTGTAGGAGCCCTGTCCTCAAAATCAAGCACACACAGAGTCCTGGAGAAGTCACAAGAACCTAAGAAGATCCTGCTGGATCCAGCCATTGGTCCATCTAGCCCAACATCCTGTTTTCACAGTGGCCAACCAGATGCCTGTGGGAAACACACAAGCAGGACTCGAGCACAAGAGCTCTCTCCCTTTCTGTGGTCTCCAGCAACTGGCATTCAGAAGCATTGCTGTCTCCAGCTGTGGAAGCAAAGCATAGCTATCATGGCCATGGATAAGCTTTCTCCTCCATGAATTTATCCATTCATCTAAGTTGGTGGTCATGACTCATGTCAGAGTGAGCTACTGAATAATCTATGGCCTTTTAAAAGTGGGGAGACTGCTATTACTATTTTTCTGTGATTTTTCTTAAAATTACTATGCTATGTAAATTATGTTTTCAAAATTGTACACCAGCCTGGGAACTTCAGATGAAGGGCACTACAGTGGTACCTCGGGTTAAGAACTTAATTCGTTCTGGAGGTCTGTTCTTAACCTGAAACTGTTCTTAACCTGAGGTACCACTTTAGCTAATGGGGCCTCCTGCTGCCACTGCGCCACCGCTGCACGATTTCTGTTCTCATCCTGAAGCAAAGTTCTTAACCCGAGGTAATATTTCTGGGTCAGCGGAGTCTGTAACCTGAAGCGCATGTAACCTGAAGCGTATGTAACCCGAGGTACCACTGTACAGTGGTGCCCCGCAAGACGAATGCCTCGCAAGACGAAAAACTCGCTAGACGAAAGGGTTTTGCGTTTTTTGAGTCGTTCCGCAAGACGAATTTCCCTATGGGCTTGCTTCGCAAGACGAAACGTCTCGCCAGTTCTTGCGAGTTTGTTTCCTTTTTCTTAAAACCGCTAAGCCGTTAATAGCCGCTAAGCCGCTAAGCCGTTAATAGCCGCTAAGCTGTTAATAGTCGCTAAGCCGCTAATAGCCGTGCTTCGCAAGACGAAAAAACCGCAAGACGAAGAGACTCGCGGAACGGATTAATTTCGTCTTGCGAGGCACCACTGTATATAAATTGAATAAATAATACTAATACTATGTGCTGCATGAAGCTCTATTGGACAAACTTTAAATATCAAAGTACTTTTACAGTCTTTGGTCCACAGTTCTACAGCTTCTCATAATGTTTCAATTTGTACTTTGAAAAAGGCCTAAACTAGCCCTCAGAGACACAATCAGCAGTGCTATGCTAGACGTGTGTACATTTTGGTGCAATTGTCACAACCGCTGCTTGGATGATAAACATGACACCCTCCAAAGCAAAAACCAGCATCTTGTTTATCCAACAACAGCACCCAAGTGACCCTTTAAAAAGCGAAAAGGACCCGGCCACAATAAAGACCATAATGTTACCTCAAGACTCCCTTCTCACTCACAGAGCAGATGTTTTAATATTAACCTCCCCTAAATGAAAGCAAAAGTCTGTAAAACTAATTTCATCCTCTTACTTAACGATGGATAAAAGCAATCTTACACAAAGGCCTGTGTGTCAGGGTCTGGTGGGGGGAGAGGGTTACATATTTTAAGATACTGCTTTCACAGGAGTGTTAACAGAAAAATCAATAATGCCTTGTAAAAATATCCCGAAAGAACAGAGAAGAGATCTGAGAAATCAATGTTGTTCTGCCAGCATGTTTAACCCACCAGAATGAAGTGCTAATCACAGAAATAAGATACCATATTACATTTATAAATTAATGAAACTAGAAAAAAGCAGCATGTGTGACACTATAATTAAACAGCTGGAACACATCCAAGCCTGTGTAAGTTGATAACCCTGCCACTGTCTTTGGCAGCAAAAAGGCAGGTCTGCAGTGAGTTGATACGGCCAGGACAATTGTTAATTCTCTAACAGACAATCTATAAACACGACTAATTACACATGTGGAAAAACAGTGTGCAACCCAGGTTGGTTACTTTCAAAAGAATTAAACGCTCAAGAAAACTACTTCGGCAGAACTGCCCTGCAAAAAATCCTGTCTTAATCAATTCTCCAAGCTGCAGCTTAGTGTAACCAACCACCTTGCCTGACAAACCACAGCTCTTTATTAATTTCTGCACGAGGGACCTAATGATAGGGGTTCCCCCCCCCCTTCTCCGGTAGACCATTTTTCTTTAATGGCTACAACAATAACAGAACTATCAATTACCCATTTCAAGGAAGAACAAACAAGCAATCTAGAATTTTCAGTCTGTGGAGAGGAGGTTGCTGAATATGAATATTCAGCCTCTGTCAACACCTACAAAGGGCAACTTAGAGTTCATGCCTTTTTATAGAATCATTTTAAAAGGACTAGATGATTCAGGGGCTTGGTAATGAAATCTGAAGCTTCTTGTGTATCTCAATACTCAAATCAGATTCCAGTTGGCTGATTATCAGAAGACTCTTCAATGTCCTATAACAGGGGGATAGCCAATATGGCGCCCATTAGATGTTGTGAACTATCAGACTGGGTCAATAGTCAGGGACAATGGGGATTGTATCCAAAACATCTGGATGGCGCCATATTGGCTACCTCTGACCTATATTAAACAAACAGTGTGCCATTTTAGCTTCCCGGTGTTCCCCTTGTTGAGATGGGTGGCGGGGATGATCTAGTTTTAGATCATTCTAAGGAAGCTGAATACAGTAGAAAGTTGTTGCTGGCGGATTTCTTAATTATTTTTTTAAAAAATCAAGCTATGCAGGGTGAAAGTGAATCACAGCTAAAGTAGAGACTTCCTTTATCTCTAATGCCAAGGATCTATTGAAAGCTAGCAGCTACACTCACCTCTTACAAATCCTACCACTTAATGTGGATTAAATACTCTTCTTTGAAGGTATAAATACAATTACTAGAATTCCACACATTGATAAAATTGCTGAATATCTCCTATTTTTATGTTGGGTTTCCAAATCCTGAATATTTATAATGAGACCTCTGGGTATAGGGCGGTATATAAATTCAATAAATAATAAATCATAGAATCATAGAATCATAGAGTTGGAAGAGACCACAAGCGCCATCGAGTCCAACCCCCTGCCAAGCAGGAAACACCATCAGAGCACTCCTGACATATGGTTGTCAAGCCTCTGCTTAAAGACCTCCAAAGAAGGAGACTCCACCACACTCCTTGGCAGCAAATTCCACTGTCGAACAGCTCTTACTGTCAGGAAGTTCTTCCTATGCTTAGGTGATCTTTCTTTGTAGTTTGGATCCATTGCTCCGTGTCCGCTTCTCTGGAGCAGCAGAAAACAACCTTTCTCCCTCCTCTATGTGACATCCTTTTATATATTTGAACATGGCTATCATATCACCCCTTAACCTCCTCTTCTCCAGGCTAAACATGCCCAGCTCCCTTAGCCGTTCCTCATAAGGCATCGTTTCCAGGTCTTTGACCATTTTGGTTGCCCTCCTCTGGACACGTTCCAGTTTGTCAGTGTCCTTCTTGAACTGTGGTGCCCAGAACTGGACACAGTACTCCAGGTGAGGTCTGACCAGAGCAGAATACAGTGGCACTATTACTTCCCTTGATCTAGATGCTATACTCCTATTGATGCAGCCCAGAATTGCATTGGCTTTTTTAGCTGCCGCGTCACACTGTTGGCTCATGTCGTTTGTGGTCAACCAAGACTCCTAGATCCTTTTCACATGTACTGCTCTGATGATGATGATTATTTTTTGTCTTCTTGCTGATGTTGCTATACAAAACCCCCCCAGCAGTTGCTTTCAACGCACCCCTAACTATATGGTGAGCTTGCACATCTGGGGTGATATTGAAATGCAAATACTCCATTATACTATTATATAATATAATCAGTGTCTGATTTATCATTTAAAATACTAATTAGAAATTTCTAATTTATGTTTGTGATTGTGCCAGGCCATGAACAGTAGTTTATGCTGGAATAATTGACTTAACCTTTCTTACACACCCTATTACTCTAAAGGTACGTCAAGCAAAAGTCACATATCTCTGAATAACTTTCCCAGGCATGTGAAAACAGGTATGTGACTATCATATGATGTGGTGCCATAGTCGGGGGGAGGGGGAGAATTAGATGTAAGAAATCCATATTCAGATCATTAGACAAAACTGCTTCATACTTTTTACACAACAGCTAAGCAACACTGAGGCCTGCTGCAGTACAAAGGGCAGGTGTGCATCTTTAACGTTTGCTCACTGCAGATTTAGGGAGGCACACCTGCCCTTTGCATTGTGTTTGAAAACACCAAAGGAACGCAGCAATCAGCTTCAGTCACGGAGCTCCATAGGTGATCCTATTTTTCAGCCTAACCTACTTTATTGATTGTATTATTTATTGTTCCAGTGATGCTCCACTGCCACTCAGAGTTCATCTAACTGCATGAGTTGGATATCACCACTGTAGGACATACTCACCAAACTACACTTCCAGCATTTCATTTCCACCCAACTTGTTTATTTAAAGTCTGTTCCTCCATCCCGCAACTGTGTGCATACAGTATATACCTGCAACTCAAGATAACATCTCAGGCACCTATAGCCACAAAAGCTTTTGCCATAATCCATTTGCCGGAATTTAAAAGTGCTGCATGGCTTTTTGCAGTTTATGGAAAGAACACGGTTTATAGACCCAGAAGTATTCTTGGAGCTAATTTTACCGAAAATTACCTTCAACATCGCAACTAAGATAGTTGCGCACTTCCGTCAAAATGAAATTGATATCTTCTTCTGTAGGAATTGGGTGATTTGTGACTTCGGTTGCAGTATCCGTGGTACCAGCAATAGTCATCTTTTGCCATGGCAAGAAGAAAATCACTCTGCCATCACTAGTGGATGGGTCAAGGAGTCCCATATTATCGGGGCTGGAATAAAGCAAATTTGTTTTTTTAAAAATATATATATATTCACATATCCCTTAAAACATTCAGAGCAAAAGGGAAAAAGGCAGAAATAAAATACTAAAAAGCACTTGTTTAGGAGACATATGAATAACACTGGGGACACTTGTTGCCGAACTCACAGAACTTATACAGAGCACAATTAGGGTTCAAAGGAAAGCTTTGGAAAGCTCACAAGCAGATTCCCGTTTCCCTTCCAGCATCTGTTATTCTGAGAAAGAAAGAGTGTTAAGTGGCCGCATGAGGCACAACCATGCAAATAAGAGAGAAAGTTATATGTGCAGTCGTATTATGTTCACAATCTCTAAAAAACAGGAATATCCTTTTAAATATGTTTTCTACATGGCCTGTATTCTCTGGCTCAACTTGCTGTCTTTGGGTATCTGTTCTCTGTATTAGTTTGCAGCACAGCTGCAGTGACCTAATCTCATGGAAGGATGGTGTTGTTTGGTAGTAGGGAACGTAAAAGGCCAGACGATAGTGTTTTTATCTTAGATTTAAAAAGTGGGGTTTTTTAAGTGTGTGTGTGTGTGTGTGTGTGTGTGTGTGTGTCAGTCTTTAACCTGGCAGCTGGTCCATGTGGTTAGTTGGATAGGGACTGTAAGCCCCACACTTTAAGGAAGTAGAAACAGCCGCTAGAGACTGTAATGAAGAGGACAATGGGGAGGAACAACCAAATTGGTTGGAGTGTTGAACTTTGGAGACCAGGATTCAAATTGGCACATAGGCATGAAGCTCACTGGGTGACCTTGAGCCTGCCGCCATCTTTCAGTCTAACCTACCTCACAGGGTTGTCGTGAGGATAAACTGGAGAGGGGAGAACCATGCATGCTACCTTGAGCTTCTTGGAGGAAAAGTGAGATATAATAATAATAATAATAATAATAATAATAATAGCTGGCATCTGAGTAAGATAAACCTGTTTTAATGCAAAGTATAGTAACTCAAGTAAGTAGTCAAATCAAAGGTTGTTGTGAATTAGCTTCTAAGCTTGATAATAATAAAAGACCCATATAGTTACATCCAAACAGAAACTCATTCACTCTCATACATGACTGTGCACATGTTTTTTCCTGCTGAAGGAAAAATGTCATATGTGAAGTGCCCCTCCAAGAGAAGATGACAATTACATGCACTTGAAGTGTAAGTTCTACAACTAAGAAGTCTTTGAGATGATATTTATATACAGCTTAAGAATACATTTGGAGAAGCAGAGCTAAAAAAGTAGGTGTCAACATGGACTTGTAAGGTAAACCATGGCAGACAAGTAATTACTTTTCAAAATGAATTCACTATTGATTTAGAGAGGCAGGAAAACTTAGAAATTTAATATACAGACTCAGAATCTTCAAAAAACTTTCAGTAAGTTTTCAAATAAGGTTTCTAAATTGGCATAAAATAAGAAGAACTACAGAGAGGCTGAGTGTATTCTTTGCAAAGATTGCTGGGAAATCATTTACGTTCTTTTTCAATGTCATGGAATCGCTAGAAGAATCTAAATTGGGGGAAATGGTAAATGATTTCAAATCCCACTCTCTTGCCCATTTCTATCACTGCCTGTTCGATCTTCTTTCAATAATTACTCTGACAAATAACAGAAAATTCCAGAATACAATCAGGGTGAGATTCTAGCATACAGTAATACTATTTAACATTTATAAAGTTTTTCAGGACATCCACAGAGCTTCACCTACATTACAGAACAATGTCGTAAAATAGAGTACTTTTATTAACTCCATGTTCCAGGTGGGACTGAAGGCCTATGACAGAGAATGACTTACCTTAACCCACCTGGCGAAAATTATTTTTACACTTTCTGAACCACACCTACATCTAGATATGGATTCCAGGATGGTGCACACTGAAACACAAATATCCAATTCAAAGTACTGGTTTTGACCTATACAGCCTTAAGCGGCTCAGGCCTGCAATACATCAAGGACCACCTCTCTCCTTATGAACCTACCTGGACCCTGCAATCATCTTTTGAGGCCCTTCTTCATGTGCCTCCTCCACGAGAGGTCCAAAAGGTGGCAATATGAGAATAGGCCTTTTCTGCAGTGGCTCCCTGTTTGTGGCAAGCGCTCCCCTGGGAGGCTCAATTGGTGCGTCATTACATATCTTTAGGCACCAGGCAAAAACATTCCTTTTCTCCCAGGCCTTTGGTTAATAATTAAATTATCTATAGCCTTTTAAACGGTGGTGGTAGTGGGATTATTGTTTTTGTTTGTTATTATGCTATATATTGTTGTGTTTTTATATTGTAAACTGTGATCTTCAGATATATATAAAGACCTCAGATATACAGTTGTACCTTGGAAGTCGAATGGAATCCATTCCGGAAGTCCGTTCGACTTCCAAAATGTTTGGAAACCAAAGCGTGGCTTCTGATTGGCTGCAGGAAGCTTCTGCAGCCAATCGGAAGCCATGGAAGCCCCATCAGACGTTCAGCTTCCAAAAATAGTTTGCAAACTGGAACGGTCACTTCCGGGTTTGCGGCGTTCCGGAGCTAAAGAACTAAGCTGTTCAAAAACCAAGGTACGACTGTATAAAGATCTTCAGATATATAAAACTATCTAGTTTCTTTTTATTCTCATCTTCAATAAATCTGCGTGTTTCATTTAAGAAATGAGGTAGACCTGGGTAACAATTGGGTTTTTTAAAAATTCATTTGGAATCTGCCATTGCTTTCTTCTTCCCAGTAGGCCTTGATGCAACCAGATGTCTGCACTGCACTGAAAAATGTTTGATGCCTCCTATTAATTTCTTCCTTATGGCTGTCAACAGAGACAGATTCATGATGTTACCACCAGCCAATGCCCCAACCCTTGCCTTGCTTTGTTTTACTCTAGCCTGAGTAAGAGTACTGGTTGGTGCAATAAAGGTATTACCCTAATGTGGATTTTGGTTTTTTTCTTACGGCCAACGTGTCTACCTTTAATTTTTGAATTCAAGGGAAAGCTCCTTTAGCTACGGTGTTGGATAGTTTACATCCTTTTGAATGTTACATCCAATGATGTAACTGCTGCAGGCAGAATCTATGTTAACACTGTTCTCAAAGAAAATAGGAATGCCCATCTTCGGATCAGGGATCTGTTTTTACATCTTCTAAGAAGCAGAACCAGAGCCACTGCTGCAGCCAACACATAGCCGAAACTGCAGGCGACATCAACTGGATTAAGGGTTGAAATTTATGAGATTAGTCACACTAACATCATCAGAGTGTGAGAAAGTCATGCAGGAGGTACTTATATGAGGACATGTATCTGAAGAACAGAATTAATGAGAGCAGAGGGACACAGGGACTATTAATGAAGAATATAAAAATGTAAGAACCTACTGGGAAACGCTTGCATTGTATTAACATTAAATTAATTAAATCTTATCTACATTTACACATAAAAAGCCTTTAAACTATTTACCATTTTCCCAAGATCATGTCAAAGTACCTTCCCAAAGAGACCAGTAGCTGTAATGAAATGACACACATTTTCCTGCTAAACAGGATTTAGTTGGCACTGGGGGCAAAAACCTGTTGCTCAATTAATACACACGTTTGTTTGTTTATTTCTGCATGGTGTGTATTATTTCTTATACAGACAAATTCCTCGGCTTAACTATGTTTAGGATGAGATCAATCTACTTTTCACTCAGCAGCAGATCTGCACAGGCAGGAGTTGTCGCTGAAACAAAGTCAGTTGCATATTGAGAGATGCTGAGGAATAAGCCAAAGGGAGAGACTGACCCTGAGTTTATCATATAGTATATAAACCAGATTGCACACACAATCCTGGGCTCCATCTAAGACTGAAGGTGTAATAGCTCAGAGTAGCCAGCACTGCAAAAGAATAAAGGCCAAAATATTTGTTTTTCAGCTGCTCCCGCCTTCCATCTCTACTGAATGCTTTTGAGTGTACTCGTTTTGCTCATTATAGTAGGTGGATGATGTGGGCTGTAGCCGTAGCAACCATGCAAATAGCTGCGAGTAATTGCCCCAGCTGTCCAGTTTTAAGCATGTATTAACTGCAGAGTGTAATAAAGATATCCTTGTCTGAGAGTTCCGTCACTTTATAGGTGAATAATGGATGCCCTAGACTTTGACAAGACGGAACCTCTGAGCTGGATTGAGTACGGGGATCCCGCAAAACAAGGATACCATCAAGCAGGGGTAGCCAACATGGTGCCCTCTGGTTTAGTGGACTACAAATGCCATCTTCCCTGACCACAGAACCATACTGGCTAGGGCTCATGGGAGTTGTAGTCCAAAACACCTGGACGGCACCACATTGGCTACCCACTGGAACACAAATCCCACACCACTTGAGGGCTGGAGTAATCCAACAAAGCTGTGAATTAGCAGCCAGTTCCTGTACCTGCTGTGCTCTGGCAAGGCCAGGTAAAGTGATACACAGAGGAAACAAGCCCTATGGCTACTTGGTAAAGGTGGACTGAGATACCACACACCTTACTCAGCTGTTGGCTAAGATCCTGTTTTAACTATGTGTTCTCTTCCAGTTAGCCATACTGCAGTTGAAATGCAGGAAGAGATGATGCAATGGTTCAATGGGATTTTTTAGCCCAGGGGTCTGCAACCTTTAAGACAAAAAGAGCCACTTGGACCCGTTTCCGAAGAAAAAAAACTGGGAGCCGCAAAACTCGTCATTATAAAAATAACTTTTTTGTCACTTTTTTATTTATTTCTTTGTTTGACCACTCAGAATTACTCCACCTCATAGAAATAAACATTAAATTAACAAGTTACCTTTTTGTGTGTGTGTGTTCTTCACTCCCCTTCAAAACAGTGACCAGCGTACATGCCCCCTTTCAATGCAGTGACCAGCGTTCATGCCCCTTACAATGTAGCGGGCGGGCGGGCGGGAAGGTGACGTCGGGACGGTGCGTGACTAACGCACACACCGCCCCATGCGACGTCACAGCCAGTACAGCGCCCGCCACAGTGGGGAGTGTCGGGGCGCACAATGCGCCTCCTCCCCTCGCTAGTATCCGCCCCGGAGCCGTGGCAAAGGTGTAAAAGAGCCACATGCGGCTCCGGAGCCGCGGGTTGCAGACCCCTGTTCTAGCCTAAAGCAAGAGACCCAAGTGGAAGAAGAGGAGCACTGCTCTGCAGATGATGCACATGAGTTTGTGCAGGGCTATAACAAGAAGGTTCTACAACAGTTCTTATGCTTCTTCTTGGGCTCTTATGCGTACACAACCTACCATGAAAGTGGAAGAACATATTTTGGATTCCCCACCGCCACACACTTTCCTTGCATGATGTTCTAGCGCTGCTTCCCATGAGCTGAAGATCCCCTTGTCCACAAGTGAAGGGCAGTGGCGTCGCAACGGGGGTGCACCCCAGGTGCCATGTCTGGGGGGGGTGATAAGAAGGCACCCCGCAAGGTCTCACCCCGCCCCACCGTGGCGGAGCGAGCAGCCATCGTGCCGCCGCTGCATGTGGAGGATCCTCTGCAAGCAGAGGATCCCGGCACCGTCCACATGGTGCTGGAGTGGGGCCGCCGGCAAACCGCTATGTACAGCACATATGCGGCATCGCGACATATGGCACATGCATCGTACCTAGCGACGCCACACATATGCCCTACATAGCGATGCTCCGCCCTGGGTGTCACAATGCCTTTGTTTGCCCCTTGTGGAGGGACATCTCTGAATCCACTACTATTAATACGTAGCATTTATGTAGAACATCTCAAGTATTCAAAGCACTTCTTTAGGTCAGTCACGTAATGCAAGTCGATACAGCAGCCCCAGGCCTGGAGTCAACTTGCTTAAGACTACCTTTTAGCTGTTATGCCGTAAATGCTTTATGAATCAGCTCACATATCTATGTTAGTTTTCCTCACACAAAACTCAGGGAAGCTAGCCTGGTGCCTTCAATACATATCTTTCGGCACCGTCAAAATATTCCTCTTCTCCCGGGCCTTTGGCTTATTAAACAATCGATGGCCTTTTAAACTGGGGTGGGAATTGTTATTGCTTGTTCCTATGTTATGTATTTTTGTGTTTTTATATTGTAAACCACCCTATGATCCTCAGATGAAATTTAACAAACAAATAAATGATACTCAGGACAGGGGGTGGGGGTGGGGTGGTCCGCCCCAGGTGTCACCACTGAGTGGGGTGACAAAATACCAGGCGGCACTCACCGCGGGGCCTTCAGCGCGCCAGAGCCATGCGTCTCTCCTGGGAGTGATGCGGTGGCTTGGGCTCCCACATGCTCTGCGCTGCCCCTAACAGCTCACCCGCTGCCTCCCCCTCAGCTGTAGGGCGACTGGGAGGAGACAGGCAGACTCCTTGGGGGTCCCGCAGAGCGTTCTGCCCCTGGGCATAGGGCATGAGTGCCGCCCCAGGCGCCCAATCAGCTTGCTCCGCCGCTGACTCAGGGAGGAGCAGGAGGACACAGCAGTGGTGAGAGGTAAAAGATCGACTGAGGCATGGCCAAATAAAGAAAGAAATCCCTGCAAAAAGTTGCCCACTTTCTGTTCTTCCAAAGGTGCTTGCTGCCAGTCACACAAATGAAATGCTCCAGTATTTAAGCGGGAAGCAGGGTTGAAGCAGATTGGGCAGGGGAGAAAGCATCTTCCTTACCCCACTTTAGTTTGAACCAGTCAAGCCTTCCCCTTGATATGAAAGCATTCCACTTCCAGAGGCAGATTTTGGCATGGCAACACACAAGCAATGCTCTTTTGAGCATTCAAAAGGGGACAGAGTTACGGGGAGGGCTGTACCATGTGTCCTCAGTAAGAGCATTTTCCCCCTCTGAGCTAAACCAAAAATGAGGAGGGGGGAGGAGAGAAGGGGAAATAAAAGCTTGCATTCACCCTGCACTATTAACAGCAGCAAGTCTCTCTCTCTCTACAACTTTATTTTCTACACTGGACACACTTCTTCCGATTGTTATAAATGATCCCGCTTTTGAATATCGTTACCTGTAATAGCCAGGCATCACAATATGAACGCCTGCACTTGGCTGACAGATGTTTGGTACTTTCTGCTCATCCATTTTCCGCACGGAGTCTGTGAAAGGTCCTGTAGCATTGATAACACATTTGGCTCTGACATCAAATTCCTGCCCTGTGAAAGAAAACAGCATCAATCACATACTCCATTTGTTTCCCTGTTCACTGACTCTCTGGATTATTAATTTATCTATGAAGTTAACCTATTGTGAAGTGTGTGTATTTATCTACACACACATGCACATAACACACACACACACACAGAGAGCACACACTGCAGAAGCTTAGCAGCTAGTATTGTTATCAGAAAATAATTTTGAGGATAATTTTAATAAAAAGAAAAGAAAAAAACGAGAGAGAGAAAATTCCTCTCAGATAAAATCTAGAGTGGCAGAAGATTCCCCTCTCCCGATTTTACTTTTATTTATCGAGTTCTCTGTTTAATGGCATTCTTAAACCCTGAAATTTGTTAGATGGTACTATGACTGAACGCACACCACACGGTTATTTTACGACGTCAGCTTTTCTTGACAGAAGGGCTTGGATGTAAAGCGTGGCTTAGCTTGCCAAAGCACCAGGATTTGAATGAAAACCTGACAGAAGTTAAAGATGATTGGCATTAATGACATGCCACTGCACTTTGGAAATATGCCTCCTTTGTCAGTTAAGTGATATTTACAAACTCCAGCCTCCCGCTGCACTCCCCCTCCTTAACTTCTTCTTTCTAACATAAGGAGGGAGAAATAAATAAATAAATAAATATTTCTGTCTCCTTAAACAGAAAGGGAAATGGGGGGGGGGAGGAGACACCACAGCATCTGTGGACAGCTGTGCTTCATCCAGGAAAATAACTGTGTCCTCTAAACTGCATGCATTAAGGGAAGTGGAAGAATGCCAGTGGAATGCCAGAATCCACCGAACCATAGGAGACAAGCGTTAGAAACGCCGTCTCTGAAAAGTACAGTCGAAGCAAGGTGCCTTGTGAGTGTGTGGGCCAACGCAAGTTACCTGCTGTTAGGTATAAGGAAGCAAAGGGGCTCTATAAATACCACAGGGGAGCGAAGGCTGCTTACCTGTTAGAACATCCCTGCACCTTGCGCCGCAGACGCGGCTCGCCCCGCTCTTTGGATCCGTCTTCTTCAGCAAGCGCACCACTTCAGTGTAATTGGCTGTGGCAGCCCCATACCTGGCAGCGGTGAGGGCAATGGCAAGGTTCATTCGTGCATCGTTGTGTTGTCCTGCAGCAGGGGGCAGAATCAAGGGAAGGACATGAGTCACCTCAAGCCACTGACTTGTGGTATGGAAGTGTGTCAGAACGGATCTGTCACATCTGTCCCTGTCACACCGAATCTATGTGATGGCTGGTCAGGTCTACCAAGAATTGTTTAGAGTAATGTCTTCTCTTGGCAAGGCAGGGCATTCATCTCAATTGTTCTAAACAGCGTATTTGTACGATTGTTATTTTTTAAAAAACAATTGCAAATAGCTGGGATTACTGTCCAAGCAATGTGGTTTTTTATACGTTGCAAAACGAGCAATTTGCATTTGTTCAGTCAAGGACCTGACATGAAAACAAACCACACGCTTTCTGTTTTGGAAGGAGGAGGATTCTAAAACCAACCCCTGCCCCCCCCCTCCACAAATCCGGCATTAATACAGCATCTTCGAAGAATTTGTTTTTTGACGGCCCCACTGGTGTTAATTAACAATCTCTAATAGCACACACACGCTGCATGACATTAATTTTTTTTTAAAAAGGAAGCAAGCAATGATCTTTCAGGGATTCCACTGCTAAGCCTCTGCTGCCAGTGAAAAAGACATTCATTTTATGCACATTTTAAGTTCACAACTAATAGCATTCACAAGGTTGGGGATACACACACACACACACACATATATATATATATATATATATATATATATTAAAATCTTGTTGAACACACACAAAGAAAGAACCCAAGGAGGTTTAGTTAACAGATCACTCTTAACATATATATCATTAAAGATTTATTACAGAATCTTCCTAGTTGAGGAGAGGGGAATCAACATGGAAGAGAGAGCATTGGCAGGGGGAAGGGAGGGGGGAGAGAGGGGAGAGCAAGAAGAATGGAAATGATTAATTACTTTAAAATAGTGGCATCACCTGAGACTTTCTATTTATTATTGCCACTGAAGTTAAAACCCTGGATGTTGGCTGGGAGCAATTATTCTGCGTAGCAAGGGCCAAGCTCTGTGTGCCCAGAATAATTAATTACAAAGGGCTGGAGTTCCGACGGCAGAGTTCAGCATGCCCACGAGTTGGGATCGGTTCTATCAAGATAATACTGATAAAAAAATGGGGGGGGGTGAATGAATGGTAATGGATGCTGCTGTTGATTTATGTTGCCAGCATACCAAGCGTTCAGTATAAATGATTTATGTAAAGTTCGGCCCCTTCCGATTCTGCCAGAGCAACACCCAGCCGCTATGCGAGCAATCCGTTTCGAAAACCAAAAGGGCAAAAACGTAGAAGGAGGATCAATGGCTCCCAGAACTGTTACACAGCTTCAAAACTTCTCATTCCAATGTGGAAGAAGTCCACCGAGGGAAGCTTAAGCAAGCTAAATAGGGCCTAGGGAAAACAAAACCCCAAAGCATACAAAAAAATCAAGGGAGCTGGGAACAATAGCTTTTGTTTAAAAAACAGAAGGTTTTGATTTTATTTTGATATTTTTCCATTACATGACTATATAAAAAAAATTGCTTGTCACTTCAGCTGCCTGGAGACAGTCAGATTAAGATCAGAAACGATCAATAAATTAAATAAAAATGGCAACCTCCCCAACACTAAGAAAGAGAGTTAATAGGCCACATGATAAATTAATGGAATAGGCTGAAGTTATGCAGAAAGTATCCAGAAGCAGATTGGTAGCATGCAAGTTTTATTTTGTTTTTTAAAAGGGCTAAAATTCTCCCTTTGGATGTGTAGCCTCTGAACCAGGCATCCTCAAACTCGGCCCTCCAGATGTTTTGGGACTACAATTCCCATCATCCCTGATCACTGGTTCTGTTAGCTAGTGATGATGGGAGTTGTAGTCCCAAAACATCTGGAGGGCCAAGTGTGGGGGTGCCTGCTTTGAACAATTAGAAATCTGTATGAAGAGCTGCTCTTTAGTTGTTTGAAAGTCAAAAGATACACACAACTACAAACAAGCCTTCTAACATACAGAAGGATTTCCAAAATAGGTGGAGGACATTTCAGCAATGGTAAATTACAGCAACTACTACAGTTATATTCTCACTGGTGAAATGCTATTTAACAAGGACCTGTAACCCACTTACTGGAAATACAGCTTTTAAAAATAGCAAGACATGCTCAGGGACTAAAGAGTCTTGTGGGTTTCTTACTATGGTTCTGTTTAGGTAAAAGGGCAGCAAGGTTTCTCAAAAGAGACAGCAGATGCAACTGGGAAAGGGATAAATCAAAGGGGTTCCCCACCTCACCCCATAGCTTGGATCCCCTTTGCGTTTCATAACTAGTCTTTGGCTCGGATTGTTGTGGCATTTGGATCACTGTGGTTACAAACAAGGAATCCTGCTCTCCTCTCCTGGCATAAGAAGACTTTTCTTCAAACTGTCAAGCTCAGCGAGATTTATTAAAACAAAAGTTATTGTAACAAAAGTTACCAACCATCCCAAATTCAGCAGTGCTACGAGAATCAAGGGTGATTTTGGCATAGCCATACCATAGCAGAGTGCATAAAGACAATGACCCTGATCCATGTCTCGCCATGGAAGGGCACACAGGGAAAACATGAATTGTGTGGATCCATCCCTCAAGGATGCTGTAATCTTTGCTAGTCACACCGAATAGAACCAGGAGACCGGTAAAACTAGGCCCTAAGTCTTACAGATGTTCTTCAAACTCCAGCTTGACCCTACATTATTCCTCCAAGAATCCCTCTCACACGCCAAAATTCAAGGAAGTTCTGGCATCAAATAACTGAAGGAGTTAATAATCCATCCATTCATTTTATTTGTATTCCGCAACAGCGGCTTACTACAGAGAAAACAACACACTTTGAAACCAAATGGTACAAAAATAATTACCTAATAACATAGCAAAACAGCACAATAACTTGCCAAAAATTGTAACATTTCATGACTATAAATATAAGATGATTACTTAAACAACACTCAATAACAAAAATAACAAGGGAGCTTTACAGTTTCACCTTGGTCCTAGAAAAACGCATCGCATGAAGTTGCTCACAGTCCCGCTCCTGCAACAACTTGCAAGGCTTCCGAGTGCAGCCAGCGGCTTAAAACACCCTTCCCATGGTGTTTTTCCTTTCTCCTCTGAATGGTGTCCACTACAGAACTGGCCAAGTAGCAGCTGAAAATTCATTACTGGTGGCAAATCTGCGGGAGTATCTATTCTGGGGGCAATAGCTGCAAAACTGCTTTCAGCAACATTTGTGGTTTACTTTCCCCTCTCACTGGTGCCCTCTAGAGGTCTGGCTGGCCAGCAAAGCCCTAGCTGGTTCTGCAGAAGCTTTTCCTCTTAGGAGCACTGCCCTGTTACAGACAGGGGTCTCTTCTATCTCTGTTCATGGATGATTAAGTTGACAGACAGAAGGAGGAAAGACCGGTTTCCTCCTCTGGAAAGACAAGTCAGTTAAAAGGAAATAGAAGGGGGGGAGCATGGAAGGGTTTCTGCTGGGAGACAGGGAGAATTCTGCTCAGAAACAGTTAAGCCGCAAATCCCAAGGCAATCATAACAAGGCATTAAATCGCCACCAGCCATGTGCGCACTTCTTCTGATACAAGCTAAGATACATATATGGTGGAATTGTTTAAACATCAAACAATTTTGGGAAACAATATATAACGAAATGGAAAAAATGTTCAGATATTCATTTAGGAAAACACCAGAAGGTTTTTCTATTGGAATAGTACCAGGAAGTCTAAAGGAAGAAGACAAGTCATTATATTTATACACAACAGTAGCCACAAGGCTATTGATTGCCAAAAACTGGAAAAGTGGTGTTATACCGACAAAAATAGAGTGGCTTGCCAAATTATTGGAGTACTACAATATATCCAAAACAATGGGAGAAATTGGAAGGATCTCAAAAGAGAAGATAGACAGGGACTGGAAGGTGTTTAAAGGATACTTGCAAAACCATATTGAAAAATCAGAACTCCTATTAGAATAAACAAGTTCCGTTTTAAATACTGGAATACTAAATAAGATGGATAACAATGTGTAATAGAAAAAGAAGCATGAAATTAGGTTAAACGTGTGTGAAAGAAAGTAATAGAAGTGGAAAGAAATTGCAATTGAGTAGATTGGAAGTCTAACACAAAGGTGGGGTGAGGGGTGGTAGATGGTGACAGGAAAAGGAATTATCTGTGGGGTTGAGTGTAGGTATGTTTGAACATTTTTAAGGATTGTATGAAATGTATGTTTGTATATTCGAAATATGTGTGTATTAATGCTGAGTTATTTTAACAATAAAAATAATAATAATAAAAGATACAAGCTTAGAACACAGGTTTTATGCATTGAGGCAGCGGTGGGGAACCTCCAGCCCTAAACAGCCCTGCCAGGCCTCCCCATTTGGCTCCTGAGGCCTTTTGGCCAGGCCAGGCCCGCCGGTCCTACACGCAACATCACATATGGCGCCAGATGCAAGGCAGATAAAGAAGCAGTTGGGGTTTGCAGGCTCTGTCAACAGCGCTTTGCAAGCTCCAGCATTGGAGATGGCAAAGTGCTGTGCGCGAGACTCTGAAAGCACTATCAGCTAGCTTAATGTTAAACCAGGATGGCAGAAGTGGGCCCCACCCACCTGTCAAACTTGGCCTGCAGGGGTGGAGAAAATAAGGATCCTGCACACTGGCTCAGATCCAGTTCCCCACCCCTATGCTGAGGTGATGTGATACACTGCCCCAAGTCCCCACACATGAAGAATGCCGAGTGCCCAAGTATTACAATAGCCAATGCTTCTCTCTGTTGTTGAGGCCAAGCAATTTTCATCCTCCCCTTCATCTCTCTTGTTCACTGCTATCTGTGTAAAGCAGTTGCCCTGCCATGTCAACCAGAAAAACTTGGGGTGCCATTTCAGTACAGGAAGGGCAAAAGATGCTATCACAGAAGACAAGATTTTCCTCAAGGTATGAAGGCCAGCACACATATATGTATCTTAACATTATAGGCCAAAACAGTATAAGCCCAAAACAGGCACCCAAGGTTCTGAATGTGGTTTTGATACCAATAACTGACAGATACATGGGCACAAGAGACAGAGCATTTTCAGTGGTGGCCCCATGCCTATGGAATTCCCTTCCTATGTTGGTATGTAGGGCCCATCAATGTTTACTTTTAAGCAGGCACTGAAGGCTTTGCTTATTATTCTGTACTGCTTTTAATGGGAGATTTATGCTGGTGATTTCCAGTCACTAGTCTTTTGTGTGAGGGTTTTGTTGCTGTTGCCTGCTTTTACGCTTGTTTTATGTCTGTCAATACTGTTTTTATCTGCTGCCGTGGTGATTTTCAGATGTATTAATGGGGCTTCAGCCATTCCTTTAATTATTTTATGACTTGCAATGTCATCAATCACTGCTATTTTTCCTAAAGTGTTGAGAACTCTTACCAGGGACAACCCTGAAAGGAAGCCTACAAATACAGGAAGGAAAAATAAATAAATAAAAGCAGCACTGTACTCCAGGAGCATTTGTTGTGGTTATGTTTTTAGGCTACATAATAATGCTGACATGTCCAGAGAGACAGATAGGATGGCCAGTTAGAGAGGACAGCAAAAGCGTTTAGATATTTGCCATGTATACCTGACTGACAGCCGTATTTAAATGTTCTTGAAATAGATGATCTGCAACCTCAGAGTGTTGGGCCTGCCCTAAACCTGACAGATGTGGTTCGCTGTGGAAAGGATTCCCTGAGGGAAGTTTAAAAAGCACAGGGCTTATAACAGTTGGTCCTGCTGTTTACTTGGAAGTAGAACTCACTGTAGGTAAGCATGCATAAGGTTGCAGCCTCAATATGTAGATCCAAATTATGTAGATTCAAAGTATGTGGCTACAAATTCAAGCTCTTCTCAGAGGGGAACAAGATAGGGGAGCCATGGCATCACCCAGCCCACAGTTCCCCTTAATATTCAATGCTTGGCTATAATGTGCTCCCTCTGCAGGACAACCCTTAAGTTCAGAAACTGCACAATTGGGCAGCTAGGATACTGAGCAGACTGGTGACAGAGCACATATCACACCTGTGTTGAAGGAACTATTAGCTACAAAGCCCTCTGCTTCTTTTGAGGCTGCATTAAATAAAAAACAAAAAAAACCCATAATTTATGTAATTTTTTAAAATTTCAAGTCTGCCTTTTTTTGAAAATTTGCAATACAGTAATTCACAAAATAGGTGCGCCTCTTAACAAATGCTGATTTTTAAAACACACCGTTCCTCCTATAAAAACAAATGCATGAATCAATTTGTTCATGTCGACTAATTGAAGACACTTCACTAGCCATTCCCTTAGAGGTGTTGTTGTTAATGTATACCCTGAGCAACTTGGTTTCCTGAAAGACTACCTTTCCCTATAGAGACTCAGTAGATCACAGAGATCCTCAAGAGACCTTGCTGATAGTGCTGCAACCTGCCCATTTGGTAGCAGGACAAAAGTTAGCCTTCTCCTTAGCGGCTCCTACCCTCTGAAATGCCCTCCTTTTCTGCAATTTGGGTGGAATGGGTTATTGGGTGCTTTCCACTCTTACTGAAAACTCACCCTGTTTGCTCAGACTTTCCCCAACTATCAGCACTGACCAATTGTCTTTGGCATCTGCAATTCTGTTTTTTGTGGGGTTTTTTGTACTTAATTTGCTTTAATGTATTTTAAATTTTATCCTTGTACACTGTTGGAGGCAAGCTTTGTTAACGAGAAGCACATATAAATATTAAATAAATAACATAATACAATAAAATGGTGCTTCTGTACCTGAGTTCCCTGCTGAGCTATTCGGAAAGGAGATACAGACCATGCAACCAAGAAAATAAGCAAATGGTCCATTAGTATTAATTGGCACCAAAATATTATGGGAGATGACAAGCTGAGAAGAGAAGCAGAAGAGTCTGTTTTTTAAAAATACAGAAAGATAGAGAGATAGAATAGGTAGATAGAATAGATAGAAAGATAGATATAGTTTTAGTGTACCAATGGGATTGTAGGTAAGACTAAGATAAATGTTTTGTGGTTGCAGACAATTTTGTTTTTGTTTTGCTTTCAGTAATAACTCTTGGATTCAGAAAGTCTTTTTTTTAAAATTGCCATCAGGTCTGAAAGATATACAAATAAAAGAACAGGGCTGTCAAAATAATTCAGTGTTCTTTCATAGTAAAGAGCTGAGTCAGCTGTCTTCAAGCCTACAGCCGCTAACCTGTAGGCAAAGTAGCAGGAATTGTAAAAGCACAGCACTTGCCCTGAACACATGTCCACTTAACACTCTACCCTCTGCTAGCTGCTGCTCTTGTCTATGTCCTCCCTCCTCACCTCTCCTTTTTCTTCTTCTTCTTTTAGCTCTGTCACCTCTCAGGACAGATCGGACAGATTTTTTTATATCAAAAAATCACAGCACAGAAGGCTTAATTTGTCCCAAAGAGATCTGAACAACCCAAAACCATTCAGAACAAAAGCTTGCAAGTGACTGGGCAATACAAACAAAAGCCATCTGTGGGGGAGAAATTACATAAAACAGGACGGAGGAAAAAGAATACTTTTTAAAGGGGGGGGAAATACCCATTTCGATTTTTAAAAATTAAAATGCTGTCTCTTTAAATAACTTTGTGCGCTACCCAACGCTGCACATGCAGAATGCAATATTACGCAATGAACCTTTATTTCCTCATCCTCCCCACCGAAGCCTCCAGGAACCGCACCGCCCCCACCAGAAAGCCTCTCCAGGAGGACTCAGCAAAATGTTGTGAGCCGAGTAGTACAGGGTTGCATTGGAGGTGGGGGGGGAGAACCTCTTAATAATTGTGGCCAACGTTAACTGTAGCTTCTCTTTCAACCTTCCTTCCCAACCAGCTCCATTTTTAGCCTTCGCTGTGTATTGACCAGGTGCTGCAATTCACGTAAGTTTTCAGTCAGGATCATCAGGACAATCTTGGTGTGATTCCGCATTGAATTCTATCTGCGATTATGATGTAAATCTCATTGCAGATTTACAGTGGAGCAGCTGAAGACAGAAGCAGCCTAGATAGATAGATAGATAGATAGATAGATAGATAGATAGATTTACAGGGTACATATTCATCAGAATAAAGTGAATAGTGAACCTATTAAAAAGATAAAATGTACAGCAACCCCCCGAGTCCTAGCTTAGTATAGCTTTTTTATAGCTTAGTAAGGCAGAAGGGACCAAACAGTGTAAATGGGAATTCTTGAGATCAGCATTCCGTTGACCAACGAAGGCAACACTTTCTATCACGGCTCATGTTCTTCTGTATATAATTCACAAATGTCTAACCCAGCTTCACACACACCCCTTTGGTTCTAAACAAAAGAAACCCAACATTCGCACACCCACAGAGCCTTTCCGCCCTCCTATAAGACTCTGTAATTTCCCAGTTTCCTTAGAGTCAACAGAGATTGGTCTCGCAAAAGGAGCTTTGGCTGTTACTAGTTCCTTTTCAATCTCTCATAAATGTAGGAAAGAATGCATGTCTTGGCTCTGTCAAGAGGAGCATCGCCTTTTTGCTAGCCACTCAGCAGATGTGGTTCTACAGACAGCTCAGGACCATTTTATTTCCCTAATCTTCTGTCACTGACTTGTCAATTATGTCTCCGCCTGTTAGCCTAGTAGGGAGACCTCAGACAATCCTCCTGCTCCTGCTTTAGCCTAGTAGCATCACAAGATTTGGGAACCTCAACTGTGGACTTCCATGGAAAAAGAGGGACAAAATGTGAACATGCCCCCAAAAATACAAAAACAAAAACCAGCATGCTACTGGAGAAGTTTGGCAAGTTCTATGGTAAAATGAAAAGAGCTTTATACAAAACATAGGTCAGATCCACACCATACATTTAAAAGCACTCCTATGCACGTTCACAGTCATGGTTTCCCTCAAATAATAAAAGAATCATAGAACTGTAGTGTTGGAAGGGATGACAAGGGCTATCTAGTCCAATCCCCTACAATCCAGGATTATTTTGCCTAACGTGGGTTTCGAACCCACGACCCTGAGATCAAGAGCCTCATGCTCTTACTGATCAAACTGTAAATTGTTAAGGGAGCTGAGGGTTGTTAGGATACTTTTCACAGGGCCACAATTTTAAGAGGGCTTTAAATGTATTCTACGGATGCACGGGATATTGGTTTGCTGATGGGGAATTCAATGTACTTTGAAAGCTTTAATAACTGGAAACTGATCCAATGAAAAAGGTATTATCTTCGTTTGTATCAAAGGTAAAAATAATGATATTCTAGTGGTATCTAGTCAGAGAGGAATGACTAGCATGACACCAGGTGTGAATCGCTGCTCAGGCACTTAGAAGTGCAATGCCAGAGGCCTTCCCAGATAATGAATTTCTCTTCATGGGGAGGGGGGCGAGTTGCGAGGGGCAGATCAGAATTAGGATTTACTTGGTGGTGTTGGCTTTTAATTATGTTGTTACCCCACTTCCTTTGTATCAGCCTTCAACTTGTCAAAGGCATCTTATTGCAGTGTCAGGGTAAGTAAACGCATAGTGTTAAAATGAAAGCAAAATGTTGTCAGTGCCAGTTTAGGGAAGGCACGCTAAAATGTCACAATGAAAAATGTCTTGACAGCCTTTCTGTGGCCATGCTACAATGTTGGACAAATGTGGCGATGTCAGCGCACATTATTAAACAAGGGATAATTAACACATCCTGTGTGTAGAGAAATCTTTATATAAATTTTGTGTGTTTGTGCGTGCGCACATATGCACACATGCAGACCAATCTTTGCCCACCTGGCCATTCTGGCTGGGACTGATGGGAGCTGCAGGTCAGTGCATCCAGAGGGCATCAGGTGGACAAAGGCTGGTATAGACGAAAAGGCACAATGCAGCTTGAATTCTGCAACTAGAGATACAATCCCGGCTGCCATTAAAATTCTATTCTGATGCAACTCGGAGATTTTGGAAGACTGTGAGGAGAGACGTCCCATCCTCTTCTACCCAACTGCTTGCCTAGAGCGGACATGAATTTGTGGCTGCTGCAAAACCTCCCCCAGCTCTCTCCAATGCAAACTCTCACATTTGCAGACTTTTCAAACAACCAGCCTGTCAGCCTACATGCATACCAAATCACAGCTTTCTAATTCTCTGTGAGAAGCATCAGTGAGGACAAAAGTTGCATTTTTATGTTTGCATCACACACACAACGCAAACGCAAACACACACACACACAGGCGCAAGCATTTTCTTTCCACTGGAATTGGTCAATAGCTATTTTCGTATCTCGTCTCATATCACAATTGCTCAAGTGCAGCCCAGTCAATAGTTTTATGAACTATTGCCCACTTCATAGGACATCAAGGAAATTACTTCCTCTTACGTGACCTTATCTAAACCAACTAAAACCAGAATTATGATCCAAGGGTATAAAAAGAGACAGGAGGTAATATGTCAGAGATATATGGAAGATGCAGAATTACTCTTCATGAAGCAGAGTGACTTCATCACTCACTGGAGACATGTGGTAGTTTCTAAATAAATAATGAGGAATCCTTGTTCGCTGCAGGAAAAAGAAGCAACAAAAAGAAGGGGGGAAACACCTTAAGCAGAGTATGTATTTATTACAATTACAGAAGATCTAATTCCAAATAAAATGGCACATATCTGAAATGACAAAACAATACAGTGGACCCTCTAGTTATGTACTGCTCTGGATACATAACTTTCGGGATATGAACACGGCAAACCTGGAAGTGTATACTTCTTGATTTCGCCGCGCACGCATGCACAGAAGCGTTCTGCATGCCGCGCACGTGCATGTGCAGAAGCGGCACCTCTACCTACGGACTTTTTGGGTTGCAGACGGACCCCCAGAACGAATTTAATTTATATCCGGAGGGTCCACTGTAATTGAATTTAGCCAGCAGAGACTGAAAGCGCTTAAGTGTGATAGAAATATTTATACATCAACTTAAATAGAACCAGTCATGGCGGCGCCAAAAACTGAGGACAATTCCATACATAACGTGGCAGTGTGATGGCCGTGCATACACTGGTGTTATTTGCAGTTCACAGGGAAAGCATATGGACAACCAACAGCTTTAAAAACCTACATATGCATGTGAGGGAGCTACAAACCAATGGAGGCTCTGGACAACCAAAGGAGGTTATTGGTGTGTGCTTGTCGTGCTAGGTTGTTAACAGCAAAATGAACAGCAGCAGCCTCAAAAGTGCAGTCAAATAACGTCAATTGCTCAAAAATAAACTTGTGGCAGGGGACTGAACTTTAAATAAGTAGCAACCATTAAATGCAATCAGTTTTTGAGGTGATGGGGAAGGGAGATTTTATCCCAAACAGCAAAACCTTTCCTGCTCAAAGTTCAATAAACACCTGAGATTTTAATGTCTTGGCCTTCTTCGTAGCCACTTCAGTTAGGGTCCCTGACAACAGGTCTCCCTATCAGGGTTTTTATTAAATATGAAAGGGCCAGTTCCACACCAAAAAGAGAGAACAGTGATTATATACAACTGGAGCATTTATTATACTGACTTCCTCTGTACTATGGGTCAACTAGGTCTAATACGCATCAGAGCAACTTTATTTGTATTAGTACTGGCCAGTGCCAGCCATGTTCCTTAAGGGTGAATTCTCCCACACAAAAAAGCTACATATAAAATCAGGATGATCAGATATCTTAATTTCCACTGGAATGCCTGGCAAAAATGCAGGCCAGGCAAGGTGGGATTGAGGAAGGGGAGTTCCAATCAACACGTGAAACCATTCCAGCACCTTCTTTTTATTTCTCACTTCCAGAACCCAGACCTGGCTCTTTAAAGGCAGCTGTTGCAGATAGCAGTTCCTACCACCAATGGGAACTCCTGCCTCTTACAGATACAGCTACCACCCCAACTCTGCTCATCGGGGCAAAGATGATTGTAGTCACTTGGCCAGGCACATGGCGGAGGCAGAGAGGGAAGAGAGACACTGGGTGGCCAGTAGGGCAGTGCCTTTTTCCACCCGCCTTGCTCCACCCTCCAGCCCAAGGAACCTTCAGATAGGAGATGCTGCCATGGGTATATGGGTCTCAATGAGCTGAACAGAGTGAAAGATTATGAGTCAATGGGTGTGGACAGCGTGTGTATGAACTTAGCAGTGCGGAGTTTATTTTTCGGCTGCTATTTTCTTAATATTGCTAATATTGTTTTATAGATTCTAAACGCTGTATTGATTTGCTAAATCATAGGAGTTTTGCTCCAATCCTGCTGTTTTAGCTTATTTTTTATTTCTTGCTTCGTTAACAGTGCTTTATAGATTGGTAATTGTTTTCAGTGGTGATTTGTTAATTATTCTATATGATTTACGCCAGGCATCCCCAAACTCGGCCCTCCAGCTGTTGTTGGACTACAATTCCCATCTTCCCTGACCGCTGGCCCTGTTAGCTAGGGATGATGGGAGTTGTAGTCCCAAAATGGCTGGAGGGCCGAGTTTGGGGGTGCCTGATTTACACTGCGTTTGTGATGTTCCATTATGTTCCATCAGGTTATTGCCATTTATTGTTTGTAAGCCGCTTTGAGGTTCTTTTGAATGAAAAGTGACCTAGAAATGTAATAAATCAAACCAGAGGGGCATTTGGGGGTGGGGGGCCTTGAGGCAGTATTTCAACCCTACCCTACCCCAATCAAGTTTTATCCCTGTACCACAATGAAGAAAGAAAACAAAGTCACCTAACTGGCTTTTATTCAATTTGTATTTTTTAAAAAATTCGGGAAATAGCTAAGAGTCTTTCAAAGTTTCATGCACCAAAAAGAAAAAAAATCTGCCTCCCACAAGAGCATTTTTCTTTTCTTAGCAGTATCCATGACACCACCATGCCTACATTATGGAACAAGATACATATTAACTAATGGCCTACCATTAAGTTCCCATAAAACACACACATATAAATTACATGCTTCAATGGAATCTTGCCTCTGAAAAGCCCTGACAAGCTGGGGAATACAGATGTATTTGTGGTGTAACGTGCAAATAATGTCACTTTCCTATAGAATAACGTGGGATCTTTTAAGGATAAAATGAGTTAAGAAGAACCAACCCACATTTTGATTCCTGTGAAGAGGAGCAAGCAGTACTGTTCAGTTCTCCACCAAAATAATAATAATAATAATAATAATAATAATAATAATAATAATAATGCATAAACCAAATAAAACCAGGACCATGGAAATTCACTCAGGTACTCATAAATTTCCAACCTTAAACTCACAGCATACAAATAGATGAATCCAGCAAGTCAGAGAGCAAAGCCAATTTAATCTGTGGCTCCCCTGAGGTAAATGTAGTTCACAGTCCTGCCCCCACCCCAACCTCAGCCATAATCCCCGGTTCCTGGAGGAAAAAAAAAAGCACTGAAGTGAGGAAAATTCTACAGCAGGATATAATGATCCAAAATGACAGGGACAATAATGACAATGAATTTCATGTCTCCCAGTCATGTGCTGGGGATGCTTGACTGGGCTGACTTATACAATTAAATTGTTACAGGTACAGCAGGAGATGCAGTTATCATCTGCATGCTTTTGGGAACGGCGCCTCCAGCAACCGCGGTGCTATGGAATGTAGAGCCGGCCTTTTGTTAGGAATAAAAACAAGGAGTCCAGTAGGTATGTTTATATGTGTGGCTGCCCTCTGTGACTTTGGGGGGCAAGGAGAAGATGAGAGAGAGAAAAGCAGTTCAAACACGGAAGGGAGACTACACGGTGTTTATGAGGGCATTCGTGATTGAGGGGCATCAAGTTCACTTTATTAAATTAAATTAAATTAAATTGATCTTCATTCTTCTTCTGAGGGATGAAATGCCACAAAAAGGTACTGGAAACAACAACTGCAAAGAACGGGGATCTCCTAACACTCTGCACCAAGCAGAATATCAGCCGCAATTCATCAGGATACTTGAAATTTTAGACTTCCTTCTTCCATATACTATTTACATTAAACCACAGTAGTAAGAGCCCTTCAATTAAAAATAAAGATGCCACAATCCAACAGTAAATGCTTCATTTCCCATATATTCCGCCACAAACAGGAAATCATCTCTCCACATCTACAGCCATCCTCACTGCAGGTAAGTGCAGGTTTCCCCCTAAAGAGTTCCAGTTTATAGGAATTATTCAAAATAATTCCAAGTCTCGGCACTGCCTTTAACTACCCATAACAGTTCCCTCGGTTTGCTGCTTCTTGCTACCCGTGGATTTGCACCGCCAAAGAGGTTGTTATATTTCCATTGTGAGGAGCGTGCTTCAAGGAACCTTTTCAATGGCAGCTTGTCACACTGTTTTCGTTTCCAAATGAGAAAAACGCTGGAAATTAAGCGTATGAAGTTTTAGAACTGCGCAAGTCCTCTACTGAGCTGTGCGCCCCCAATTATATACCTTGATAGCCTCGAAATTATAAATTAGTCAAAAGTAAAATTATAAACCTGTAACTTTTCATAATTCAGCGCACGCTGGAAAGACAACCATAGGAGGCTAGAAGGGGGAAAGTACTTATTCCACTGCTGACAGCTTAATGAATGTTCTTCAGGTTTTTTCCATTGATTTTTTGGTGCTTTTGTCCCCCTACATTAAAAAAAATCAAAAAAATCTTGTAGGGTTTACAATGAGCGAGAGTCTCACTTTTCAAAAGTGACATGACCATTCACCCCCCCGACAATAATTAAGAAACTTTCTCGTATTCTGAACAGATACATGCAAATGTTTCATATTTGTTAGTATATCTTAAACCCCGTAAGTCTCAAATACATGCTTCTTCTAATTCTTATTTCTTTAAGAATGTGCGGGGCAGAGCTTACTAAAGGAGTTTGAACTGTTTTTATTTATTTTATATTAAATTGTAAATCATTTTGGGATGCCTCATGGAAAGTGATTCATGGATTAATAATAATAAGTTGCATTGGCTGAAATAAAATGGTGTCTGTGTGTGATCAGAATGGGCATCCTCTCATGCAACAGTGTTTTCTCTTCCTCTCCCCGCCCCCCAAAGAAGAAGTCTGTTCTGCTGGCACACAAACACCACTGGATTTACCCAAAGGAACTTATTTCTTAAAAGGCACATATAACAGTTTGTATGTGTGCCTACTCAGAAGTAAGCCCCATTGGTTTCTTTAGCACTTACTCCCTGGTAAGTGTGTACAGGATTGCAGCCTTAGTATAGCAAATTAGAACTGTTTACAAAATGTTCCCAAGATTTTAAAAGATGTTATATACATATTGTCTAAAATTAATGTCTTCAAACATGCCTATGCTTCAACTAGAATCTTTAAAGGGAGTCTTTTAATAGAAGCATAATCAAGTATCTAAGCAAGACCCTTGCCATTTAAATCAGCAAATGCTTTGTGTGAACGCTTAGTTTTTATTTTTTTAAGAGGTAATTTTTATTTCTAATAACCAAGTTGTACATTGTTTCCCTAGCATCCCACGTTACAGCTTCAAAACATTGAAATCAAATTCTCTCTGCTTCAAAAAAGAAACCGCTTAGAAATTCCTCTAGAAATCTCAGTGTTGGTTTTTCCATAGTGCCTCTTTACTAATTTTCCTTGAGCTACATAAATGAAACTGACAGATCACTGCTCAGATAGCAGCCACATTCCTCCCCCAAAATGTTGCCTTTTTGCTATTCAGCAGTATCTGAATACCAACAAATGCTAAATGAAGTCTGACATGTACCCCTAAGAAACAAACTTGTAAGTTGCAGCTTCAAAGGAAACCTTGAATAAATAGGACACATTGTGTACACCCAGGCTAACATCCAACATATGCTTAGGTTTCCTGATGCTTCTACAGACCAAGAATAGCCCCTGGTAAAGTCTGCGATTTGCTGCTGCTGGTACATCCAACATTTATAATGTAGCTTTTTTTTTGTTATTGTTGCCTGTATAAACAAATTTAAAATGCAATTAAAGAAGGCTAGAGCAACAACAGCCTACAAAGCGAGAATATATGGTAGAAAATGAAATACTTGGCAGGTCACTGGTTTGATAAATAATTAGGGAATTAAGAGGGGGAGAGGAAGGAATGGAGAGCTGGTACCCAATTTTGCATTTAAGTTCGTTTTTTAAAGGCAGGCATAAAAGGGTTTGAGCAAATGATCTGGCCGGGGGCGAGGGGGGGGGAGAATAAACCCTTTAGTGGCCTGAATCTACCCAATGTAAAAGAAGGGGACAATAGCTGCTGCGAGGCACTTCTCTTTGCAGCCAGTAGATGCTACTAACAACACAAATTATAACTTATGTCTTATAACGTCTAAGAAGCTGGAACAGATGGAAGAGAATACAGAGGAGGCACAAAGGTGTCCCATCACCATATAAAGACTGGAAGGGTCCACGCTCAGGTAATCAGAAACTGAAGGCCTCTGGGCCAAATCTAGCCCCCTGCAGATTCCCTAGTTGGCCATCGAGGGCCAAGAGAGACTGTGGAGTGTGATCTGCAGCAACAGTATCAGAAACCAGCTTGGATAGCTCACCTGGATACAGCATGATGCTGATAGTGTCAAGGTTGCAAGTTCGAACCCCGTATGGGACCGCAGCATTGGACTAGAACAGCCTTTCTCAACCTGCGGGTCCCCAGATGTTGTTGGACTACAACTCCCATCACCCCTAGCTAGCAAGGCCAGAGCTCAGGGATGATGGGAGTTGTAGTCCAACAATATCTGGGGACCCACAGGTTGAGAACCGCTGGACTAGATGGTCCTTAGGGTTCCTTCCATCTGTACAATTCTATGACACCAGGTAATATAAGGCTGTGGGAAGCAGTCAGGGCCTTGGCCCTCTCCTAACTTCACTCTCAAAGCAACCCTCCAAGGAAGCTGGTTACCAAACACTTTTTTTACAAAGGCACGAGCTGCTACTTCATTGGCACTTTCTAAAATTCCACATTTTATTTGAGCGAGTGCCTAGTTCTCAGTACCAAATCATGATAACGTGGCTGGGGCATGCTAAACGCAGCTATCAGGTTTGGAGAAGGCTAGCACAATGGCCTTCCGCTGTCCCAGCATAACCAATGGGCAAACAGAGTTTGCATGACCTTTATTTTTTATTTAAAATAATCTTCTTTTATCTTCGGCAAAACCTTCCAGGATAGCTAAAATCCAAAGTGGTGTGTGTTTTTAGTAAAAAGTGGTTTCTTTTATTTCTTGCTTCCGCCTGGGCATAGAGCCAATAAGTTTGCTGAATCACTTAGCACGCCACACTCAACCCACGGCTGTGGCAATTTGCACGCATCACAAACAATTTGTGTGTCCCGCTTCCTATGCTCACAAGCCAGGCTGTGGGGGGAAGGGATGGCTGGCCACCCACAGAGCAATCCTGCAATTTTGGTCTTAGCATTTTCAGCCCAGGAGAAGGGACCTGAAGAAATTTCTTCCATTTCTTTGACTGACTCCTCACCCAAAGTTCGATGCCTGTGGGTGGGTGAGGCCAGAGGTGAAAGTTCATGAAGAAACCAATGTCTACAGCAGAAACATTGCAGCCATGCAAAAAAAAAAAAGGAGGGTCACAGACCCAAACTGGTGAGGTGTAGTACCAGAGGCCAGATAGAGAGTCCCCACCCCTCTTCTGAATGTTAATACAGTGGTACCTCAGGTTAAGTACTTAATTCGTTCCAGAGGTCCGTACTTAACCTGAAACTGTTCTTAACCTGAAGCACCACTTTAGCTAATGGGGGCTCCTGCTGCTGCCGCGCCGCCGGAGCACAATTTCTGTTCTCATCCTGAAGCAAAGTTCTTAACCTGAAGCACTATTTCTGGGTTTGCGGAGTATGTAACCTGAAGCGTATGTAACCTGAGGTACCACTGTAGTAAACTTTGGGAAATACACTCATGGTCCAGGTTTACAGAAGGCAACTGAAAGCAGAAGGTAGATCAGAAGAGAGGGATGCAGTAAACAGGGAGCTGAGACAAACAGAAAGAGGAAACAGGAATAGACCAAGGGTGGTAGAGCGAGGGTCAAAAAAAAAAGGGCATCAAAGCAGGAAGGCATAGATTCCTACCAGTTGCTGCTACCCCACTGATAAGCAGCTAATTCTTGGTTCACACTAATCAGGATTCAGGAAGTTATTCCCTCCTGAGGCAACAGTCCAGGCATAGATGATCAACAAATTCCAGAGCCAAGCTCCCACACACTGTGCAGGAGAGTAACAACTATCAATATCTGGACAGTCTTTTTTGCTGGTCAGGGTGAGTGTGGGAGTGGCTAGATTCATATGAACAGCAGCCATGTGCTGCACATGTAGCTTATAGGAACGTGGGCATCGACAGCATTCAACCAGTTCAGCAGACAAGGCAGAAATTCAGAAAATCCAAGCATGGTTTACAAAGGCCAGAACATGCATGGACCAAGCACACTCCTTCCTTTCTCTCCTCTGCTCCCCTGCCTTCAGCACTTTGATCCTGGCTCCTCCTAAATCTGGAACTGTGGTTCAATGTTGGCTTACTAAGATATGAGGCAGTGCATGCTTTCTCTAAAAAAGAATCACATTTGGCAAGCCAGCCAGTTGCAAAACCTGGTCTTTTAGGGGAAGGAGCAACAGCTTGCTTGCCCTCATCTATCCCAAAACTGCCACCAGACATCTGTTCAGGGTTTCCACAGCCTCTATGTATCTAGCAGCTGGAACAAGAGGAAGAACTGAGTGTCGCCTGCATACTGACAACATTTCCGTTCAAATCTCTAAATGACTTATTCTAGCAATTTTTTGTAGATATTAAAGAGTATGGTGGATGATTTGGACTTTTGAGGTGCCACAAAGGCTAGTAGTGGCCATGAAAATGGAACAGAAGTCTTTCAGCACTGTTTGGTCTATTTATCCCATCAGAGAGGACCACAGCCACCTCCTAATGATATTGATAAGATGCTGAGTGGTCCAGGAGATGCCCAGTGCAAGTCATCCATCCAGGAAACAAAATCAGGCCAAAAGTCAGACTGAAGTATTATAAAACCAAACAAAGAGCAGGATTTTCTAGGCCTACTATTTAAGGTTCGTTTAACCAAAGATGCCAAGGGACTCTTTGTGGACAAAGCATCTCTCATTACCATTGAGCTAATGCCCCCTGCCCAATATTAGAGGTTATCTTGCTCTTAACGAGCAATCAAATCCTAAAAAAAAAAATTAACTTCCCAGTTTCTATAGTTAAGTAATATCAGACAATTGCTATGAAAACACACAGAGATGCAATACTAGATCTCTGCTCTGCTTGTAAATCACTTCAACTCACCAACCAAACTGAGCTTCAAACCATTTGATGAAAAAACTAGCCTCAAAATGGATTTTGCTTCCTCATTATTGACATGTCAACAATCTTACTAGATCTCTGACTGCCCAAACAAAAAGCACACAGCAGCCAATGCTGTTCTTGTGGCTTAAGAGACTCATACTTTTATAAGCATTTCAGACTCCTTGTTTATAAAATGAGATTTGGCACAGGCTATTTTAGTTAAGAGAAAATTAGTGTTCAAGTTTCGAATTCATGCTGTGAGCCCCCACCATTTCCTTAACTCTTTCATAGGGAAAGAGAAAAATTGAAGTGCCCAAAAGGAAAGGAGACTGCTCTTAATTCAAGTTCTTTCTGGTAAGAAAGAGATAAGCAAGGGAAAGGTTGGTACTCTTAAACAGAACAAACCAAGAACCATCACTGCTTATTTCAGATTACTGATGCTGCAATGCTTCTCACTGAAAATTGATAGTATCTGTTACAGAACTACTCTACAGTTTAGGATGCAGACTTGGGATAACTCAAGTCAGATGGAGAAGCACAGATTGACCCAATTTGCATTTCCGCTCAGTCCACAATGAAGCCATTGTATGACTGTTTCACTACGCAGCCAAATCACAGCTCATCCCACATTTAATGTGCCATTGCAAAGCTTCCCAAAAGGGGGCTGGCAAGACAGCACCAGATTTGTGGAGAGTGGGATCTGGCTGCATAGTGAAGCATCAGGCAGCCTTCGTGCTTCAATGTGTGCGCATCTTATTCATGAACATTCGGAGAGACATCCTGCTAGTGCAAAGATGGCTTGCTGGCTACATGAGGGGCTTTTTAAAAGAAAGAAAATGCAAGGTTATACACTCTTGCCCCTAACAGTGTGGCGGGGGGTGGGGAAGTTCCCATAAAACACCCAGTGAGGAAAAACTGATAGCAAAAAGCATTTTGTGGGTCTTACAAAGACAAGAAATTCACAGTCGAGGATGGCCTTTAGTACATAGGAATGGCAGAGAGCTATAAGAAAGTAGTTATGTGGGCACCCTGCTGTGGAAATAGTTGCATTCCAACATCACAAACTGAATTTCTTGGCTTTTAGTAATCTCTGAACACATTTGGTAGAGGCTGCTTCCCCCCATCGCTTTATTAAAATGTATGCAGGTTCAACTCCAATTCAATGTGCATGTAACATTTCATTTTGTGCCCAAAAATGCAGATGGGATGCTCTTGAAGAGTCATCCAAGTTTAGTGAAAGAAGCTACTGAAGAGTTCTTTGCTCAAGAAACTCACTGGCGGCTGGCTAACCGCACCTCCTTGATCCTGACTGTTGGGCTGACACGTCTACCATAACTGCCACACATTTACTACTGGTGCCCTCACACGTGGCGTCGCTCAGGAATTCTGACAAACCTACAAATTGGTGCAGGGGTTAAAATCACTGCAGTTTTTGAAAGGTTCGGTCTGCCATATTGACTCAAAATGGTGTCCAAATGTTTCCAAACAAATGGAAACCTGTCCCTTCACCTCAGGCACCATCATACAAAATGCAATCACAATATTGTAAAGAAGTGTCCAAATGCATAGCGAACAAACATCTTTCCAAAACCTAAAGCAGATGCGGAGGCTTTGTGGATGGAAACACAAAGAAGCCCACTTACAGGGGAGCAGACTTGGAGAGCCACAAAACTCAAAAAGCACAAGTTTACTCTACAGACGGCAGATATGCGACATATACTGTCCTCTTTTCATTAGAATCACAGGGCTGGTTCATATATGCATGCACTTAAATGCATTTGAGTTGACGCTGGAAGATATGGAAAGTTCTGACAGGAAATATTAGATCTGTGGTGGCCCCATCACCCACAGATGTCAGTTATAAACATATAAAGTATATCTGTCTATGAGTTAAGAACATGTACATATGAACATGCCCTGGAATCACAGAAATGAAATACATTAGAAGAGCCATTTGGTCCAATCCCTTGGCACACTTCCTAGTGGATGATGAAGGGCCATCAACCACCCATAACTCAACCTAGAAGAAGGCATGCTGCTGAAGAGTAGCTGCACAGGAACTAGCTCCACACAAGTGAATCAAGCAAGCAAACTGATTGATGAAGAAGCAACGGTCTCTGTTTCAGACTAATGTTTCAGTTTTTTAAAAAATAAATAAAAGCTGTTAGGTAGTTAAGAGAACATACCATCATAGTAGACAATGGCACCTACGAGTTTGTCCTTCCGCAACATAGGAAAGAGTTCCAGGGCTTTTGATTTGCTAAGTACGTAGCTGCTTTTCAGACACTGGCTTCCTGCTACAAGGTCATAGAGTTTAATTCCCACCCAGTAGTACGGCAGCTGCCACCACCTATGAGAAGAGACAGAGGGAGGGAGATAAATCAAGGAGACCATTTCACATGCCTGGTTTCTACTGCATAGTCTTTCAGAAGTGATACTGCAAACCACAACTATATTTCTGAAGAGTCAAAAGAACCAGAGTGGGTTTGATGTGTGTGGGAGAAGTCCCATTCTCGTCTCTCCACTTCCATGAAGCGAAGTGTGTAACTTCTACAGGTCAATTCTGAAGCCTAACGTATCTTAAGAGGGTTGGTACAAGGACAAAACACTGCGTGAGGACACTGCAAGACATTTTATTTCTTGGGCTGCTGCTCTGTTTGGTTTTGTGATTGTTTTATTGCATTTTATGGTCCTTATTCTGAACCACCTTGAACTTCTGTAAGGTGGATGGTTTTTTTAAAAAAATCAAGACTGTGAATTACAAACCAGAATATATCCACTCCAACTCTCACATGAATCACACACTTATTAGGTGGCCTTAGGCAACTCACTATTCTTTCAGCCTCACACCATGGCCCCAAACTTGGTCCCCTTGCAAGAGCCAAAGTAAGACATGAAGAAGAACACCAGCTGCTCAATTCAGGAACAGTGTTTTAGCATCCCCTCTCATGTCCCTCTCAGACTTAATGGCCCCTTCCACCTTCCTCTGACTGAGAGGATGTCCCCAGTGACATCTCCAGCCCCTCTGTCCTGCAAAATTGGACAAAGGTCCTTTTAAAAAGCTTCCCTCTGGAATTTGTATTCTCAAAAGGCGAGACATCCGCAACTGCAATGGTGAAATTTTTACCTCCACAATCAAGGATGCAAGCCTGTCACAAACTGAAGAACATAATTAAGGGGGAAACATGTTATAATTCATTCCCAGTGACCCAGATTGAACAACCACCCTAAATGAAGCAAATTCAGAACAAACATCAAGTGACTTACTTGTAAACAGGAAGCATTATAGGCAGAGGAGAAGATAAATGAGGTGCGATCTCAAGCAGGTTGGCACGTTCATGCAGGGCTTCTTTCACCATTCTGTACTAAAAAAATAACAACACAGAATACATTCTTGATTATGTTGCCAGAGAGCATTCTTCCACAGCAATTCTGTCTACCCTCTCACAAGCACCTTAGCTCAAAAGACTACATTTTCTCTAGGAACGTAAACTAGTAAGGATCTAGCAAACTGGAAAAAAGGCTCCAGGATGGGCTACAATATAATCAAACATTTAAGCTAATTCCCCCTGTTGTTTGTGTCCCGAAAGGGCTTACTCCCTTAACACAATGTAGTAGTTTGCAGATGTATTCAGAGAGATATTACCGAAGCAGGCGAGCAAATTAGCAGCAATGATTCAGCAAGAATTACCTTCGAAAGAAGAATGGCAGACGAAACTGATCGATTATGCAGAGATAGTGAAATTGACAGCAAACATCAGAAACCATGAAGATCAAGTATTTGAAAAAGATTGGAATAAATTTTTATATTATCTAAAAGACCACTGTAAACACTTAAAATTACTGGCAGGAATGTGAAGAGCTTATAATGTGAAATGTTTATTATATGCTTTTTCTTTCATTTTTGAATAATCAGGAGTTGGTAATACAAAAATATGCAGTCAATTCTTATTAAAGTAGAAACCCATGAAGGGAGGGAGGGAGGTCTGATGATCTAAGTTAAATAGTAAAAATGTGACATGGAATATTGGTGTAAAAATTGTGGGGGGAAATTAAAAAATAAAAATAAAACAGCAATGATTCAGCAAACCAATGTTATACTGTAGGGAGAGCCCTTCTTTGCATTCTGAACTTGCAATCTGTCAAAATCTAGAATACCTGAGACAAAATTACGAAAATCTTTCTCTGGGGTGTAAAGAGCAAGATATGTCACCCAAGTGTTCCCAGCTACCCCAACAAGGAAACCTATCAACGATTATCATACGCTGTGTGGTGATATAAGGTAAAGGTAAAGGGACCCCTGACCAAGGGAGCCGGCGTACAGCTTCTGGGTCATGTGGCCAGCATGACTAAGCCACTTCTGGCGAACCAGAGCAGCACACGGAAACGCCGTTTTACCTTCCCGCCGGAGCGGTACCTACTTATCTAACTTGCACTTCGTGCTTTTGAACTGCTGGGTTGGCAGGAGCAGGGACCGAGCAACGGGAGCTCACCCCATCGCGGGGATTTGAACCACTGACCTTCTGACAGCAAGCCCTAGGCTCTGTGGTTTAACCTACAGTGCAACCCGCATTCTTGTGTGATAATATAGAGGACCTAAAAACATTATTGGCACTGAAAACGAGATGCCAGAAGGAAGTGTCTTTTAGTTTCCTGTGCTCAAAAGCATATAGCTCAAACAAATCAATGACGAGGTGCTTAAAATTAAAATCTGTCAATCCCCATTTTGACAGGGAAGCATAGTATACGCTTGTCCCAAGCTTGAGGCCTGTCTGTACCCATGCTACACCACTGACCTTAACCCTAGCATATGTATCAAAAGATAGCAGCCACCTGATTCTTCAGGAAAGGAGCAATCTGACCTCTCCTTACAGATGCTCAGGTTCTATAAATAAAGTTGGCAAACAGCAAGAACTTCACAGATATGGAGCATGTGCAGTCAGATGGTAGGTGCATGTCAATTAGGGTGGGTAGGCAGTCTGAGAATACCTCCTGACAGATGCCCTTAAGGGGCAAACTGGCAGCCAAATACACATGTGGATTCATTTCTGCACAGGAAAAACTGATCAAACATTTTTTACTACCCACTGATGACAATTTGGTAGGGACGATCAGCACCAAAAAAGTAGTTTCAGACTGCTGGCTGGTGATCCCTGACTTGAATGATAGGGGCGCACCGATGAGCAGCACAAAATGTGATGTCTTGTGGCTTCCTGTTTTTGGACACGACACCCACCGAGGAACTGAGGGTTCTCAGCTAACTCCTCTGTCGCCGTCTGCTTTAGCTACACAACACCTATTCTGTTGTGAAGATACCCCTTTAGACACACACCCCAATGGCAAGCATGAATCGTGGAATTATAACACATATTGATCCCTCAGTGATCGCTGTCAGCCATACAGATGGGTATAGGAAGCATGCAGGATAGAGCCCATTGCACAGATAGGCCAAAGGGGATTAGATGTGCCGCACATCAACTGATTCCCCTGAAACAAATCAATGCACCGTGTCTATAGTTCCAATCATGAAGGCCTTAGAACCTTTTCTCTGCCCCTTTACAATCCTACCAAAGTAATCAAGATGCAATTATTTAAAATCGGCAAAGTAAGCACCGTGCTTTGATCTGCATAGTCTGTGAGAACCTAAATGTACATACTTCCTAAGACTGTAGCACTTCAAAATGCAGAAGATGAATTATTTCTTAGATTACACAAACCTGTCAAAACATTTCTTGCATGCAGAAAGCTACTCTGATGAGAAGAAGGATTCTAAATGTACCATCAGTTCCAGGAATACTAGACACTCATTTCAAATGCACTGTGAACTATGGGCTGGGCCGAGGGACCTGAATTTTACTGTAGATAATTCTAAAAGTTTGTTGCTGGAGTTTAATATGATGATGATGATGATGATGATTTTCTCACCTCCACCCCGCCCCCATGTATTTCTTCCCCAGCTCCTCAATTCCAGCTGTGTTCTCTGCTTGTAAAGACAGGTTTACTACAGTTACAAAAGCCCCCCCCAAAATATGTTTCATTCATATTGAGATTTTACACCAATATATTGTTTTTCATTGTAGAAATCTCAGTGTGTAAATGTCTCCGTTTGTCTTCAGATTCTGACTGGAGGTTACTGTAAACTCTACAAAGACCACCAAAAATGCATTTTTTAAAATGTATACTTTGGTTTCCCCGTGTTTTAAGGGAAATAGTCCCATTTAGATTTGTCATAAATTAGATATTAAGTGCTGCCATCTTTTCTCTGAATCCACCCTGCATACAGAATGCTTTGCCTAATGTCTGTGGCAAGCGACAGAAGAATGTATTCAAAACCTGAGGTATATTAAAAACCATAAATGTGAGAACAAATTTAATTAGAAGAGGAGGAGGGAAATCAGCTAGACAGGTCTTTGCTTTACAGCCACCACCATAAAACAATTACCTGGTCAAAATCCAACTTCATGATGGCCGTCTGAAGATATCTCACTCCGCCATGGATCAATTTAGTGCTTCTGCTGCTGGTCCCCGATGAGAAATCATCTCTTTCTACAAGGGCTGTTGTTAGGCCTGCGTAACCAGAAAACCAAATTAACTTCTTAAATTACACAATTTGTATGTAATTCATTAAAGACCCTTCTCTAGGGTAGAGACAACCGCAAGAAAAATTACACTGAACATGGATGAATTTGTATTCAACGCACACAGCGCCAGCTCTTTGGCCATGAAGAGTAGCTGCTTCTTCAGGGAAATCTTTGGGAAAAGAAGTGATACAGGAAAATAAGTACTGTATTAGTACTTAGGAAGGTAAGTACTATATTAGTTAGGGGGAAAAAATGTGTGAAGAGCACCAAGGATTCTGTAAACAAACCAAAACCTAATTTCTTCTCTTTCATTTCCCTAATACACAAGAATACTGAAACACCTTAGCACAATGCTAAGGCTACAATCCTATAGGCCAGAGGGTTTCAACCTTTTTGAGTCCACGGCTCCCTGTGGGGAAACGCGCTCCGAGCCTCAGAACCCAATTATATCACCCCTTGCCTTCAGAGCCAGCAGCCCCTCACCACTTTTCGGACACCCTCCCTTGTAGAGTGTTCCCTCAGCCTCCTCTCCTCTTCTCTCCCCTGGCCAGCCCAGAGGCACCATTCACCTGGGGAGCTTGAAGCCAGGGCTGCTGCAACGAAGAGCCACACAAGTCTTTGGAAGGCATTGATGAGAGAGGGCATCAGAGGAGGGAGGGAAGGAAAGAGGGACAAAGACCAGTGTTGCCTGTGGCACCCCTGACCATCATTCAAAATGCCCCAGGGTGCCATGGCACACTGGTTGAAAACCACTGCTGTAGGCATTTCCCTAGAAGTAAGTCCCACTGAACTCAGTAGGGCTTCCTTCTGAGCAGGTGCTTACAGGACTGCACTCTAAATAAGATTAAAGTTGGACTGTGCACAGCACTCCAGCCAGGACCCCAGTTTATCATTATATTCACATACTTAAAATTGCAAACTACGAGGGCAGCAAAATTTTATTAGCTTAAATAACTAATCAGCTTTAGTTGAGGGCAAATTTTAAGATATCAAAATTAAGGACACAGTTATTTGTTTGTTTTTAGACTGCTTGAATTATTTGCTTTAGTGCAAGAAGGAATGGAAATGACAGATTTTAATGGTGGCCTTTCCTTTTAGCAATGAGTGATTATTAAATTAATACAATGAAGTTAACAAACATCTATTTTACTCTTCCTTCAATATATCAAAAAGGCACCTGTTTTAAAGTTTCAGTAACATGAAATATGTTATTTACATCTTTATAATTTAAAAGCCAATGGATTAATCAATAAAAATCCTGCTATCACTCGACAGTTATTATCACAGAGATTAGTTATCCTGCAATACACCTCATCTACCTTTTTGTATAAACAATAAAAGTAGCAAAAGTGAACGAAAAGAAAAAGACGAAGGCAAAACCAGGGTTCCTCTCTTTTCTTTCTGCCATACACACATGGAGGAGGAATGGATTCCACTTGAAGGAGAAGAGAGTTATCCTGAATATTTAAGGTCAGAGTAGGTGACTTCAGACCTACACAGTCTACTTTTCTTTTTTTCCTTTTCTAGTAGTGGAGAAATATATGCTTAATCTGCAGAACAAGGGTATTCAGCTAACTTGTTCTGTCAGCGCAAGGATTTCAACTTGCACAGTAGAACTTTCCTCCCTCTACATGCCCCTAAATCTATTCTGAGGGCTCCCCTAACTTTCCAGAGCAGATTTGGGTACGGTACAGGGGACACCCAGGGAGAAGGGGGCAGGAGATCTGTTGTGCAAACAGAAATTATCAAGCAGATGAAACAAGGGGTTAGTTTAACCTCCAGTGGGTTAGTAAAACTGAAATACTGTGTCGAGAAATGATGCATGTCTAAAAAGCACGTCACCAACATAAAAAGTTTGGAAAGCTTTGCAATAGACATACTTTATGCCATAGAATCCCAACTACACATTCCTGCCTAAGTGCCCTGCTAGTTAACGGTCCAATTATATTATTTCCAAGAATCTGAGCAAACCAGCAGCTACATAGTACACTACAAATTGGCCAATGATTGAAGGCTTGCTGGGGGCTCCTTGCACTAGTGCATACACTGCATAGGGGACAATCACAAATAAGAAAACCAGTTATAAGCGGAAGTGACCATTAGAAATAGCTGAGATTTATGAATGAAACTCAAAGGCCGATTTCATGAAATTGTTGCCGATGGTTTTATTGTTTATTGTATGCCACCCTGGGGTCTTAAAGGGTGGGATATAACTTTTGAAAATAAAATAATCAATTTAAAAGGACATGGGACATCTTTTCCCTCAAAGCAGTCATGGGGAGACGTGAGCCAGTGTGGTGTAGTGGTTAAGAGCAGTGGACTCGTAATCTGGTGAACCGGGTTCGATTCCCTGCTCCTCCACATGCAGCTGCTGGGTGACCTTGGGCCAGTCACACTTCTTTGAAGTCTCTCAGCCCCACTCACCTCACAGAGTGTTTGTTGTGGGGGGAGGAAGGGAAAGGAGATTGTTAGCCGCTTTAAGACTCCTTAGGGTAGTGATAAAGCGGGATATCAAATCCAAACTCTTCTTATTCTTCTTATTTGAATCAGGACCACTGTACTGGAAGATGTGGAAATTGAAACTTTAGAAGGTGCCATTTCCCCATTTAAATTCCCCCCTCCTAAAGCTCCAATTAGCCATGGAAGTGGCTGGGGGGGGGGGGAGACAACATACTTGTGTTTTCCCTGCTTCAGGGTTTTTGGGTACAGTAAGAAAAATGTTGCACAGGGAAAGAGTTAAAAATTACCCCCCGCTCAGCGCCAAATGATGTAGCTCTGATTCCTTCAGGTCCTTCAACTGATTTAAGAAAAAAAAAGGGGGGTGTCATGAGATCCAATCATTTAGTTTGATGCTAAGAAAATTCCAAAATGTTAAGGGGTTTATTGAAACATTGAAACTGATATGTTGCCCTTTCAGCTTATAGCATGGATTAGCTAAAAGTGCAAATGTATATATTACAGACAACAAGTTACCGGATGAAATGAACTGCACCCCAAGATCCAAACAGGCAATTTGCTAACAGATAACTTTGGTGCCAAGATCAGTTGAACTTTCAGGTATATTTTCAAAAACCAAAAAAGGTTGACTTAAATAAACACTGAGGAAGAAGTTGCATATAACTACCATTCACACCAATTGTTAACTTCCGGGGTGGGGGGAGCCGAACCATTAGTAATTGCAGTGTGAAATACATGAATTATCAGGCGATGACGATCAGCCACAGGCAGACAAACACAGACCATTACTTGCCTGTTTCATAAAATGTAGTAATTCACAAAATAAATCCAATTAAGATAAGCACCTAGAGGACTGGAAACTGCAGTCTCCAGGGGGAGGTAAATCATAGCGATATAGAAATCTTTTTTTTTTTTTTTTTAGCAATCCTTTTAAAACTAAAAGAAAGTAGTAAGTTCTGCTGGTGTTGCAACTTTTTAACAGTCAGTGCTCTCTCTTCCCTGTGGCAGTTTCTCAAAAGTGCGCAAGAAAGAAAACAGGAAGGAAGAATGAATGAAAACAAGTACAACAAGATTCTTGCAGAGGTTGCTGAAGAGAGCAGCATGACTGTGCATATCCAAGGAGGAAATGCAGATGATCCAACACTGTGAACTCTCCTTTCACCAGCATCACCTTAAGGATTTTGCAGAGCTTTATTGCAAAAGTCTAGTGTAACAACTACATTAGCCTCTCTTGGTCTCCCTAAACTTTCATGTCCTTAAAAAAAAAAATCTAATTATTCCCAGCAACTTTAGAAGATCAGAGCAATTTATTTTTGTCAAATGTGACTGAAGATTAATGGATACAATCAGGAATAATTTGGCAAAAACGTATCAAAACACAGAGAAAGCAGAATTTGTTAAGTGAAGCATCAAACTTAATATGAGTGCAAATCCCGTGAATGAAGAGCAACAATACACAATTCATTAACCAAATGCCTATGATTATTTCACACTTCAGAAAACTACCAATACAATCAAAATATATAGGAAGAAAAGGATAAATACAGATTAGTTCGGTGTTGTTTTCACATCTAGTTCTACCAACGTGGCCAAAAAGAAACATCCCCAAATCTTAAAACACATTGGGAAGCTTGATTTAAAATAAAATAAAATAAAATGTTTCAAGTGGTGGTTTTTGGGGGAGGCGGGAAAAATTGCCTCCATTTAAGGTTAATCTACTATACTATCAGTAGGCTTAGATACCACACTTCCAGACTACCTAAGTACAGTGGTACCTCGGGATAAGTAGTTAATTCGTTCTGAAGGTCCATTCTTAACCTGAAACTGTTCTTAACCTGAAGCACCACTTTAGCTAATGGGGCCTCCCGCTGCCGCCGCGCCACCGGAGCACGATTTCTGTTCTCATCCTGAAGCAAAGTTCTTAACCTGAAGCACTATTTCTGGGTTAGCAGAGTCTGTAACCTGAAGCGTATGTAACCTGAAGCGTATGTAACCTGAGGTACCACTGTATTGTGTTGGAATGTGCGCAGGTTGGCAGCAAAAGCCAGCACTAAGGACTTGTGGCTGAACCACCGACTTTTGTCAAAGGCAATTAATGATTCCTGTCAATAGACTAGTAGCAGGTGGCAACCAGAATTTTGTTTAATTCTCTTCTCTGGGGGAAAAAATGTTACTGGGTTGATCTGTGCAACAGAACCCATCAGCCCATTAGTGCAGCCGATGATCAGGCATAACTGGTGCTGTAACACAACAACATCTGGAGAACAAGTTCCCCACACCTGCTTCATAACCGAACTAACTCCCCAAACTTATTATTTTCTGACCCTTTAACAATGAGCACTTTGCTGCATCCTCCGCGTCTATGACATGCAGTTGTGGGGGTAACCAAGAAGTCATGGGCCCATTTTAAGTCCAGTCCCTGCGATGGTTGTGACAGATCTATTCCTTGGGCCAAAGGCAGTATTTCAAAAGGACTTGGTGTAATTACAGACCATCCCATCCCAGGATTTACACCATGCCGGAAAGAACAGCGGTCTGCTAGTATCTGTAATGTAATTTCATTGGAAATGTATTTCACAAAGAATAAATAGAATTGGGAAAAGAAGATGGCAGTTGGCAATTGCCAGTTGGGAGGTTATTCTGTTAGTTCTATCTTGAATGTAAAGGAGAGAAGTATGGGGATTTCATGCAGATGCTGTCTAGAGGAGTTTGCAAACACTTGTTCCTAGCCTGACAAGTAAAGTTTTATATTCAGCTATTTGTGTAAGACATATATATATATGTATATATATATACACACACACACACACACACACACACACACACACCTTACACAAATATATACATATACATACATATGCATACACACACACACACACACACACACATATATATATATATATATATATATATATATATATAATTTTTATTAAATTTTCTGTTTTACACTTTAAAGCACTCATTTTTACATCCTTAAGATATCAATGACTTCCCTTCCCTTCTTTTCTTTCTGTGGTTCATTTTACAAATCATAAATCCCTGCTTATTTTACAAAAACTATACCATTCAGCATTCCATTATTATTGTATCCATCTAAACCTATTTACACTGTTGAATTTAACTTAATGCTGCCAGCCTTTTCAGCCATCCACCATTATTTCCCAGATGTTCAATAAACATTTCCCAATCTTCTCTAAACGTATGTTCTTCTTGTTCTCTTATTCTATACGTTTAAGTCTGCAAGCTGCACATGTTCCATCAACTTAAGTTCTTTGGTTGGGACCTTTTCCATTTTCGTAAGGCATATATTTTTATCACAACTAGCTAACACGACCTACTTGTGGCTGGGGGGGGGGTGGAGAATCCAGGTCACGAAACTCTACCTCGACTAAGCTTATTCTGCATGCAGATTATTATTTCCGCAGATTCCTGCCTCCGAGTTTCCCACACCCTCTGACAACAACACCCTGACATTTGCTGGACGGCTTTAAGTACATTCAAAACGCTTGTTCAGATCTCGGGGACAAACGGATGGCCATGCGTGGCACAGCTGACCTCGGTGTGCAGGACTCACCTCTCGTAACAGCGTCTAAAGCACAACCGCTTCCTGTAGCGCCTCCGCCTATGATAAGAATGTCAAATTCACAGGTTTCTCGCAGGGCCTCAAGCTGACTTTCTCTGGAGGGAAGGGTGCTGTGCATATGCAAGGGCCGACATTCCGAAGCTTCGACAGATGCTAGAGCACCCTGCAAAGGTAAGAAAGCAAAGCGGTCATGAAAAGACCAGGAATGGCACAATGCTGGGATTTTAAACTGAAGCCGCTGGTTCAAATCCCTTGCGTACCACAAACTCACCAGGTAGTTTCTTGCAATCTACTAACTTTGGAGCCTCGGTCCTCTGCCAACAATACAGGTATAACATCACTAGGCTTGTCGTAATGACAGTTAAATTCAAGTGTGCATTTGTTTTGTACGCTTAAACAGTGCTATATATTGCCAGGTGTTATTAATATTATTCTGAACTAACTGGGGGAATTAAGACTGTCAATCAGATTACTATAAATTTACGAAGGTTGTCCAGCATACTAACAGCGAGGCCACTCATATTTCACTTTTCAGATGCTGCTGTAATAGTAATAATTTTATTATTCATACCCCACCCATCTGGCTGTGTTTCCCCAGCCACTCTGGGAGGCTTCCAACAGAGTATTAAAATACAGTGGTCTGTTAAACATTAAAAGCTTCCCTAAACATGTGTAAAATACACGTGTGATACCATCAATTGGATTAGCGCATGCACGCTTTAATGGCCAGGCTTCCATAACCAGTTGTGATTTATTTTTTTAAGTCCTCATGAAATTTTCTCTTCACATACACATTATTGCAAAGCAATTTTCTCTAATATCATTCGTTTTTGTACGATTCACAAATATATGCATTTTTATGCATATTTTACCCTAGTATACACATTACTGGGCTTGAGATCTGTATTGCAAAATTCAGAGAAGTGTGAATTTTGAAAGATGGCTGTGTTTCAGTTCTCATACTGTTTCGTAAAGCGAGAACTAGATAGGGTCATCCTTAAATGTGAACTGAATTCCTCCCCCATCCCTATTATAAAACTTATATTCCTTTGAACTTTCCAAGCTCTTGTTTTCGGAGCGGGAGAGCAAACCATAACCGTCTCTTTCACAAAAAAGCAAGTGTGCTCCTGAAAAGTCTGTTGGTCACATCCTACATTTCCATCACCTCCCTTATTCTGTTTATCTTGTAGTGATGAATATGGTCCAATTTGAATTCCATTTTGCCACGCTTCCCCACAGAAGTAGAAGTAGTAGAAATATTATAAAGAATTAAGTATGAATAGATTGACATTGGGTAAAGAAGTAAATTTAAGTCTAAAATTTCGTTAAATTAAATTATGGAACTAAATTTGTGAAAGAGGGAAAGGACTTGCTAGAACATTTAATTGAACTAGAATACAAAAAAGGAGGTGTGAGGAAGTCGAGGAAATAAGCTAATGAAAGATAAGGATATGAAAATATGGGGTTCTTTTGTATGTTTGTTTGTTCCTTTGGGTTTTTTTTTTCTTTTTTAAAAATGCTTTTGTTTTCTTTTTTTCTTCTTTTTGTATTGTCAATGCTTTGTATATTTCTCTTTTGTTTCTCTTTTCTTTTTTGTAATGTTTAAACTTTAATAAATATTTTATATAAAAAAAAATAGAAGTAAAAAGGAAGGCATAGATCCTATTAAAGTGTGCTCTACAATATATTTTCATAAAGCTGACTTCATGTTTGGAAGCCACAGCATTAGTGGCTGTATGCCAAGCCAAAGACACGAGCAACTCCCAAAAAGTCACGACTGCGTTTTCAACTGTGTAGACTGAATATGATACCTTGGTACTTACTATCTGTACAGAAGATGATATTAAAAGGCAGACATGGGGGACAGGTGGCAAACCACATGCACATTTCAGCTGCTTTGAATCAATCCACTGACCAAGCTTCAACTCACATCCATGATACTCATGACATTTTTTATATTTTGCAATGTTATATTATTCACTTATGCAAACTCCTATTCTCTGCTTCTAGCCATGAAAGGGAACAGATGAAAGAAATCTGATGGGGGATGCAATATTTACCTGGAATTAAGTCTCATCAAATGCAATGTGACTCACTTCTCAGTAAGTGCGTGTGTGTGTGTGTGTGTTTCATCCTTCATCCAAGGATCACAGGGTTGTTTACAATATAAAAACACAAAATACATAGCATAGTAACAAACAAAAACAATACCCTGCCTCCACACACACAGTTTAAAAGGCCATAGATTGTTCAATTGGCCAAAGGCATAGTAGAAGAGGAATGTTTCTGCCTGGCACCTAAATCTATATAACCAAATCATAGAATCACAGAATTGTAGAGTTGGAAGGGACCACGAGGGTCATCAAGTCCAACCCTCTTCAATGCAGGAAACTTTTTCCCCAATGTGGGACTCAAACCCACCACCCTGAGATTAAGAGTCTCGTGTTATCTGGGCAAGGAAGATGCTCCTACATATTCTTCTGGAACTGTTGCACCTGGGAATAGTAATGGGAGCCCACCCTACTTTTACAGGTGATGGATCACAGTATCATTTTTCTTTACATGCACCACAAATGAGCCCTGAAGAATATTTCCAAGACTAGGGGCTGGTTTAGTAACTATTAAATCCTCCATGCTGAATGTCACCCTGAGATGGGGTGGTATGGAGAAAATAGTGGAATGGACATGGAAACCGCAGTCAGAATCAGGATCAGGATTGTAGAATTGGAAGGGACTGTAATGATCATCTAGTCCAAACCCCTTGCAATGCAGGAATATGCAGCTGTCCCATATGGGGATAGAACCTGCAACCTTTAGCAGCATGCTCTAACCAACTCAGCTAAGCTGTGTAATGCTGAAGTCTTGCAGCAGAGATGTGCCTGAGTACAAGGGCTCAGTTGTTTTGCCCACCATGATGTTTACCCATTGACACAGTAGCTCTGGCCAGGCATTATGCCTTTTATGGTGTTGCATCCCTGGGAATGATTAGTGCATAAACCGGGCCAGGCTCTTAGCTCTTTAAAAAATAAAAAAGTGTTCATCCAGGCTTCTTCTAGACCCAACAACTAGCATGGGTTAAATGTGGAAAATCTTCCTGTTTCCATCTTACGAAATATCAGAGCATTATATCCTAACATCATTACCTTCAAAATAGGATGGTAGTCATGTAACCTAATCCCAAAATCTTGACAGGACAAACAATTTCCTGTTAACTACCTACTCACAACGGCTGCCCATGTCTACGTGCGACATCATCACAAAATCTCCTCTCTGCTAGCAGTATTTGGCTTCTCCTGTTACTTAAACCAGCCTAAAAATATATGGGAGAGAACTGCAGTAAATGGTAAATGAGGCAGAGCAAGTCCAGATTGCTCCCTATCTTAAGAGGGGTGGTAACTGTCTCCTTCGCCGTTGTACTGATGCATTACCACTTCCTGTGCCCTGAGCCAAAAATTAAGTTATGCAACTTAACTGAATCTTTAGGATGTATGAAAATATAATAAGCTAGCCAAGCAGATTCATACCAAATCTTCTAATCGATCTGTGGAAGTTCACTCCTTCACTTCTGGAGTTCATTACTATTATTATTATTTTAAAGTGTTGATAAAAGCTTTTAAAAGCTTCATTTTCAAGTGGATACAGTGGCAACCGAACAATACCAAGCCCAAAAGAGATGGGTGACTGGCACACTTGCAGAAAGCAGCCTTGTTACAAAGGAAATGAGATGCGTCTAGGGGATGTACAGTACGATCTGTGTGCATGCTAATTGAATTATGTCTTCTCTCGGTGCTGGGGAGCGTTGAAAAGACTCATTTAGAAAAAGCCAAGAGACCTCCTGCACCGGGTAGCCAATTAGAGCGCGTCTTGGGGCAACATCCCTTCTTGCATCTTGCAGGCACAGGGGTCTTTCGCCCTGTCATCTGCGTGATTGGCAGGCATTATTAAAAAGAGGACAGTTCGGCTGCCAGACATGCCCACAGCTTAGATATGTCAACACCGTAAATGGGCTGTCCTCCTTTGCGTCAATCCCCCCAGTTATATCCCACCTGCTGTCCTTTATCGGGTGCATGTAGGCAATAGCTGTAAGGGGGACAGCACGGCACAATGGATGTGCAAGTTAGAATAATGTGGAAGCGTAAAAATCATATGCTGCTCTCTTGCCAGGCCCTTTGTCTCAAGCCTTCACAGACAATGTACAGGGTGGCTTTCCAGATTCAGTTGTTATGATGGAGACACGTGGGAGAGAGGAGGAAGAGAAAGTGTACCTTCTTTCCCCCTCCCTCTCTCACACCCATCCACACTTTCCACTCCCCTTTCTGGTGTTGCCACAGCTCTCATGCTCAGGGCAGAGGCTGCTGGTTGGAGAAGAGGGCAGACCAGCTCCACTGAGGCACTACCACCTCCTCAACAACCCTTCTGCTTGAGATAGGAACCTGTGGACCAATCTCATGGTGGCCTGGTTTGTGCAAATATGAGGGATCCCAGAGAGGAGCTCACAGTGTTAGAAACTCAGATATATAAGCTAGGCGCCAATGGCTCCTTAAAGCAGGGTTACAGTCGCCAAAATTGAATGGCCAGTTGCCGTTTGGGGACAAAAGGCTCGAAATTCATAGCTTTCAATATGACTTTATGGTTCCTGAAATTCGTTCTGATTGTGCAGATAAAATATAATGGGTAGAATTCTACAGGATGTGCTGCTAGTGTGTGAAAACAGTAAAAATGCAGGGATCCCCAGGCATGCACCTCCAGATGGTGGAGATGTTAGGCGCCATGCTGGCCCCTGGGTGCCTGGCAAATTTCAAATGCCGGGAGCTCCCAGTTGCTCTAGTCCTTTTTTGCTGCCATGCCATGCTGCACTGAGCTAAAGTTTGTCTTACCATGTCATTCAAAATGGGACTCACAGTTTAACTCTCTCAACACCAGCCACGAGCTCTAGTCAAGAACAAGCCTAAGCTACAGCTCCTGGTTAGTGAGAACAGAAGAGAACCACAAGCCCTGGTTGAGCCAACACGCTAAGCAAAATTTTTGCTTAGTTCACTGTAGTAGTAAACAAAAAATGGGGAAAAGCAAAGCTGCTACAACAGACAATTTGGGTGGAATGCTGAAACAAACCACATTTACAGCATAGTTAAGGAGGTGCCTGAGTGTGCATCTTACGCTAAGCCATAGTTAAGGTCAGTAAGCCAACAACAAACCATGGTTTGCATGGAACTGACAGAGAAACTTTCCACACACTAATATATCATGACTCCCGTATGGAGCTTCTCAGTAGCGTCTACAATAGATAAGGAGCCCTTTGGATGGGTGTAGATTGATTTCATTGATAAAGTAACCAGGGCTTTTTTTCTAGAAAAATACCGTATTTTTCGCTCTATAAGACGCACCAGACCACAAGACGCGCCTAGTTTTTGGAGGAGGAAAACAAGAAAAAAACTATTCTGAATCTCAGAAGCCAGAACTGCAAGAGGGATCGCTGCGCAGTGAAAGCAGCAATCCCTCTTGCTGTTCTGGCTTCTGGGATAGCTGCGCAGCCTGCATTCGCTCCATAAGACGCACACACATTTCCCCTTACTTTTTAGGAGGGAAAAAGTGAGTCTTATAGAGCAAAAAATACGGTAGGTTCCGGTACTCACCATGAAGTTGTTACAGTAAGTGTTACACTTTTTAACACTAAAAAGAGGTGCCAGTACTGCGTGCCTTTGAGTACCCCCTTGAAAAAAGCACTGAAAGTAACTATGAAGAAACAATCTCATCTCCAGCACATTTCCAAAAAGCCCTGATTATGCAAATGAACCTCTAGACATAAACACATCAGCTGCTTCAACAACAACTGAATGATAAAAACAAATATAAAGCCATCCATCTACATAGTATTTTACAAAGAGTGAGAGGGCAGGTCCCTGCCACAAGGGAGGTACACTTTATAAGCCTGGAGCTCTTTGTATTATTTCCCCTTCTCCTTGCAGAATAAGGAAAAGGATAAGGTTTTCTCTAAGCCGCTATAGAAGAAACCCACTATGAATAAATGATATTTATTTAGAGTCAGTTATGCAAGTATAGAACGTATCATAGAAGTACAAAGCACACAGAAGCACAGGCCTCCACAGACATGTTTTTAAAGAAGAAATGGGGATAAGAATACACAAATGTGCACTTCACATTTGATGCACAGTTTATATATTTTGTACGCTGGGAAATACAAAAAAAGAGTTGAGAAAGAACTAAGCTTGAAGTACGGTGAAAATCAGGACAAATATATGTTTTACCATTTCTAATAAAGGAATCTTAGAGTTGTATTCAATGTAGGGCTACGGAGATCATTCCATCAGCATGAGCATTTCTGCTTGCTGGACTGAATGGTCTCCCCTCTCCTCCCATGGACCACTGTTCTGGGGTTCTCCTGACTCTCTGGAACAGATTTGGGGACTGTGTGGGAAGAGGAGAACAGGGAAATCCTGGTGCTCCAGTAGGAATCACTGTGCTGGCTTCCACTAATGCAACTACTTAGTTGAGCACAGCCCTCAGTGTGAGAAGAGAATGGAGGGCTGCAAGGTCAGAAAAGAGGCAGGTATTTAGTCCATTCTCGACTGAAGCTTCTCCCACTTTGCTTAACACAGCACCATCCCAGTACAATGTGAGTAGTCTCATTCATTCATTCAACTTACTAGTTGCTTGTCACCCAAAGGTTTTCAAGCGACTTACAGTGAAGGAAAACATACAATACATATTACCATTCTATTACATTAATATTTCATGTAATGTAACATTCATTGGGGGGCGGCATACCAGCTGTATAAATAGTAGCGAACAATAAATAATAAACTCAAAAGCAATTTTCTGACCCATTAATTAGCAAATAAACAAAACCTCAATCTCCCCCAGTGCAAAAATCACTCACATCGAACCAACACCCCACCCCCCGTTTAATCTTCCCCTCCATCCAGAAGTCTGGTGTCAGCTGTTGCAAATCAGTGGTGGGTGGGTCCAGTGTCCTCCAGGGATGGTCCAGCACCTCTCCTCTCCCTTCAGGGGGAAGCAGCAGCAAAGCAAAGCAGGAAGATGATAAGAAAAGTTCTACCTGCTTTGCAGCTGACCCAGCTACTGCTCCTTTCTTGCTGCTGGTGGGGTGTGCCATTAGAACGAGGGAGCCACATATTTCAAAGGCTCAGTTTATAAACTTCTGCACAATTTTTTTAAAATGCATAAATCAGTTTCTACTTACATGCTTGTTTCTATACTGAGAAAACTGGGAGAGGCCAAACACAGTCGCTACAGCGCCGCCTCCAATGAGGATAGTCCCTTTCACGACCCTCCGAAAAGCCATTTTTTAATCCTAGGAAAAGAAAGAAAACAAGAATGTTCACAACCATACAAAGTCAGGGAAGAACACTTGTCTAAACCAGAAACAAGAGAAACTTGAGGAAGCAGCTGTCCTCAGAAGAAGAAAAAAGAATACATACAAATATGATAAAGTGAGCTATATACAACTTCTCAGCCACAGTGGTTCTCAAAGCAGTTTGCGGTAATAAAAATGGATTTTTAGGCAGATGGTAGTTATCCTCACAACAACAGATCCAGAATGCCAGTCAATGGGATCGTGTGACCCCCGGCTCTGGTTCCCCAACAGGTAGCAAACAAGAGGGGGGCTGTGGGGAGTCCTCTCCCCAATCTATCAAGTGCTCTTGCTGTTTTGAAAAAATTGTCTCAGCAGTTTTCAGCCCTTACAACTTCTGAGACAATAGCTGTCGGTGGCCCTAAGAGAACATTGATCCATAAATTCCTCCCCACCCTACCATAAGCACGTGAGTGGCAGCAAAGGGAGATAGTAGGGGAGACTTGTTAAGAAGCATGCAGCCTGCATGCATGCAAGCATGCAGTTCTCACATGCAATCCATTTCAGGAACTTTTCACCTTGAACTCAAACACATTCTGGAAACAACACATTGGGATTTAGCCCAAAGACAGCAAAGAGAAAACCCCAAACAATGCCATTGTATCAAAAGGGAATTACCGAATTTAGTAAAACAAAGAATCAAATTAGCACCGGCTTTCACGAGAAACGCACTAACAACAGGCACATTTCAAAACATTTTTAACTAATGGGAGGATTAAAGTATACAAGCTCTAACTAGTATACATAGCAGAGATAGGAAGCCACAGAGAGAAAGAGAGAAGAAAGGACACTAGTGAAGACTAAAAAAAGGGGATACCAGAAGAAAAATGAATGCTACCTTGAGCTACTCACTGTAGAAAGAAAAGAGGGTGTTGCCAGGGGTAGAAGGAAGTTCCGATAGTGGTTTTGTGAGGTTCACAGGAAGATTTTAGGATCAGAATAAATTGAAAACAAGCGAGAGACTTGCAACACTAGATGAGACTAAGAATGTTTGCAGCAGAGCAGTAGCAGATGGCTGCGAGTGGCGAGGGAAGAGGAATATGAAATTTTGGGGAAACCCAGCAAGATGGATGGGGTGTAAATAATAAATTTATTTTTTTATTTTTTTTATTTTTATATCCCTGCTGAGGCTCTCAGATCTTATTCATTCATTTTGGTCTGCAAAGACTGAAGCTAATGTCATGCTTGCAAACTGCCTACCCAAAAAATAGGAGTTTGGGGAGAATTTGAGAGAATTCTGATACAGAGGATATTGGAAGTGATGCGAAAGTTATTTGTGAACATCCCTTAGTCAACTTGTAGCACATCCATGATTCCAGTCTCAACAGAATGAAGTAGACATCATACAGATGTTTAACCACATCCTGGATGATGTTATGCTGCGTCCAGTTAGGGCTCTCATTTCAATAATATATATTAGCATTGCTCCTCACATATGTTCCAATGCTAACAAAGGTCTTTAAAGGGCTTTTGGTAAAATGCCAGAATCTATCACTATCAATTTTGCCAATATATGAGCCACAGTATATTTTAAATAAGGTGGTTCAGTGTGTTTTTAAGTGATCTTGTGAATGGACACTTTTTAGCTTATTTGTGTTGTTTTAATAAGTGTTTTGTTATATCTTGTATCTCTGTATTTTTATCCTGTTCCTGCTAATTGCTATCTTGGGGTGAAAAGTGCTGAACAAGTTTAATAAGCTAAACTAAAAAAAAATTGTTAAAAGCACCAACAAACAACTCCAACACTAGCCGTGGTTGCATCCATCTTCTCCCCATCCCAAAACTAAACTCTGCAAAGGGAAAAGCTACTATGATTATCTACATGATGTGGCTTTCCTTCATTTACCCCATCTTCATGAGCCAGGTGATTTCACACACACACCCCAAACTAATTGAAACTTTGGGGTCAGTGAAAGAAGAAAAGGACATGGGGACAAATTTCTCTGTTAACAGTGAGGACTAGCTCCCTTCTCTGGTCACTTACCCCCCATCCAGTGTGGCCTTTTCCAAGCTTCAAAGTCCAGAAAACCACACAGCTATAAACTTATATTAAAATTACCTGGACTCCTTTGGGGAGAGGGGAACGGCAGGATATAAATTTAATTAATTGAGTAATTATTTAAGATGGAAGCGTACGAGAAGGATAGCTCAGCGGCTAAGAAGAATCCTGGATTGCTAAACAACTTTGCAGTGCGCCTGCAGCAGAGACAAAGGGGAATGTAAACAAGTCAATGTGTCAGTAGTAGTAGCACGCAGAGTCAGCTTGGTCTATATAGGGGAGGTGGCCTACAAGGTATCTGGCTCCCGGGTTGTTTAGAGCATTAAATGTCAAAAACATTTGCCTTGAACTTGGCATAGTGGCTAACAGGCAGGCAGGCAGCGCAGAGCTTTCAACATGGGTATGGTATATGTAAAGCTAAGTGTCCTGCTGAGCACTCGAGCAATTGCATTCAGAACCAGGAACGAGGGAAGTCCCACGTATTATCCATTGCAGTAATCAAATGAGATTTATCATCGCCTGGGTCCAGTTCCCACACTACACAACAGCTCCTTCAGAGGGGAAACAACCCTACCCAGAGCTGGCATACAACCCAATTTCCAGGCCTGGAAACCACCACTCATCTCGTCAGGATTCAACTGTTAAAGGAGATTTGGGGCAAGGTGCCCCCTGTAACTGGTATGCTGATGATAATGCAGCTATCTGAATTTTCCCCGCAACATCTGAATAAGAGAGGCCAGGGATTACACCCATGCAAATCACGTGCTCTTCCACTGAACTATGGTCTCTCCCCAAACGTAATCCCATTAACCCTTTTGTGCATCCTCTTGTTCCATATGTTGCCAGTACCAACCAATCCACTGTTCTTTTTGCTTTTGTTTTTTAAACCGCTCGTTTCAAAGGTGGTTGTACCAGCACAGCACTCTGAGTATCACAGGCTGTAAATTAAGAAGCAGCTGCCAACAGGTGCGCCTTTGCATGCTAGCAGATTAGCTGTGGAATGAGAAAGACAAGCTTATCAAATGCGATCATCAGTTGCGCCCTGATAACCCATTGTTTGTAAGTGCTAGAAGGAAAGGCGTTCAGCCTTTCACCAAATTCAATTATAATTACACCCTCTCTTTGTTGAGCTTTGTTCAAAAGGCATTGAAGAGCCATACTGTATGGAATTTTTCTCCCATCCTTCCCAAAGTTAAAATGCACAAGCCTGTTACAATGTAGCCTTTTCTCCTTTCCCCTTTTTCCTCTTTCCTCTCCTTTCCTTTTTCCTTGCCTTTTTCCTTTCCTTTCCTTTCCCTTTTTTATATTTTTTTTACAGATTGCCTTGCCAATACAGTGGCACCTCTGGTTGTGAACGGGATCCGTTCCGGAGGCCCGTTCACAACCTGAACAGAATGAAACCCGCATCTGCGCATCGCGATTCGCTGCTTCTGCGCATGAACATGACGTCATTTTGCACATCTGCGCATGCGGTGAAACCTGGAAGTAACCCATTCCGTTACTTCCAGGTCACCGCGGGACGCAACCTGAAAATGCTCAACCTGAAGCAAACGTAACATGAGGTATGACTGTAAGCCTAGAAAAATGATTACCATCCAGGAATCTTTACTAGTCTACTTGCTGCCTCACATGTGGCCTGAAATAAAACAAATATATGCTTTTTAAAAGAGAGACACTTCTTTTCCCATTTCCACAAACGTCTCTGCTTGGCCACCAAGAAACTACTCCTGCACCCCACGGGTAAAGCTCCACAGGTAATGCCAGCTATTTACAACCTTGGCGCATATGCTACTCCGACCATGTGAGGCGAGCTTTGTGAAAGCAAAGGCTGAAGTTCCCAGAACAGATGTAAGAGCCAGGGATGGGGTGCGATAGAGTGAAATCCTGTCTGCGCACTCCAAACTATAAATAATTCACCTCTGAGACATCATCTGCTGCCAGTTATTTCTTTCAAAATCAAAGCTCTTCTCCAAACCCCCCCCCCCCCCAAAAAATTAGTCTCTGACCATGCATTCAAGTCATGTGGCTATTAAAGTGTACATCATTTCAATATCTGAACCTCTAGCACAGGGTTGGGGGACCTTGTTCACCCCAAGGGCCACATTATTCTCTGAGCGACCTTCCAGGGGCCACATGGCAGTGGTGGATGGGGCCAGACCAACAAATGAACATTTCACCTTCTAAGTAGGTTCTACGCACACATGCACACCACTCAATCCTCCAGCCAGGCAAGCAAATGGGATTCCGAGGACACATTCTAGCCAGGCAAAAACACCTGAGGAAGGAACAAAGCAGAGCCAGTGAAGGAGGACATGGCATGGGGAGAGGGTGTGTGGCTCAGGAAGGAGTGGAGAGAGTCCCAAGGGTCAGACAGAGAAGCTTGGAGGGCTGCATTTGGTCCCTGGGTCACAGATTCTCCACTCTAACAAGCAAACAATGCCTGTCATAAGAAATCTCAGTTGACTGATCATACAAGTTTAAGAATGTTTAGATGAGAAAATCCCACTGTTCAATTGGGCTTACAAGATATTTAAATAAGAAGAAGAAAACAACAGGCTTTTTGTGGGGGAAATATACTCCTTGTCAGTGCTATTTTTCTAGAAAAAGAGGTGCCAGAACTCACCAGGAACACCTCCCTTGTTCTCTTATGGTGCCCACTTGAGTTCTGGTGAGCTCCAGCTGAAAAAAAGCCCTGCTCCTTGTTTTTAAAAATGCTGTACTCACATTATTTCCAAGAGGCATTTCTTCATGTAAAACAGGAAAGGGGGAGGTTGTTCTTGTAATGCCTTGTATTATAATAAATGGATTGAAACTGCAGACCCACTGAAATCTACAGACATGACCAACGATTTCAATGGGTCTGCTCTGGGTATGGCTTAGATACAATCCATTAACTTTTGTTAAACTCAGCTAATGAAAAAATTAAATGGCAACACTTTTCAGTCGATTAAAATGTTTTAAATTGATTAACTGATTAATTGACTGATCACTGCAGCTTTCATTTTTCTCCCAGGAAGACCTGTGGCTGCCAAGAATGCAAGAGTGGCTCAGCATACCCATATCAATCTTCAAATTAGGTATGCATGCAACCTCCTTTTAATATAACTCTTTGGGACATCAGAATAACTGGCTAGAACATGTGCACTACTTAAAACTGTTTCGGCAGAAAGAAGCAGTCTTGTGGTGAGCATTACCACTGGAGATAAAATAATAAATAAATAATAAAATAATAAAACTAACTATACCATTACAGCCACTATCAAGTCAGAGTGAACTCTGTACAGAGTGTACATAGTTAACAGCCAGGTTAAGTTCCAGGGGAAGGGCTGTAGGAGGGAAGTAGCAGAGAAGGAAGCCACAGATTCAATCTCCAGGTAAAGCTGGGAAAGTCACCCACTTCAAACCCTGGAGGCCCACTGCCATGCAGTCACTGCAGACAATACTGACATAGATGGACCTACGGTCTAAAGCAGACATGGCCAAACGTGGCCCTCCAGCTGTTTTGGGACTACAATTCCCACCATCCCTGACTACTGGTCCTGTTAGCTAGGGATGATGGGAGTCCCAAAACAGCTGGAGGGCCAAGTTTGGCCACCGCTGGTCTAAAAGTATGAGGAATCTTCCTATGTTCCTAGTCACTTAACTTGTATTTTTTCCCATACTGCACAAGGTTGGTTCCTCCATATCCGATTGTTGGAGGCGTTAATATTGCACAAGGTTCTCTTAGCATTATATTTCTCTATATAATAAAAATGTAATAATGTCATCATGGAGCCCCCGTTGGAGGATTTGCAGTGCTACATCACAATCCTGGAGTTGCATGAAGTCAGAGCTTGATAGGGGAGCAAAAAGTGAAGACAGATTGCATCATGGCGTTGGTGTTGGAAACAAGAACGGTTATTGAGAAGGTGGAAATGGCAGTTTAAGACAACAACAGAAGTTTGAGTAAAGCGGAGATGGAGGAAACTGAAAGGAAAATTGTAGTTTTAAACCATGACATTGGTTCGTCGTATGGAAGAACTAAGGCATATGCCGAGTATGCTTTACTTAAAGACTAAAATATTTACATGTAGTTGGCGGCTACAGGAAAACTCAGGTTAGGTGATCACAAAGACAACTGGCCAATAATAACGGTAACACTGTCTGTTCTGCAAGGGAATGGCGCTTGGTATTTTTTTGAAGCTGAGTTGTTCACAGGGAGTCAAGTTGTATTCTTCGTTGCTATCAACCGGGGCGCAAGCCAAGCAATTGGCTTTCCCCCTCCTTTTTAATTAAAAAGAGATTGCATTTGGACACCAGGGAGGGAAGCAGCTTGACATTTGACTCTAAAAAGAAAAGGACCAAGCTTTTTAGATTTTTCTTTCTTCCCTCCCACCCTCACTTTGGTTAAGGCTAGATACAAGCAGGTAAAGTTTCTCGAGTCACAATATGTAGAGTATTTAACAGAAAAACTGTCCCAAATTTACAAGCATTCTAGGTTTTTGCATCAGTATGTCATTTAATCCTATTCACTGCATTCTACAGTTCAAACAATGTATCTTTTTTCTAATTTGTCGTGGTTGTTTTGTGTTCCTTCTTATTTTCTGCTGGTTCACAGTTTAAGCGTATACACATCTACTGAAAGTGAATCCCACCAAATTTAAAGGGCCTTACTCCCAGGTAAGAAGGTCTATGATTTCAGCATCAATATCCCCCCCAACACATTAATGTGTCAAGCAAGCCATCCTTCTTATGGCAGCCAGATTTCTTCAGAGTTAAATCAGACCAAACAGCCTGCGTCACATGACTTAGTGCAAATACACAAGTTTAGTGTGAATGCACAGGCGCCTAAAGAGAAGACTGCAGCTGCTTTGCTTCATCCCAATTGTTCTGATGCTGCCCTGTGCTAAACTATGGCATGGTTTGTCTTAATGTGCCCTACAAACCCCAGGCTCATGGTTTCGATCTCCCGCACAAACCATAAGCCATGTGCCAAACCTTAATTATAGCTCATGTAACATGTGGAAAGAGCTGCCAGGTGCTAAACACCTCTCCCCCTTCCCATTTTGCAACATGAAGTTATTTATTCTGGGGCAACAGATAAAACAGTGACATCCACAAATCAATTGAACAGTAATATTTAAGCATCACCACCCATAGCTTGGTTTTATGACTTGAAGCAGATTTGATGGGACTGATTTCCAGGTAATTGTGCATCGGATTGCATCCTTGCGACATAACCTTAAACATGCTCACTTAGAAGAAGTAATTCTCGCTATTTTTAGTAGGCTATATTGCTTGAAGTGAACCTCACTATCTTGAAGTGAGCCTCACTGGATTCAATACGGCTTATTTCTGTGTAGACATGGTTAGGGCTGCACTGTTAAGTGTGTTTAGGATGGCTGTCCTATACTAACATCTACTCAGCAATAATTTCCACTGGGTTCCGCTGGAGTTGCTCTATATAGGGCCACAGCACTGCAAATTAAAACCAATGCTTAATTCGGGTTTACTGTAACCCACCTGGGCAAGCTTTGTGACCCAGGTTGGGATCCACAGGTTAGGGAACACTGTTCTAAGGTACCAAAATGCTTTTCCCTACTGACTAGCAATAAACAATGCAAAACCTATAACTTTCTATTTACTTCTTAGGCGCTGCCAGTTTTATCCCTTCAATGACATTGCAATGAATTTGTAAGTTGTGTTGTTTATGCAGTGAGCCATGTTAAATCTAAAGGGATCAGGCACAGCAGAACACTATTAACAAGTATCTGCAAGAAGTGCCTTCTGTAAAGCTCTACAGAAGTACCAAGCAGATTTGTCAATACGTTGAAACAGGACCAGACTTGCTGAAGATGACCTACATCCCTCTTACTGCCACTAAGGAAGTCAAGTTTAACAAAACACAACCACTTGTAGGCCACTCCCTCTATGCATGCATGCTAGGATGAAGATGGAAGTTGCTTCTAAGTATCATGGGTGCACTTAAATAGGATTAAGAACTAGTAGAAACATGTCTAGCTGCTTCTGAGATTTTAAGCATAATATATGAGAAAACAGCACAATTCAAACTACTTAATTAAGTCGCTAAAATAAGTTTGGGCATTTTGCACCTTTGTCCCTAAGCAGCTTGGAATATTAGAAGGTACACTGGTACCTCGGGTTAAGTCTTTAATTCGTTCCGGAGGTCTGTTCTTAACCTGAAGGACCACTTTAGCTAATGGGGCCTCCTGCTGCCGCCATAGCACGATTTCTGTTCTCATCCTGAAGCAAAGTTCTTAACCTGAAACACTATTTCTGGGTTAGCAGAGTCTGTAACCTGAAGCGTATGTAACCTGAAGCATATGTAACCCGAGGTACCACTATATATCCTCCCTTTGGTTAAAAAAATAAATTAAGCCTATCAAGAAAGTGTTGCATCAAGTTTTCTAGACACAGAACCATTAGATGGAGAACAGAAAGGTTAAGGATTTTTAAAGGTAGCATCTGGTTCGCATGACACAGTAAGTCAAACTATGAGTTTACTAGAACTGCATGAACATGCAGGCCTGATTAGATATCATTTGGCTTGCTGCATCATTAAAAGCAGTGTGCCCTGTTATTCCCCCCCCCCCCCCAATTTTGGTATAGGAGGTCTACAAGGGCACACCATTCACATGTACTTATCTATACAGTACTACCTATCCAACAACCAAGATCAATGCTTCATAAGGCGTCATTAGCAGTTTTCATTCTATGTGTTGGTTAACAATTCTCAACACACAAAAATAAGTGCATTGAGCTTAACAGACACCTATTAATGGCAAAAAAATTCACCCACCCAGAAACCTTAACCTTATTTTTGACGGGTCTTTGAAGAGGATTGGTATATCAGATAAACCTCCACATGAGGAATGTTTGAACTGGGAATGGACACAAGGAGGCAGCTGTTAACCAATCTGTTTGCAGTAACACAAAACTTTCTGCTCAAGTGATAACTTAATGACTGCTTCTATAAAAGTAGATGGGTTGAGATTCAATCCTAAGTATTGGTTTTAAAAAAGAGGGAAGGAAAAGGGTCTTAATGACTAATGTGAAAGAATCTTATGTACAGTACCATACTTTGGGCTTATTCCCAGATTTAGAAAGCAAAAACTAAAATGAATCACTATTTGTGAAATACATGGTGAAATTTGATGACCAGTCATACAAATCATACAAAAACCTAGCCAATTCTGGCTTTGAATGCTTAAAAATCTGGCTGCTTGTAACAAGGCTGAACTGAACACTCTTTCACTCTGTGCTTCCCTACAAGGGGTTGTGAAAATATCATGATACTCTGCTAAGCACTTGGTTAAAGGCTATATGTAGCTGGCTCAACATACAGTTTGAGCAGGAACATAGTAAAAGGTTTTTAAGATGCCACTGCACAGGGTCACGAATCTATCTTCAAAGAGCAGCATATCTATCACCACCGCTTCCAGGCTGAGGACCTGACCTCTTGCTTCTCCAGGTCTCAGGTGAGTGAGGCTTGATGAACAATCGCTCCTTCTGTGGGAGTGCACAAACATCTACATATACATGTTCCAACCATGAGTGCACCAGGAGCCACAGAGAAGTCTAGCTTGGCTAGCCGGCCATTAGATACCTACAGGTAAACCTTGCATCCTCTCACTTCCTGTACTGCTTCTCCTGTGGTTTCCTGTTGAGGTTAAACAAGGATCCATGGTCCCATTGCTATAGTAGTATTATTCCTTCATGCCAGCTTCAATGACCTCAAACATCATTGCCATGGTGACAGGAGATGCAGCAGAATTTTAACTAGCAGCCTAGAGTTCCGGATGGATGGCAGATGCAACGGATAGTAACAATAATAATCATAATTTACTACTTATACCCCGCCCATCTGGCCAGGCCTCCCCGGCTACTCTGGGCAGCTCCCAACAGAATATTAAAAACATGATAAAACGATGTGAGGGATGCCTCAGTTGCCCCAATAGAGGCCAGCCCTGGCAACAGGCAGATATAAATACTCAAGGCCAGAGCACATGTTACTCTCACCTCAAGAATACAACTGGAAATAGCTTCCCTGCAGTTCCGACACCCACCCACATGCAAGTGCTGGTTCTAGCATAAACAATTATTAACCTCATGACTTGCAACCACTGAGTGACAAGTTCCTGAAGGCTGGTGGGGCAGGGAATGTGGAGAAACTCACAATGTATGTAAAGGTACATGGTCAGACCAGGAAACAGACTGTCACTGAAAGACCTCTGCTGCCAGTGTTCCCATGGCAACCACAACATGTGCTTTACAGAGATGTAGTTCTCCTGAAGTCCTCTCTCTGCCTAACAGTAGGGCCAGCCCTGCATTCCATTCATACTCTTTCACAGCACTCCCATTTTATACTGCCTGCATTAAATCAATAATAAGGTGGAGGAGGAGAAGGAGGAAGAGAATTAGTTACTATTTACAAACTGGAATCTAGAAAGAACACCCAGACAACTGATTTGGGAATGGATCACTTTAAAAAAAAAAAGAGTCCTAATCAAAGTTAATAAATAAAATAAATAAGTCAACCACTTCACAATTTTCCCTATAAGGCTCTACTGTTGAGGGGCCTCTCATTTCTAAAACGAGAAGTGCCAAGGCTCACCCTCGCGGAATTTCCCCTTGACCCAGATATGCTGAGACATGCTGGGATTATTCAATTGGGGAGAGAGCACTTAGCCCATGTTCACAGTACTTCTGAGTCCACTGCTACATCACATGTGGTGGGGAAGCTGACCCCCAGAATCAAAACAGATTGTGGCTCACACAGCAACGTAAGAGGAAGGGCCAGTACTACTCCCGCCCCACTAGTCCCATCTATGGATGCGAGTGGAAACCTGTGGGTTAGATCCCAAACAAAGCAAATGCGAGGGGTGCTCAGCATCAGCCACACCGCGAGGACAAAGCCTTCTGCACATGATCGGAGGCGGCCTCGCCTTCTTCACACCTGTGCCACATGAGCCCCTTGCATCGACAACAGGTTCTGGGGCTGAACCAGGCTCGGGCTGGGTGGGGGTCGAGACAGAACCCTAATAAAGCCCCCTGCCTCTTAGGTCCAGGAGGAGACTCACAGTTTCCCGGTCGAGAGAAGAGACCCTGCTCCTCCTCCGAGGCTCAGCCACGCCGCCGCTGCTTTCCCGGGGACTCTCTCGCCGCCTGGCCTGGAGAGGGAGGCGGCCGGTGAGGAGCAGCAAGAGGAGGAGTCCCCCGGCAGCACCTCCCCGAGGCCTGGACCGGGCTCCCCTTTCCCCCTGCCGAGCACGACGACGACGCCGGCGCCCCCGGGCTTCCCAGGCGCCCGCAGCCGAGCGAGGAAGCCCCGAGGAGAAAGGCGCTCGGCGGCTCCAAGGCAGCCTGGCGCGCACCGGGCCCTGCGGCGGAGGAAGCCTCGTGGCGAGCGGGAAGGAAGCGCGCCGCCACCGCAACCACCACCGGCTCCTGCGCTGCCCAGCTGCGGCCTCGCGCCGGGCAGACCCCGCACGCGAACCCGCGGCTCCGCTAGGCCCAGGCGCCGCCCGCCTGCGCGCAGAGCATCCGCCTTCCCCGCGCGCAGCCCAGCGGCCTCTCCGCGCTGCGCGCAGGGGTGACCACCGAAGCTGCGCGCCGCCCTTACCTGGCTTCTTTTCCAGCCCGGCACCTGCTTACTGAGTCCGCATGGGTTTGCCTTCCCGGCACGGCGCCTCTTTCCCCGGGGCGACGTCTTCTTGCCGAGGCGCGGAGACGAGAGGCCCCAGCGGCTGCCTCCCTTTCGCTGCAGCTGCTGCTATTGCTACTCTACTACTGCTGCTGCTGCTTCTCCTTCCCTCGCCGCTTCCTTAAGGCGTGTCTCCACTAACCGGCTAGCGAGGAAGCAGGTTCCCGTAAGGTCCCGGCTGGGCTTGGCGCGGGAGAAGGAGAGAGAGGAGAGACGTCGCCTGCCTTTGCAAACACGTGTGGAAGTCCCGAGGGAGACACCAGAAGAAGCACTTCTTTTTTGGAAACGTGCCCTCCTCCGAGGCCTCTCCTCTTACAGGCTCGCCTGCCAAGGCTAAGGTGTCCCCCCCACCCCCACCCCCAGAGAGAGAAATGGGACTCGGGGGTTGTCAGAAATGGCAAGGCACTGGCAAGGGGTTAGAGACGCACAGAACGGTTCCTTGGCCAACCAACGATCAGGTGTCTTTCTTTAAATGTGCAACACACTACTTTTATTAAAATGTTTGTACTTGCTAAAGTTTTGGCAGGGATGGAAATGGGGAGACAAGATTGTCTTCCAGGCAAAAGAATGGGGAAATTGAACGAGGACAGTGTTGAGTAGTGGTTAGAGTGTCAGACTATGACCAGTTCATAGGAGAATAATAGAGTTGGAAGGGACCATGAGGGTCATGTAGTCCAACCCCCTGCAATGCAGGGATATTTTGCCCAACGTAGGGCTCAGATCTTGAGATTAAGAATCTTATGCTCTATCAACTCTGCTGTCTTCCCTGGCAAAAGCAGTTCAGTGGCCGCCCGTGGGCCATTTGCAATCCGTGAGCAAGCTACTCAATAGCATCCCTCAAAAAGGAGGCAAGACATCATGCCTCCATCCCCACCATGCCTTCTTAGAGGGAGAATGAAATACAGTGGTAGCTCGGGTTAAGAACTTAATTGGTTCTGAAGGTCTGTTCTTAACCTGAAACTGTTCTTAACCTGAAGCACCACTTTAGGTAATGGGGCTCCTGCTGCCACTGCGCCGCTGCTGCACAATTTCTGTTCTCATCTTGAAGCAAAGTTCTTAACCCGGGGTAATATTTCTGGGTTAGGAGACTCTGTAACCTGAAGCATATGTAACCTGAAGTGTATGTAACCCGAGGTACCACTGTAAAATGTAGTTAACCAACACAGAATAGCTTGTCACCAGGAAGTGCATGTGTTTATTTACATCAGCCTTGTAAATAAGCCCTCAAAAGTTACTAGCCTGCCAAAAAAACAAAGTTGCCACCTTGCTAAGAATCTAGCAGTTGGCATTTCCATGCTGACCTTGGAAACTACCATTGAAATGCAAGCTAGTCACAGGTTAGGGGTTTATTGGGAGGTAGGGTTAAATGTATTCCCAAGTTCTGCCAAGGCAACTGGCACTAGCCCACTGTTCCCATGCAGGTCATGAAGAGTTGAGTTTTCCTTCCTCTGCAACTAATATGTGGACTGTTGAAGAATGAATGTAGATACCCTTTCGTCTTCCCTCCCTTTCCTACATGAAATTCCTGTTTGCCTGTGAATAGCGAACTCATTTTCACCCTTACATAGCCCCCAGGCCTGAGGTTTCCACACCTTGGGTATAAACTAATAGCAAGCTCCCTGGTGTGAATTTATGTTTCCAAAACATCACCAAGCACAAGAGGGAGGTAGCAGGTTTGGGGAAACAGGATTTCTGGAAGTACAAAAATAATGGAGTAGGAGGGCACTAAGGAGGTTAAAAGCCCAAGTGCAGCTCAGTGAGAACTGAGCATGTGTGGTGGCTACAAAATGCTGGCAGGGGGGCGGGGACAACTGGAAAATCAGTGACTGGCTGTGTCATAAAACAGGACCTGGCTGGCTGAAACCTTGAACAGAAGCAATCCACCCACTACAACATTTTGCTGCAGCTTCCACTTAGATAACTAAGTTCAAAATCTGAACAGAGGTAAACTTGCTGACTATACTCGCCCTGCCCAGTGCTTAACCTTTCCTACAAAGTTCACCCTACCATTTCCACCCTTTTCCATTGTTCCCTCCCATCCAAGGGAGCGTTCCACTCACTTCGGTCAAGATGGGAAGGGTGCTGCGAAATTAGAAAGTTTGCAAAGCACTGGTCTGGTCTGGAATGGGAAGCAAGCCCAGGGATGGTCAAAACAAATCCTAGCTGGAATAAGCCCTGCCTGACTTCCCTGTCCATTGCCTTGACTTTTAAAATTTACTGTTTTTAGCTATGGTTTTATTTTATTTTAAAACTTCATGATTTGTCGTCTTATGCTTTTGAACACCGCTTTGAACATTATTTCCAAAGCAGTGTGTGTGTGTGTGTGTGTGTGTGTGTGTTCGTGTTCTAAACAGACCCTGAGATTTAGAGGTATAGGGCGGTATGCAAATTTAATTTAAAATAAATAAATACAATAAATATTTTGAATACTTCTTCTTTCTGCAAAGAACAAAAGCAAATTCAAACCAGAATATCCCCAGACTTCATGGATATTATGTGGGCTGCATCCCTGATTCTAAGTACTGCACATTCACTTGCAGCACAATCCTATACATGTGTGTTGAGCAAGAACATAGGAAGTGGTCTTATACAGATGAAATAAATAAAAAAATTGTTCAGTAGCACCATAGAGACCAACTTAGTTTGTTCTGGGTATGATCTTTTGTGTGCGCGCGCACGAATATTTATACCCAGAACAAACTTAGTTGGTCTCTAAAGTGCTACTGGACAATTTTTTAATTTTTTAATTTATTTCGACTGCGTCAGACCAACACAGCTACCTACCTGGGTCTTATACAGAGTTAGACCCTTGGTCCCTTTAGCTCAGTATTGTCAGTTCCAGTCGTTCCCAGCCATTTTTTCCCCATGGACCATTTGAAAAATTTTCCACGGACCACTTAATGATTTTTCTGTAAGGTGCGCTGTACTTGATACCGTATGGTTTTTCACCATATTTCATTGCTGCTTTTCTTTGTTACATTTTTTATTTTATTATTCCATATACTGGAATTCAATAAAGTACAATATAAGAATTAAAAGAAGCAATAAAAAAAGCAGTATGAATATTTAACATGGTGGATATGCCATCTCCTGACCATAAATCCACAGAGACGCATTACACACCACCTGAATGAGGCTTGTGGACCACTAGTGGCCCACAGACCACAGGCTGGGAAGCCCTCATCTACTCTTGATGGGCAGCAGCTATTTAGGGTTTCAGACAGCCCCCTCTCCCAGCCCTTCCTGGAGATACCAAGGATTGAACCAGGGACCCTCTCCATGCAAAGCAGATGTTCTACCGCTGAGCCATGGCTCTTCCCCATTGGGGCTTCCAGAAAAGCGGCCATAAAACAGCAGCCTTAAATGCAGTATGCCTCTGAATGCTAGATGCTGGTGGGAAACGGGAGAGCTGCTGCCTTCACGTCCCAACAGTGAATGCTGGATTAGATGCACCTTTGATCTGATAACAGGCAGTGGGGCTCTTCTTGCGTTCAATCTCATCGGCCTCAGCAGAGCATTACCAAAGCTTACAGTATAGTGCCATTGCACCAAATCGCAGCCATATCCTTTAGAAGTGCAGTGTTTTTAATGCATATTTTAATTTTGATTCCTTTCTTTACAACTCTCCAGGACCTTATGTGCAAGAGAGAGAAGAAGAAAAAAAAGTAATGGAGTGTTTTTCAAAACAGTAGAAAATCCAAGAGCAGGTAATACCATGGGATATTCAAGGCCGCCTTTAAAAGGCCAGTTCCCTTTGGAGCAGGGGGGAAAGCCCTGGAGACTTCTGATGTGTCTATAGCAATCTGTTTTGCTTTTTAAAAAAATAATGTGCAGGTTGTATCCTGGGAGCGCTGCTGAAAGCGCACACAGATAGCACATCCCAGGAGCAATGACAAGGTCAGGGAGTCCCTAAACCAAACCAGTTCTTTTCGTAAGAAAATATTATATACAGTGGTACTTCTGGTTGCGAACGGGATCTGTTCTGGAGGCCCGATCGCAACATGAAAAGCCCGCAACCTGAAGTGCAGTATCTGCGCAGGTGCGTGGCGCAATTTGGCGCTTGTGCGCATGCGTGAAGCACAATTTAGCGCTCATGCACGAGCAGCGAAACCCAGAAGTAACCCGTTCCAGTACTTCCGGGTTGCCGCGGGACGCAACCTGAAAAAACGTAACATGAAGCAAATGTAACATGAGGTATCACTGTATATATATACACAGTGGTACCTTGGGTTAAGAACTTAATTTGTTCCGGAGGTCCGTTCTTAACCTGAAACTGTTCTTAACCTGAAGCACCACTTTAGCTAATGGGCCTCCCACTGCCGCTGCGCCACTGGAGCATGATTTCTGTTCTCATCCTGAAGCAACGTTCTTAACCCGAGGTACTATTTCTGGGTTAGTGGAGTCTGTAACCTGAAGCGTCTGTAACCTGAAGCGTCTGTAACCTGAAGCGTATGTAACCCAAAGTACCAGTGTGCGTGTGTGTGTGTGTGTGTGTGTAAACACACACACACACACCTGTCTCCAAACTCTCTGAGCTGCTCCAGAGCCAAACCAGGTAAATGTTCTCAGGCTTGACCTCTTGAGGAGGGCTGTGGTATTTAAATTTGAACAAATAGTTTCCAGACACTAAGTATATTTGTGTCCTTCCTTCCTTCCTCCAAGGGTACTGTAATGCCCTTGGGGGTTGGACTAAATGGTTTTTTGGGGATCCCCTTTTCCCATGATTTTATAGTGGTACGGTAAGATTATGCAGAAAAACACGACCGCTGGAGTGGTGAGTTCACAGGAGTTAAAGAGCTGGAGACATTTCTGGAAGCCCAGTATAAGGGAGTATTTCTTTCTTCTACTCCTCTTGTCCAGCTAGAGGTTATGACATCAAGGTGTGTGGGGAGGGGGTTGTTTAAGTGTGTAAGAAGGAAAATTGTGCCTTGGGGTGGGGCTGGGGTTCAAAAAAAGATGCTTTCTCTCTGCACAGCATCATAAGCTATGGCTCCAGAGAAACCTAATGAGGAATCTGAATCTGTTGGGAGTGCCAGTGTTATGAGCCTTCCATCTTATGTTCAGCATATACATTGTAAAAATAATCTTATATTGTAGAAATTCTGTAAGTCTCCAGTGACCTTGGTCTCAAGGACATTGAACCAAATGACGTGCTGAAATCTGTCACCACTATTGAGATTGAGGTGCTCATATCACTACTACCCTATTCTGCCCTTACAACAATGTCGTGAGAGGTTATTAAATCAGGGAATAGGGAGTGATTGGCCGAAGCTCAACCAGCGACCATCATGGCTTAGTACAGGTGTGAACCTGGCCCTCACAAGCCTATATCTGACATGCTGTACACTACATGAAGGGTGAGGAACTGGAACTGACCAGCCGAACAGAGCCTTAATGCCCCCAGCTCCATGCACCACCTTTGGCAGGTGAGCAGCTATGCCCACCTGTCAGAGTTCAACGGGGCTCACTGGAGCTGCCAGTCAGCTGATCAGTGGTTGCAGTGAGCCCCTTTAAAGTCCAGGGGGGCTTGTTCTCATCGCCAATCAGCTGATAGGTACAGACAGTGAGCCTGTTCAGCTGCACTAGGAAGATATTGATAGAGTGCACAGTCAGTGCTGATCAGCAAGCCTTGCCCCATCCAAATGGGAGCTTACTTCATGGAGAAGTGTGAATTTCAGAGGATGGCTTTGTTTCAGTGCACTTGCTGTTTCCAAAAGTGTGAGTGACGTAGCTTTGGCCTTAAATGTGAACTAAATCAGGTTTCTCCCCCATCCCTAGCTACTAAACCAGGGGTCGACAAACTAAGGCCCGCGGGCTGGATCAGGCCCAATTGCCTTCAGGATCCAGCCTGCAGGCTGTCCGTGGATCGGCGTGGGGATTCTGTTTGTTCAGGCTGCGCCATTCCATTCCCCCCACACACACCGTGGCAGCGCCTCCTCCCTCCCTCCTCCTGGCTTCTCCCCACCCTGCCTAGAGGAGGAAGGGGGCTGGGCTGGGCTGGCTGAGCACCATTTTAAGCAGCTCCTCTCTGGAGCCAGCCCTTTCGTGCCACTCATCTTCCCTCCACCGCCGCCCTGGTGCTCCTGTGGGCCAGAGAGCAGAGCGGACGAGCTCGCTTTGCCTACCCACAAGAAGCAGCAGCAGTGGCGGTGGCAGCTGGGGTTGGTGGGTAGGGAGGAGGATTACTTGCCCCCCTTGCCTCTTCTTCCAGCTCTCCCCCCCCCCCCCGGTGCCGCTTCTCCAGCCCACCACAAGGTCTGAGGGACAGTGTACCGGCCCGCAGCTAAAAAAAAATGCTGGCCCCTGTACTAAACAGCACATAACTTGGATAAAGAATTCCAATATGCTCAAAATAGCACCATTTCATGGTACAGCTAATGGTGTCACACAACAAATGTTAGCTGAGGCTTGGTTCAAGCCAATATAGGGCTTGAACATTCAGAAATGTTCACATCGTCTGGGTGGAATGTAGAATAGACCTTCCTGCACACCTGCCACCATGGTAGGGAGCAGAGTTTGGGTAAGGTTTGCATGCATAGGTGTCTGATAATCCCAATTTCAACAATACTATTTCAAAAAAGGCAGGAAAGCGTAACAGAAAGGCAGCAGGGGGGGATGTGCTCCACATTCAGAAGTTTTATGATTATGATTATGATTATTTCGCCCTTCTGAATGGGTGGCCTCAGCCACACTGAGTTGCTTCCAACAAATTAAAACACAGTTAAGACATCAAACATTACAAACTTCCCTATACAGGGCTACCTTCAGATGTCTTCTAAAAGTCAGATAATTGTTCATTTCCTTGACAACTGACAAGAGGGAGTTCAACAGGGCGGCCGCAACTATTGAGAAGGCCCTCTGCCTGGTTCCCTGTAGCCTCACTTCTCACAATGAGGGAAAACCACCAGAAGGCCCTCAGAGGTGGATCTCAGTGTCTGTGCTGAACAATGGGGGTGGAGACACTCCTTCAGATATGCAGTGGAATTTGTATACAAGATACTCCACCCATAGATTCACAGATTTCTCTCACAATTGTGAATACGTCTGTGTGCAAGACATTAAGCAATGCAGATATATGGGATGATAATTAAGATTCCCTCCCTTTCCATCCATATAATCATTTTGTTTTTATTTCACCATCAGCCCTGAACTAAAACATGGCATCTAGCCAGCAATCAGAAGATGTTTTCGTATTACAAAATATTACGAGAAAGAGAAATGGGAAGCTTGGCTTTGTGGAAACAATTTTTACTTGATAAATATTAATTTATCAGCCGCAGATCCACATGCAACCACAAACCAGTGTGTTTGTGTGTCCCTGTATCTAAAATTCCACAAGCAGCTCTAATATCCTTGCTTGCTATAGGTGGCAGCAGCAATTGTGGCAGAATGTGCTTATTATATCAGTCCTGCTTTGTGACCTGTTTTTGGCTAATGAACCTGAGCTATGCAGATCTTGTTTGTACAAATCATTGTTGCTGCTTCAGAAATAGACTTTAAGATCTTAAGACTGAAACCCGATGTCCATATACCTGGGAGTAAACCCCATTGATCTCAGTAGGACTTAACTTTGAGTCTTAATTTAGGATTGTACTGCAACACAGAGTTAATTGAAGAATGGACCCCTTTAAAAAGGGATTCCTTTAAAAAGGAATTGCACCAAGACTCACAAGATGAAAATAAAAAGAAGCTGCAGTTATTTAATCGTTTAATGTAAAATGCAATTTTGCCAGTCTTTTTCACATGGCTGCATCACAAGTTGCACATACCCAAATCCCTCTCCTACTTAGCTGTTTTATGGTACAGCCTGGGGACCAGCCTTCCTTCCTTCTGGACACCACAACCATAGCCTAGCCTAACCCATGGAAATTTAACATTCATCAGCACGTAATTTAGGTTGCCTTGATAGAGACTTTATTTGTTGTTTCAGCACACACACAAAAATACACAGCCTGTCTAAAACTACCTAAAACAAATATTTTATGCTTCTTGACAATTTCTTTTTCGTGACCTTTAGCTTTACAGCACGATGCAGCTAAAAATAAATCAGAATAAGGAAATCCCAGTGTCCATTCAGTGAATCTTTGTTTTTTCTGAGAGAACTACAAAAGCAATTACACAGAGAATGTCAATAGTAACATTTTAGGCAGCGTATTAATGTATATGGCTCTTCTGTGAACTTCGATTCTTAGCAGTATATACCTGTTAGCTCTCTGACAAAGAGAGAAAATTCATTATACATTCTATTATACATTATACATTCTGTCATCCTAAGGCTGCAATCCTATATATATTTCCCTGAGAATAATTCCAATTGAATTCAGTTTGGCTGACCACTGATCAGACTTGGATAAGATTGCCCTGTTGGCAGGTGTTAAAATATACCACCAGAAGACATACATATTACTGGTATCCAGTCCCAAAGCACGTTGATTTCAGTAGGACTTCACTTTCTCAATTTCATTAGAATTTACTTTCAAATAATATGTTTCACTCTGCAGTACAACACTGCAATCGTACGCATTCTTAGTTGGCCCTAAGTTGCACTGAAACGCAGGAGCTGTTCTTGAGGAAGTGTATCTGGGACTAGGGTGTTTCTGACCTTTAACTGTTTCATAAGCCTCTGTGCTCTCACTGTGCTTTAAGGGACACCGTCAGAACAGGTAGGCCTTAAAAAGTTTAAACCACACTGACAAGTTTTCCTCATGATAAATTTTTACTGTAAACGTTTGCTGCAATTGTTTTGCCGGTTCCCTTTGCAAAACCAGGCTTTGCTACGGGCTCTGCAGTGTCTATTTATTGTATTTTTGTCTACACGGATAGATACCTTTAAAAGCCTACCTCTCTTGATGAGCTGTTAAACATGAAATGGGTGTACCTGTATGGGAGAGAGGTTATTATGGTGTAGCTTGGTATTTGTGATTTCCAAGAAACCGTGTCAATATAATGTTCTCATGGAAGGCCTTGAATAAATCTAATCACCGCATAACATCTGTGTCGTCTTGTTAAAAGATTTTATCTAGTAACTGTCTGCTTGAGCTTTGTAATGTGTGTCAGATCGAAGTGTCAAGACAGGAGAATTAATTAAACAAAAACAACAGATAATTAAGCTAGACTTTCAAAACACCTGCTACTCAGATATTGTTTCCAGTAGCAGGCGAAGTGCTCTCAGAACATCCCAGAATACCCACAGACCAGTGCTGTGCATGGGCGGGGGGGTTGGCAACCTTGGGGGGCCCGTGGACACATTTACAAGCCAGAGAAATGGTTGTGGGCATTACATGGGTACCACAATTCTCCCTTCCACAGCTGTAACACACACATACACAGAGAGGGGGGGGGACCAAAGAGCACAATTAGACTTGAGGAAAAGCCTTCTTTTGGCTGCATCTTTCAGTGGAGACAGGGTCATGGGACCCTGTGGGGCCAGGAAAGGCTTTCGAGAGCACATGTACCCCTGCAGTGCCACTTGGTGACCCATGGTCCAGGAAAAGGTAAAGGGACCCCTGACCATTAGGTCCAGTCATGACCGACTCTGGGGTTGCGGCGCTCATCTCGCTTTACTGGCCGAGGGAGCCAGCATATAGCTTCCAGGTCATGTGGCCAGCATGACTAAGCCGCTTCTGGTGAACCAGAGCAGTGCACGGAAACACTGTTTACCTTCCCACCAGAGCGGTACCTATTTATCTACTTGCACTTCGACCTGCTAGGTTGGCAGGAACAGGGACCGAGCAACGGGAGCTCACCCCGTCGCGGGGATTCGAACCGCCGACCTTCTGATCGGCAAGTCCTAGGCTCTGTGGTTTAACCCTGCGTCCCGATGGTCCAGGTAAGCATGGCACTAAAGGCAGCCTGTAGCTCTGCAATCTGGCTGGCAAGCAAACGTCACCTTGGCTTCCCTCTTCACAAGTTAATCTTCCCGTCTCCTGGTCTACCTGCGAGTTATTATCTGTTGGCCCCTGTCTTTCTTTGACCTTTTGTCAGCTGCCTCACATCCTTTCTGCTTCAGGGCTTATCCTTTCTAAGGCCTCCCTACTTTTCCCTGGCCTCTTCCCCTTTTCTCTCTCTACCACTTCACTGACCTCCCACCTCTATTGTCACAGTCTTCCCTCCTCTTTTCCCCCCTTTGGTTTCCACTTAGCTTTGTGGAATTTGTAAAGAGTGAAATAAAGGGAGACCTACCTTTCAATATTATCGTGGGTTGTAGTTATGGCGTACACAGAATGTTTTATAAGTGAATTGTTATTTAATAACTATATGAATCGGGTTGTCTGAGGCGTAGGTGGGAAGCACACCCGTGTTTGCGTGGATATACAGAAATGCGGAAGAGCAGGCGCAGCCTAATTTCAAAATCCTAGTCTGCACTGTGCTGCTAGTGCTATTTGAGCTTATGAACACAAAAGGTTAGAGAATATATGGTGCTATGGGGAGGAACAAAACACCACTCAAAGATCAGCTACTTGGAGCCTAAACAGATGTGATGACGCCGCATATCTGTGCTCTGTCCCAACAATTTTTATTTTTATTAATAACAAGTTGAGGAAGCTCCCGTTTTGACTGGATCAGTGGCAGAGGGGAAGGGAAGGGATGATTAATCCTTCTATGCCATTTTCTACATCTATACCCCATCCTGATCTTTATTAGTCTCACCAGGAGAAAATATACAAGTACCTGTGTTCTTTTCCCCAAGCGGAGCAAATACGTAGTTGCTTCTTGGGGATGGGTTTAGACTGGGAAAGCGCTACAGGGAGGGCAAGGGTTAAAACTGCCTTCCACTCCTCCACCCCCACCCAGTGGCGAAGCTGCATGCTCTGCTACCTAAGTCAGGCGATCCCATCATTGCTCTCCCACATCACAACAATGGCCACTAGTCATGATGGCTAAATTTCCCAGGGTTAGAAGCGACATGCAGCTGAATCGTAGTTTCTGGGGAAGAACAATGGATCTTCCATGTTGTTAGGTCCTGCGTCAGACTTGGAAGAATGAGCAAATGCCATTCTCCCTCTTCTGCTCCTGTCATAGGCTGAAATTACATTTGCCACTATCGCACACAACCCAGGAATTTTTCCGATCAACACAGAAAGATTCCAAATAAGAATACCTAACCCAGTTTGCTGTGGGGTTTGGTTTGAAGTCATATAAGGCTGCTGAATTTGTATAGAATATAAATTTAAATATATACATAACCATTTCAAATAAAACCGATGGCATTTTTTTAATTTACAAAAAATTACATTTGTAACTTAACATAGTTTTTGCTATCTACATGAAAATCACTTTTGTTTTTTTTCCTTTACTATTTTCTGTTTAGTTTTTTTTTCCATTTGTCATCTTAGCACATTTTTTTTCTGTCAGCTCTTCAAGTTTTATTACTTTTTTTTTTTTTTTGGAGGGCAGCTTGCCTTGCTTCCCATCGTGCATCTGAGGTAATTTCCCCCGTTATCTTCATGTGGAAAAGCCTACCAGGGCAGACTTCATTTAAGCAAGTAGCACAGCCCTTTTGTTGTAAAAGGAAATTAATACATCTTCAGGAAAAAGTTGAGCTGGAAAAAGCATCCTGCTACTTCATTATAATGCAGCGTGATCTGACATTGTAATGCCTTATCTCACAAGAGGATGTCTGTTTACTATGTGATTTAGATATGACAAAAAAAAATCAGCTTCAATAAGATTTATTCTTACTAGATGACTCTGTGCCCCTTACAGTCTTATAACATTCAAGCCACAATTATATGGACATTTAACAATGACCAAATAAATAAAAAAAACCTGTCTGAGTATAGTATATTATTTGTACAAAATAACATCAGGTCATTTCTCTCTATTCAGTCTATCCTACGCTATTGACATGGGGTCTGTAAATTAAATTAATTAAAATTAATTATTGTAAATACCAAACCTTACATGTACAGTAATGAGAATGGTATTTTTAAGGTTTGCATTCTTACATAGCTGTAATCAACATTTCCCCCACCACCATCTTGTGTGTGTGTCCACTTAATTCCAGTTGTGATATTGGCCCTTAGCATTTCTTTTGATCTTTCTGAGTGTTCAGAGTACTTCATATATTTTATCCGAGTAATCCAACTCTCAAGTATTATTATTTATTTTCTGTATACTACACATTAGAGGCTGAGGTCTAGCAGCTAGCCTTTGGGCTCCCAAGTGGATAATGTGAGATTTGAACTGGAAACTTTCTCCCTCACTGCTCAATATAGGCTCTTTGCAGGCTTTTTCGCTGATGTTTCAAATATACGCGATTTCACTTAAGCGCGTGGCACTGTGGAATGTAACCACCGTGTAAATTGACCGAAAACTGGGATGCCACAGAGGGAAAACAAAATGGATTCATGGATTAACTAAGTGACCCACAGTCACTTCCCTAATGTAGGCAATATCTGCATCAGCATGTTCTAAACCATTCTGACCTGGATTTGTGTAAATGAATAGGTTGTGTACAGTGGTACCTCGGGTTAAGAACTTAATTTGTTCTGGAGGTCCATTCTTAACCTGAAACTGTTCTTAACCTGAGGTACCACTTTAGCTAATGGGGCCTCCCGCTGCCACCATGCCGCCGCCACACGATTTCTGTTCTCATCCTGAAGCAAAGTTCTTAACCCGAGGTATTATTTCTGGGCTAGCGGAGTCTGTAACCTGAAGCATCTGTAACCTGAAGCGTCTGTAACCTGATATAATAATAATAATAATAATAATAATAATAATAATAATAATTTATTATTTATACCCCGCCCATCGGGCTGGGTTTCCCCAGCCACTCTGGGTGGCTTCCAACAAAACCTGAGGTACCACTGTATTCCGGAAATTCATACACTACATAAAACATACAGGTGTGACCACCACACTCTTTTGTGTATGGGTGTGTTTTTATGTAAGGCAGATGACAGGGTGGCCTTTGGCCTCAGACCCTTCATACACATTTCCCACAGCAAATGTGTGATATCAGATCAGGGAGCTGATATCATAGGCCATTATGGATGCCATGACAATCTACTCGGCAACACTTTGCTTGTGGTGTTCTTTCCTATGCCTTACACTCAATCTTCCTAGCCCCCAACTTTCAGAAACCATGGATTGACTCCAGCCCTGGTCCTCCCTCAGCAGTGGAAACCATGAGGTCAGTATGAGAAAGCTTCCTGTGTAAACTTGTGTGTTGGTCAACTCTGGTCATGTGTCATGCTGAAAGGGTTGGTGGTGCTCACCCAACTCTGCCTCAACCTTGATCCCAGGCATACTGGACGCTGTCTTTGTTATCTTCCAGTCCTTTGCATCAGGCTCTCCATCTTTCTTTCACCCCTTGTTTCTCATGAACAGCACAAGCTCAACCCTGGAAAAGAAAAGCTTGCTGCTTTTGCCCCTTGCTCCATTACGTAGTACTCTGACAGTCATCTACAGTGGTTTAATGATAAGGCTGTCTTCTCCTTTATTCCCTACATTTCTACAACATGTTACTCAGCTTTGGTGATGGATTCTTCTTTTGTTTATCTAAGACAGATACTCCTTGCTACTGCAACTGTCTGCCCTCTAATTGGTTTGCCCCTTCTATATCAATATTTCCCTCCTATGTATGTTTGATTCAACTTAGTTCATTTGTAACAAAGGAAAATGTAGTTGACTAGGCCAAAACAACAAACTTCTAATTTCCGTAGTCTCGGCAAACCATGTAAGTATTATAAGCTCACAGATGGACCCAATCTTGTATGACGTATATAGACGTTGTACTGAGTTCATATTCTTTTCAATACAAAAACCCCTAAATTTCTCAATCTGCTTACAGAAAAAGTTTTTTAGAAACCCTTATCCAGTATTGTTGCTGCTTAACATAACACACAGAACTCCCAAATGCTGCAAGGTCATTATTGTCTGGAATATCTCTCACTGCATCACCATCTTCCAGATGTCTGGCAGGAAATTCACTGTTTTATAGCAATGAGCAATTTACTCTCTCATACACACACACACACACACACACACACACACACACACACAGATTTCTGTATACCACAGCACAAACCTAACATTTAGATTTCTCAACAGTGTTCTTATGGGTCAAAACTGACCTCTTTGTGTCTGGGTTTTGATATTGACATCAGAAGAAAACTATGTCTCTTCACTGAGCTGTAATCTCTACAGTTCCTTCCTATGATGAACACATTCCTGGCTGGCACCGTAAAAATATTTGACAAATGGTCAGTGAATATTTGGTTTTCCTCGAAGGTATGACTTAAAAAAAAACATGGCTAGCAACTCAAAGGCCAGGGTCTGGATCCAGTCCTCCGGTGCAGGCGTTAAGGAGCATCACAAATCCTGCCAGTAAAGGAGAGCATTTCTTCACCCAGGAAGCTAGCGCAGCTGACACTGTTCACAGAGCAGCATTAAGGGCAGAACGGAGGAACCCCATTCTCCCTCTGCAATCCTCAAGACCAAAAGGAACAAACACAGGGGTAACCAAGGCTTTATCCTTCAGATGTTGTTGGACTACAACTCCCATCAGCCCCAGCCAGCATAACCAGTAGTTATGGATGATGGGAGTTTGTAGACCAGCAACATCTGAAGGAAGAGAGCCAGGTTGCCTACCCCTACCATAACACCGTATTTTTCGCTATATAAGACGCACTCCCCCCCCCTAAAAAGTAAGGGAAAATGTGTATGCGTCTTATGGAGCAAATGCAGGCTGCGCAGCTATCGCTGGAGCCAGAACAGCAAGAGAGATTGCTGTGCAGCAATCCCTCTTGCTGTTCTGGCTTCAGGGATAACCGCGCAAAGCTTCTTCAACAACATTTGATTCAGAATATTTTTTTTCTTGTTTTCCTCCTCTAAAAACTAGGTGCATCTTATGGTCGGGTGCGTCTTATAGAGTGAAAAATACGGTATATGCCTGGGAAAGTTAAGCTGTTGAGGACTTGTGCTTACAAGACTGAAGTTTGGCTGCTAGGTTAGAAGTTGTGAAGTTTTCATCTTCCAGATACATTACAAGTGCATGGAGATCTGCGAGTAAAATGCAGAGGGTTGGGCCATGGGCCATGCATTTTAAGAAATATG